CAAATCCTTTGGTGGAATTCGTTTCTCACATTTTGCATACTCACTTACCTCTAGCGCCCGATCTACTGAGCAAACTACTGAACGTCAGGAAAACAAAGGATACATATAATAAAACTGTAGGAGTGATGATGTTGTACATATAAAATACATATAACAAAATCCCAAATCCCATCCCCTGGTCATTGTAGATGTAACAGATTCTATTTTTTTTTTAAATCTTGTCTGTCTGATTCGCGTAAAAACCGCTCTACCGATTTGAATGAAACTTTGTGTTTAAGTAGATTAATTTAGTATTATGTGACATAAATTTTATCTTATTTTTATCAGGCTATTACACAAGGCTGGGGAATAAGTATTTGAAGTTTGTATGAAAAATTCGGTATTCTTGCTGCTATGAATGAATCTTAGTTTAAATTTTTTCTACTGAAAATGTTATTCTTTTATCACAAGTAAACAAGGAAAACATACACTACTGGGAATAAAGCTTTCTGTATTACTTACCTACTATTGTCACTTACGCAGCCTACACTATTTCCAAGATCACCAATGTGACTTCTTTAATATGGAATGTAGAGGCAAAGAAAACCATTTCTGTATATGAAAAGTGCCCTTAAAAACGCCATCAATAAAGGTGGCGCTGCGTTAATTTGCTTAAATAATAATTAGACACTGTACACATGTGTATATAATCTCGAGAACGGGTCCAATGATTTTCAAGAAATTTGGTATGCAGGGGTTTCGGGGGCGATTAATCGATCTAGATTTCAGTTTTAGAAAATTTAACAAAAAAAAATCCGAGCTAAGCTCGGTCATCCAGGTACTATTATTTTAGCAAATTGGCTGGTTTTTTAACGGGACAATTCGGGTAAAAGTATTAGTTTAAAAAAATACTGATCTGACTAAGAAAAAATCGGTTCGAGGCAAGTTATCTAAAAAATTCGAACAGGTGCGAAAAATCGGTTATTGAAAAATAAAACAGGGACATTATGTTTTAATGGAGAAACAAAAAAGACGGTAGTAGTGTAAAAAAAATTAAGAAAATAAGAGTTGCTGACGTCAAATTCTTTAGAAGCGTTACGAGAAAATACGCTTTTATCACGAGAACACGACACATCAACATTTTTACAAAAGAACAGTATTAAAAGCTATAATTTAAAACCTATGAGTCACACAAGCTGAGAAAATAAAAAAAATTAATGAACATCTGATGAGATAAGAGCGTGTTTTTTCGTAAAGTTTCTAACGAATTTGACTAAAACAACTCTCAGTTTGTTTATTTTCTTTACAATACGAGTACAACCTCCTATTTTTTGGTTTTCCATTTTAAAAAAAAAAACCTGTTTTATTTAACAATAAACCGGTTTTTCGCACCTGTTCAATTTTTTTTCAATTACTTGCCACTAACCTATTTTTTCAAAATATTTTTATTTAAAACATAGTTTTACTACTAAGCCAGCCAGATTATTTTACGAGTGAGCACACGGTTGTCTGATATTATGCCGTTATATGTCAAAAAATACCCTATACTAATCATACTGATTAACAGCGATCTTATATAAAACACAAATTCTTTTACAACCTTTAGTATACTTGTTTCAAATCTGAAACTTAGACTTAGTTAAAAAGTTATAAAACATGTGGAACCCTAATTCAGAATACGTGTTTTTACTAGACACTACCTGAAATATTTTACTTACAACACTTTTATATGTAGACACTAAAATAAATGTTAACATTGGCATTCATCTGTTCCCTCTTGTTTTCTATTTTCATCGTCTCTAAATATAATCAAAGTAGGTACTTCAAACGCAGGGATGACATTTTTCTACGGTTGGCGTGGAAATCAATATCCTCCTCGGAACTCTTTAAAATACCCAAAAACTGTGGCTTAGTATTTCATGTTTTAACAACAGTATTTTTTGGTTCTTTTGTATTTTTATTTATTGTCGGCAACACAACGTTCGTTTTAACTCAGTTTTTTTACGTCAACTGCTTAAATTATGCGCTTGCTGGGTAGATAGATAAATAGAATTCTTTATTTGTACGCCGTTTTACAAAAAGTATGGTACATATGGTACTATACAAAAAAAGAAACTTGAAGCATTTTCTTAAAACACAGCTTCAACAGTAAAAGACGGGTCATAAAATTTTGTAGAATGCAGAGACATCCCAAGCCTCAAATCTTCGGATGACCTCAGACAATTTTTCATTTGTGTCATGAAGGAACTTGAACCGTTCTTTGAGGTAACAGGGGGCTCTGGGATTGAACAAGATATTTTAGAGAAAAATGAGTATATGTATGCGTATTCCTTCGAGAGCGAATTGGAAGCCACTTGAGCTTTTGATCGGCAACCTGATCCTATTTTCTTAGTCCAAATACAAATCGTATACAGAGATTTTGAAGCCGCTCAAGCTTATCAAGTTGTGCTTCAGTGAGATTCAGATAGCTGACATTGGCATAGTCGATAATTAGGAGGAGACGTGCTAGTGCAAGTGCAGCCTTAGTTGCACTCGGTAGAAAGTTACGTAGATTTCGCATCGACCCGGCAGAAGCAAATATCTTAGGACTAACTTGTTGTAAATGTGGAACCCAAGTTAAAGTATTATCTATGCAAATTTCTAAATTTTTAACACTGTACTGATCTCAAGTGTAGTGCCTTCGAATTCAATTTGCGGTACTTGTTCAATTAATTCTTGAGACCAGCCCGGGACTGCGAATAACACATAAGTGCGTCTTTTTAGGATTAACCTTGAGTTCATAATTATGACTCCATTCGGCAATGTGCGATAGGTCAGCATTGATTGTGTTAAACGCCTCCGATAACAAGGTAAGCTGTGGTGGGTAGTTTAATTTATAAATCGATGCAAGATACATACAAGTAACTCAGTCGTAAAGATGGAACAAACCCAAGTGTGACCTAATATACCTCATAATATTTATACAAATCAGAATTCCTGATCAAGTTGCTTCCACAAATAAAAATAAGTTGCCTAATTATGTGCTTCTGATTCCTGATTACAAACACTTTTTAAGTTATTAAGTTTAGCGACTTTTGTACACAAATCACTCAAACTATTTGTAAGTTACGAAGGTATGTTACTCGCCCTTCGTATTTCAATATCCATGATGTACCTACCTAAATTGCGATTGTGATGAATCGAAGATACGATGTGAAATATTCCAATCTGTAGATCAGTGTCACCGAGTGGTTTGCTCTTTGCCAACTGCAAGTTCCTAAATACACCAATGTCAACCTGTCGGACACGATCCAAAACTATGACGAAAAAATTCCACTCTGTAATAATCCTAAGCTAAGAAAATTTTAATACACTTTCTTGCACCTGTTAACAAAGTAGGTACTCATTATTTTGAAACCTAATAATATTAATGGTGTAATCACCTAGTTGCAGAGGAAACTACAGTCGCAAAATTATCCAGAAAAGTTAATTTTGCGCCGATTACTCAAAAAAAAATCGTAGGTAATAATAGATAGATAAGGTAATGTTTGATCAATATTGCCTTATCAAGATAAACGACCGTAACATTAATAAGCTTTTCGCTATTTTGTGCGTTACAATAGTGAAATTAGGTTTACTATTGTAGCTTTTCTTAAATAAGTTAAAAAGTAGTTAAAAAATCTAAACCGGACTCTTTTTAACAATCATAAACAGAAATCACTATCCACAACAATCTCCGGGAGCTTGAGCCGGGCAGCGACCGCTATAAAAAGATCATCTTAGGACGGTCGGTGACGGCCGCCGTGCGACATGCAACCCTGGAAAGCGACTCGACTGTGCCATCGAGTACTGTTGCCAAAATAATTAAAGAAATCTCCGACGGTGTCCCTCCACCGCGCCCGCGCCGCTCTAAAATCGTCGCTCTTCGCCCGGGAGTCGCTACTCGGGGCGCGGCGGGAAAACATCTCCCGCGCCACTCTTATTTCTTCTTTCCTTCCCGACGCTGTCGAAAAAATATTTTAGTAAGTTTCAAAATACCACTCTAAAACAAAACATTTGTGAGTGTTTTACACTAAAGTGCATATTAAGTGTTTTACAAGTTATGGCAGGAAATTGGTGATTATAAATAAGTGATAATAGTGTTACATAACGCCAAAGCAAATTTTGGAATTTTAAAAATACCGCATTTTGTAGGCGCCTAAAGTACCAAAATAGCATTGAGTCACGTGGTACGATTTCAACCTATAGCAAGGCTCCACATTTATGTATGATCGTAAATTAAATCAAGATCTTGAAAAAAATCATGTTAACTACAATTTCTTACTTTTGACATTTTAGAACGATCCTACCCTTGAAACTATTGTTTATAATAGCATTTAAATATTATTTTTTTTGGAAAGAATCTCGTTTGACAAAAATAGTTTGCTAACCGTGTAAAAGGTGGCTCTGCCATCGACCTTTTTCCTACGTCAGTTGAGTAAAAAATGACGGCTGTGTTAGATACGTGTTCGTGTCGTTTATGATATTTACGAGAAAAAGTATTAGATTAGTACAAAAATAGTAGTCATTTAAAAGTAAGAGTCAAACGCTTATACTAAGTGAAATACTTCGTAAGATAGACAATTCTCATGTATTAAAAATCTGGTGAGTGGTGCAGTGGTCAAATGGTGCTTGCCATCTAGGAAATAGCTCGTTAAGTTTAATAACGTTATTCGTCTTTTCATTTCACTTACAATTGTTTTAAATAAAAAGACATTCTTCAACATAACTTAATTTTATTTTGTTCTTATAATTTTATATTTACGTAGTCATTTTCCTTGAAATGTTTAAATTGATGACCTAATAAAGGTAATTTTATTTTCTGAATTTAAATATTACGTACCAAACAATTGTTAATACATATTTCATCATAATTACTCTTAGAAATATTGCCAGAAGAGTCACATAACCTCAAAGTTTTAAAGTTGATAATGATGACTCGTCATTTCTAACCTAATTTTGTTCTTGCCTTTTAGAACTGACGGCAACGTAATAATTCCACCATGGATGACGCTCACTCGAAGTCCGTGGACGAAGTTCTAGGCTACTTCGGCACAGACCCAGACAAAGGCCTTAGTCCAGATCAAATAAAAAGGAACCAGGAGAAATATGGGCCAAATGGTAAGTAAACTGTTTACTTTGACAATAATATGTAAACAATTACCTTATTTCCTTCATTAGTGCCATGCGATTAACTACTCAGAACACAGCTTTAATTAGAGTTTACTTTTGAAAGAAGATGCACATTTTCAAGGAACTTCTAGACTATTATTAAAATAACACTTTAGAACAATTCTTACATCACTTATGCAAATTTAAATCAATATATTGGATACATTATGAATTTATTCTGCTATTCACAATTTTATTGCTAAGGTTGACTGTACTGTTTTGTACAAACATTGTGGTGGCATTGTTCATGCTGGAATTTGCCACTGTTCATTTAAGATCAGCACTTTTGGTTGTCAATTAATTTTGGATTTTAATTGTGATTCTTTGTTCACAAAGTATATTTTCAAGAATTGCTAGTATTTTTAATGTTCCAGTGACATTTTCTCTCTTTATATTTGATACATCAGGTCTTTTATGTTTATTACCTTGACAACCAGTTTCCTGGTTGTCTATATAATTTTTTACATAGATTAGTTCTACAGGTGATATTTATCTAATTATATTATTTATACTGATCTGTCATTCAGGGACTTGAAATTTTGCCAAGCGTGTACACTTGGCATTGAATTTTTATAGTTGACAAAAATTTATTTAATCTGAAATAAATTAAAATTAAATCATTTAAGAAATTTAAAAACATGCTCATGTGTTGAATGAAGATTGAGGTAAACTTTAATATCCAAAAACTTTTATAATGGTTTAATTTAATCAATGAGATATTCTAGAAACTTTCTTTGCAGAATTATTTGGTTGTGTAATTTATTTAAGCTCTATAAACCAAACAATGTAGTGAAAAAATAACTAATGTTAAAAAATGTTGCTCTTAAAATTAATATTTTTGCTTCTGAAATTCAAAAACACAGCAAACATTTTTCATTTATGATAATAATATCTAGCTGCATATATTTTAATTCAATTTCAAAATTTTACCATCATATATTCTGAATTTCAAATTTCTGATTATGAAATTTAATTAATTTCTAACTTTTACGGTAAAGGCAAGATTTTTTTATGCATATCTAAAACTAATTGTATATCTTAGTCTCTAAACTAGTACATACGTATTACACAGACACACACACACATAATTATACTGTCAATTTTTTTTGTCAATTTAAACATATTACTATGTGTATGTGCAATGAGTGCCCATAGATCCTGTAACTGTTACAGTCAATGCTCTACTGCTCTACTCTATTTCTGGTATTATTTAAAATGTATTATGATAAAGTCCCTTTTATAGCCACAGAGATATGTCGCCGTAGCAAATAGTAGATTCTCATCTTCATTACTCACCATATTGACATTAAATTAGAGATTTTTATCAAGCTGCTTACATATTTATAGAGGTAATGTTAAAACAAACACATTTATTTCACAATCTCATGTCTAGACATGTCTTTTTGTTTTAAGGAAATGTCTTTCATCATATGAGAGGTAAAAATGTATAGTAATATTTAGTAGTTTAATAGTCTCAATTTATTTATGTTAAGATTTTATTATGTATTTAGTAAAATTGTCGAAAACAAATTTTAGGCTATCAGGCAAACTATAACAGCAGATAGCAGTAATTTGTCTGACTGGAAGTTTCTTGTCTGTAAGACATAATGTGTCTGTGTGTTAAATGCACTTGCTAAATCAACATATCTCAAAACAATTTAGTGTTGTTCCTACATTTCTCTAACTTAATTGCCGTAATAAAAGGTATATAGTAAAACATAGTACATTTAGAATTGAGGAATTAATTTTCTAAACATGCAATTATGTTTGAGTTAATATTAATAGTATTACTTTATATTCTTTATTTAATTTTGCAAGTTTAAATGTTCTCAATGCATAAACTTCTCAATTTGTAGAAAATAAGATCTATTCTCTTTTTTGTGTGTTAAAAAAACTGTTCCTTATCATATTGTCCAATTAAGGTGGTTGAAAACTTATGAAAGGCATTCACTTTACAAAAATAACTAGGTGTTTTGGTTACAAAAACAAAGGAAGAATATTTAAAAACCAAAATAAAGATGTATATATGAAAGGGGACAATGCAATAATGATCATGGCTAACTTATTTTACTAACCTGTTGAAAGGATGTTAAAGTGATATGTTCCAAGATGTTTTTGAATATGAATATCTCAAATCTACCAAATCTGGCCTATGTCCAGCAGTGGACTATTAAAGGCTGATGATGTGTGATGTGATGATGTGAAATCTACCAAATCGTACTACATTTAATTTTCTACTAAATGTGAGCTAGATAATGTCAAATCTTCCTAACCAAAATGGAACCAGGTTAAAATGGCGACTGATAAGTAGTACGCAAAATTTGTAGAAGTACTGCATAATAGTATTGTAGTAACAAAACCCTTTTGTTTGTAAAATCTGCTATAATTATATAGATATATATAGATTAATATTTAATGAAAAGTAAAAGTAATGTTTTACTTTTTATTAAATATTAATCTATTTCATTACACTGCTAATTAGACTAACAGCATAATATATCATACGTTGCACATCACATATTGCGTTATCACAATGGCATTTATCTGTTGTAGGCTAATCGTTAAACTGGGCCGATCAAGATCTGCCACGTAATGACTACGATCGGCTTTTCTTGATATACTGTCTAATTCCTGAAGTATTGGAAGCTTAAGCTTCACGCTCAATGATTCGCCCAGCTATGCTTAGATGTCATGTACACAGCTGTCAGGGCGCATAGAGCGACCAAGACCGCAGAACGGAAGCACTACATTACGATGCGCCCAGCCATATCTCAATGTAGCTAAGTGACTACTTAGACAATTCAACAAATTAGTTGTCTCCTCAATCTGGTTCACTTCATATTGTCCACATCAGGGAATAATCAACCGAATGCCAATGCCCAAATCAACGATTGACCTACGAGATCAATCTATTTATTTAGGAGGTTTTAATGTTGTTACTCTGGCTATGGATAAATTATGAAAAATATAACGAATAACAAACACACAGATAATCTTTAAAAATTTGTGTTAAAATATTTATTTTTTGTGTAACTAGCTGGTTAAAACTTGACTTACTATTTTTAAGAGACTGATAATAAAATAATATTTTTATAAACCCTGCAAATAAAACACTTAAGAGGATAAAGGTACACACCAGTTAACCATAAAATTTATTTATAGTGAGACAAGAGGTGGTCGATCACCGTTGAGGCGGGTGTAGACCACTGGTGCGTGTGCCCGAGCACAGCTTGTGAGGGACGTGCTCTCACGCGTAACATACCTGACACTTACCTATTCAATTATAACTTTACGTGTGCTTTAAAAAAGGGATAAACGACATATACATGGTTTAGGTTACGTAATATTCTGCACTATAATACTCATTATCACATTATGCATAAATGTGTGTATGAAAAGTGCGTAAAAACCATTTGCTATGAGCAAATCGACAGGTTAATTCTTAAAAGCTGTTCCATACCAGACAGTTCTCACTTTATACCCTAACGCCAGAAAAAAAAAATGATTTATCGGCAACAATTAACAAAATCATGCAAACCTGTTAAATGTTCCTGACTTAAAAAAAATGTAACCAACAGAAACCAACTTATGGTCGATGATAACAAAAAAGACTGTTAGAGTTGTTTATTTTCACAACTTTTTGTATTTTATGTTTTCAGGGGCAAAATAACTTCCTTAAAGTTCCTATTTTGAAATTGAAATAATTAATGCAATACTTAATAATATTGATATTGTAGACGATTAAGTTATTGAACGTACCTTAAACTGTGTAATCAATGTAACACTATAAGAAGGCAGTCACTTTTATCTTTCAGCATAGACAAATGATCGAATTCCGAAACTACGTAATGCCAACATTAGTTGTTGAAAACTAAACTTCGCTTACATTCACTCAACGTAACTCTAATCATTCTTCAACCGCTTCGAGTTAATATTTAGACTAAAGATTCGCCAAACATTACCCAAAGAGAAATGCTCATTCGTTTTTTTAATTAATTCAATCAATGTCGTTTAAACTGTAGGGTTTTGAGTTTACCGTCGCTATATTCGGGTACGTCAACTTACATTTTTTCCCATTGCAAAACATTATACGTAATCTAAACATGTTTAAAATAAAACGCACTAATAGTCCGATACTTGTGTATCAGTTGTCCTCGAAACATTAAAACTGATATTATGCACGTAATGACAACATATAACAACTCCCGATAAAGCGATACAAATAAACTATAACATCGCTAAGAAATACCAGTGTATTAGTCTAATCTAAATGCATATACATATATTCGTAAGACTCGTAACACGAGGAAAACATGTGACCACTTCTTCTATGGACTTTGATTTTTATTCAAAAAAAAATAACTTGGTGCATATTAAAGTATATTGTAATAATAAAATAATATTAGACTCGTCTATTTGAACAGAAAACGATTTGTTCCTAATCATTCGATTTGTAGATGGGCAACAATGATTTTCAATTCATTTTTCCTGTAGTGCTTTTTGAATTCTTTGAGCTTTTAATCTTAAAAATATTTAAGTCCGCACACTATTTTATAGATTTCATCATTTAACCAATTAATTATCCTTTTGTGTTTTTCCTCATTTTTATGTCTCATAATGTTTTTCGCAAATGTCATAGAAGTAATACCTATATTTCTTCGAGTTCCTCCAACTAGGAGAACTTGTTTGTTATTTTAAGAAACCCAATTTTAGATAGCTTTATCCAAAGCAAAAAATATTTACCTCATATCCTCCTCATATCATACTATTAAAACTAAATATATTTGGCAATTCTTTTCGAAGAAATATTATAACTAGTACACTAAGTAATAGATAGTGCACGGTGAGGTAAACGTCCGGAATGCTGTCTACTGTCGCGTCCAAATTCCAGAGTCTAGTGGCTGAAATATTATATAGGTACCCAGTTTATTTTGGACGATTTACGTTGGCGGGTTGCATCTACGAATGCGGCTAACGTCCGATCTATAAGACCATTGCACGTTTCTGTATGTTCTCTTTTCGAAAATTCAATATGTTTAATACGTCTTAGTTCTTGTTTGCTACATTTAAAAATTGTTTCAGTATTCACACATTGTCCATTATTTATATTTATAACTTATTATGATTATTTAATCATAATAAGTTATAAATATAAATAATGGAATATATATATAAAAATTGCATAACTGCATATTTATGCAATTATGCAATTTTTTTTTACTAACATGAAATTGCCTTTCTCTTAAAAGATTCCACTTGCATAACAAAACTACAACATAGATAATGAACGTAAAGGAGAGTACATTTCTTCATCATACTTTCACATTTATTTCAATGTCATTTAGAAAGCTTGGGCTATGAAACGTAAAACGCCTATAACTTCACATTGGAGGACCGTACATAAAATGAATCTTCTTATTCGCTTCCTTATAATTTGTCACAATGTATGAATATACTCGTAAATACGGTAACGTTGAAATAATTTATAGATTACTTCAGTTTTAATGAATCACCTTGTGCACAATGAAAGCCAAGGTGATTACTGACCACCAGTCGAAAACGGTTAAGGTCAGTTTGTAACTATTGTTAAATTGTTACAGCTCAATTTATGAGTTCAGAACTAAAGTGTTACACTTTCTCTACAATAGTTTCCGCTAACTGACAAGTTTCAATATTTGTTCGAGCTAAGCCAACATATAACTTAACCAAAGGTGTAGTAGTGTTAACGAATATGATGTATTGTGTTCACTTGTTAATATTCACATCACGCACATGATGTGCGCTATTTTGACGTTGGTCCTCTTAAGACGTGACAATTGAGCGTTTGTCCTCGGATTTTCATGTTTAGTTGTTAACTTCATTGTTATTCACGATTAAGTTGTTAGCCACAGATGCTGACATAGCGTTATAGATGCTTTGACTAATTGATTACATTAGTCACGGTGCGGCTGGCAGCCGCTCTGCGTACGCAAATAGAGCCGATACAACGATTGACTTAGCGCACGTTGCCTGATTGCGCCGCAGATGAAACTGCTCTATTAAGACGAACCTAATGGCCGGCGAGTGTATAAGATGCTTTGAACTTTATCTGCCACTTTTTGTGAACAGACAGCATGCACGTGCTAAGTGAATCGTTACATACGAGTCTTACAAACAGTAGATTACGATGCTACGAAGTATGAAATTGTTAAACTTATATTTAATTATGTAAAATTTATCTACAACGAAAAAAATCAATTACTAACAGTTTGTTTTATGTTATAATTTTAATGTAATGATAACATTGTCTGGATATACATCGTAGTTAATAGAGTTCTGCGACCTTACGCGTATATACAAATACGCAGTACATCTACGTTGTAAACTTTTTGTAATACTTATTTGCATATACTTTAAAACCACGCGGAAATGTAATAATGTGTATACCTATGTATCATCTTTCCCGCTCCAGAAATAAAAGTTGTTGTATGATACACCTGTTAAATATTCATTTTTAACCGACTTAAAAAAGAGGAAGGCTAGTTGTGATCTCCTATTTTTATTTATGTATGTTACCAATCCGGTAATATTTGAAGATGACTAGCCCGTTTTTTTTTTTTTAATGGAACTAAAAATAATTGACTACTCAATAGTTAACTTTAATATAGTGAAGTGCCAGGAGAACTCGTCAACAGTTTACGTGCCTGCATCAGAAAAGTAATTCGTATTTTATTCACTCTTTATTTATATCAGTTATCTAGTACCCATACTACAAGCTCGGCTTAGTCTTTACTAGATTGTGTAAATTTGGTAGCATATCATTATTATCTCCAGGCCCGTCTCTAGCCTATTGGAGGCCCTGGTCAAATTAGCATAATGGGGCCCCTACGAACTTAGCTGACCTCTATTTTGATAGAATGGACAAAAAAAGTATTGTAGTCAGTCATCACAAATTTATTTTTCGAAATAAATTATGTTTTTCGGTGATAAATATTGATTTTCGATTGGTTATCTGGCAGGAATCGGGCCCCTATCGATCGAGGGGCCCTGGGCACGTGCTCAGAGTGCCCAGTGGGAAAGAGGGGCCTGATTATCTCTCAGAGTACAAATTTAAGAAATAAAGAATGTTCATTATTGCAATTTCTCATGAATTAGGCACGTTGAAGTTGGTAACCTTTTTATTACACGATAAATAATATAGTTTATGTACTCGGTCTTTTTAGGTATCTGGTATTTTTGTAAGGTCTAAAATAATTGAGGTTTGTTTGAAAATTCAAATAAAACCCACTCTCAGATCGTCTTTCAGTCAGTTAGCATTATAAACTATCATTATAACCATTGATTCAAAACGCAAAGGCTGTTTTTAAATTGTAAATACCGTTCTAAAGACGGGAAATTAAAAGATAAATGTACACATACCACAAAAAGTTTATATACCTTTATAAGCCGCCGGCATGTTAAATATTATCACACGTGGTTTACTTTGTTTTCGCATTGTTGGTTTTTGCGCTGTATCCGGAGATAAACTGTTTCGAAGGCCTACTGATAACATACATCTGTAATAATAGAAATACGCTGTCCCCAACAAAGTTATACTAATGATCAAAGTTAAAATGGATTACAATGCCAATTATTATATTTGACGTCACTATTTGACGAGAACGATGTACAAAACCGGTGCCGCAGACGTTTCTGATTGCAGAGCATGCGCCGCTACCCAAGCACCGATCGTTGAGATGTATTTACGTACGATCGTAACTGCCGACATAGATCGCATGCCTGTTCTGACTAGTTTATCGCCTTTACATTAACTCCTTTGATCTTTTATTCAAAATTCTAATTATGGTTCTTTTCTCTTTTCAGAATTGCCTGCGGAGGAGGGTAAGCACAACAATTTGATATGAATTAATTCTATAGAGTCCGTTTATTTCAATTCAGAATAAGATTAATTATGACACTGTTGACAGTTAATTAATATAATTCAGTCATTGTATCGAAAACCTTGTTATTTTTACAATGCCGCGCTCATCTAGTCATTGTATAAAATATTATTTCAATTGTTTATCATTATACCATTGCTAGGCATTGTATTGTATAGATCTACACGCGAAAAACAGGTAAATTATAAAATTAAGGATAAATAAAATAATTTGCTTAGTTTTCGTGTCTCCGAAACAACCTTTCCCGGTGATCACCTCGGCCGGTATGAGAGGGTTCCGTGACGCCGCTCGAGCCAATCCTTCATAACGGGTCTTACCGCCGCTCCTCCTTGCGCCACCGATACAAAGCCGCAAGGGCTCTCGCCTCCAGGTCCAGGAGACTGATAGCCAGCCCTACTGCAACGACCGCAGCGAGTGCTGGCTATCAGGGTACCGCACGATCTTCTTTGAGGCGCCCATACTGGACCCATAAAGGGCCATGGACCGCACAACCCCCGAGTAGAGTCTACTGCAGGAGTCATCGAGTCCCCTCATGTTAGGCAACAGTCCCGCCAGTACACGGGCTGCTATAACCAACTTGGGGATCAGACCTCGGCAATGATGTCCGAAGTCCCATCGACCATCGAGTACGAGCCCCAGATACCTCATAGAGGGCTCGACGCCGATGCGAGTGCCTCCTACCATGAGGCTGGATCCCTCAGGTGGCTTCCTCCGAGGCCCATGAAAGAACAAGGCCTCGGATTTGTGCAGAGCCACCTCGAGACCCAGCCGGCCGTGGCCCTCAGGGTTGCCTCATTCTGTGTCTTGTCGCACGCCGTCACTAGAGTTTCATCCGCATAACACGTAACGGCGACACACTCCAGGAAGGCACCACGAAGCACCCAGTCGTAGCCGATGTTCGACAAGAGCGGCCCTAATACTGTCGGCTGTGGGACACCGCACGACATTTCATGTCTACCGAGACCGGTCCTACTTGGGTAGACGACGGCTCTCTCTAACAAATATGCCCGACTATGCGGCGTAGGTAGAGAGGCTGTGTCTGATCCGCAAGGAGCCAACGCCTGAGTGCCACTACTGCGATGGCCGGACTGTGGACGCAGCCCTCCGTCGTGTCCATCGGACACGTTGGCAGAATGCTCGGCGTGGGTGGAGCAGAGGCGTGATCTCATAGTGGCCATCGGAGTTCGGAGGTCCTCCATAAGCCCAGGCCTGGAGGTGACAGTTGAGGCCATCTGTCACCCTAGCAGAAGCAGGTGGAGTACCAGGTACGTCGGGGTACTAGGGATTTCCTTTCTAGGGTACACCTGGTTCCCCGAAACGGCGTGCGGTTTTTAGTCGGTTCGAGTCCGACAGAGCCACCGGTAGGTGGTATCCGAGGGAATTTCCCCACAGAAAAAAAAAGGAGGTTATCCGTTGTGTACTAAAACTAAAACTGTAAGGCAAAGAACTTATTATTAAAAGCAATAGAAGACGGTACTCACTAAATTCTGTATTAAAAGCAATTAATATAATTTTTTTCCAATTGGACACCCGATTTTTTTTTTATTTCGTTGTTTGTATGTTCAGGTAACTGATAATGCTCGCATTTCGACCATTAATTAGCTTAAATAATACCGACAACCACTAGATTAAAAAATGTTACTATTTGATCTTTCATGACACACGCTATTTGATCTTTCTTGACACACTTACCCTTAGCAAGTAAGAAAAGGACATCTAAATTAATAATATATTAGTCATTGTTTTTGAACTCAAGGGGCGACTTAACTTTAAAAATACTCACTGAAAACTAATCACCAGTACGTGCTAGCTTTTACAATACTTATTATTGCTGTTCTCTTATCATAGGCAAAAGTATATGGCAGTTAGTGTTGGAACAATTCGATGACCTGTTAGTCAAGATTTTGCTGTTAGCCGCTATTATTTCATTCGTAAGTACGAAACAATACGATAGATTTTAGCTTGAATATTATTATGCGCTAATTAAAATAAAACTCATTATTTTCTAGGTTTTAGCTTTATTTGAAGAACACGAAGACGCATTCTCCGCCTTCGTAGAACCTTTCGTTATTTTACTGATTCTTATTGCCAACGCTGTTGTAGGAGTATGGCAGGTGAGAACATGTTTAACATATTTCATAGATAAACTGTTTAGTGATGGTATTTACTTATACTCACTTGATTATTTATTACCGCCTACGGTATTTACGAGTACTTAATAAAACTTACATTACAGAGATACATTAATTTTTGTATCTACTATTTGTATCCCTACTTTATTTTGCCCAATAGAAACACTAAACCATCACTAGCTCCATAAAAAATTGTTGTAACAGTATCCACATTACCTTCTACTTAACTAAGTAATACACTTTTCTAAATATATCAGGCAAAACCGAGCACATTCTATCCGCGCAGAGCAATAGTATATTAGTACTACTATGCTTTAGTTTATTACTACTAATAATCTTCAATGTTTACTTGAATAACGTCTTAAGAGCCCGGTTATATGGGATACTAAAACGGATAAGAAATAGGAAATTATTTAATCCGCATGACATTTGCAGGAAAGAAATGCCGAATCCGCCATCGAAGCTTTAAAAGAGTACGAGCCCGAAATGGGTAAAGTAATCAGAGGAGACAAATCTGGTGTACAGAAAGTCCGAGCTAAAGAAATTGTGCCCGGGGATGTCGTTGAGGTGTCTGTCGGTGACAAAATTCCCGCTGACATTCGTCTCATCAAGATTTTCTCCACCACCATCCGTATTGATCAGTCTATCTTGACTGGTGAATCTGTCTCCGTCATCAAACACACTGACGCCATTCCCGACCCCCGCGCTGTCAACCAGGACAAAAAGAACATTCTTTTCTCCGGTACCAATGTCGCGGCCGGCAAGGCCCGCGGTGTTGTCATCGGCACTGGACTCAACACTGCCATTGGAAAAATCCGTACTGAAATGTCTGAGACTGAAGAGATTAAAACCCCCTTGCAGCAAAAATTGGACGAGTTCGGTGAGCAGCTGTCGAAAGTTATCTCCGTTATCTGCGTCGCTGTGTGGGCTATCAACATCGGACACTTTAACGACCCCGCTCACGGTGGAAGCTGGATCAAGGGCGCCGTTTACTACTTCAAGATTGCCGTTGCTCTGGCTGTAGCCGCTATTCCAGAAGGTCTGCCTGCTGTCATCACTACTTGTCTCGCCCTCGGTACAAGGCGTATGGCCAAGAAAAACGCTATCGTTAGATCCCTGCCTTCTGTTGAGACCCTCGGTTGCACCTCTGTTATTTGCTCTGACAAGACCGGCACGTTGACTACTAACCAAATGTCCGTATCGCGCATGTTCATCTTCGAGAAAGTCGAATCTGGCGACAGCAGCTTTCTAGAATTTGAAATTACTGGCTCTACTTATGAACCTATTGGCGATGTTTACCTGAAGGGACAGAAAGTCAAAGCTGGTGAATTCGACGCCCTTCAAGAACTGGGCACCATCTGTGTTATGTGCAATGACTCGGCTATTGACTTCAACGAATTCAAACAGGCTTTCGAAAAGGTCGGTGAGGCTACCGAAACCGCTCTGATCGTACTCGCTGAGAAAATGAATCCCTTCAATGTTCCCAAAACAGGACTCGACCGCCGTTCCTCTGCCATTGTTGTACGCCAAGAAGTCGAAACCAAATGGAAGAAAGAATTCACTCTTGAGTTCTCTCGTGACAGGAAATCTATGTCCACTTACTGCACACCGCTCAAGCCTTCCCGCCTCGGCAATGGACCCAAACTGTTCGTAAAGGGAGCGCCCGAGGGTGTACTCGAACGTTGCTCTCACGCTCGTGTCGGAACTAGCAAGGTTGCTTTGACCTCCACACTAAAGAACCGCATTCTTGAACTTACTCGCCAATATGGTACTGGCCGTGATACCCTCCGTTGCTTGGCTTTGGCTACTGCTGATAACCCACTTAAACCTGATGAAATGGACCTTGGTGACTCGACCAAATTCTACACATATGAAGTCAATCTTACATTCGTTGGAGTCGTAGGCATGTTGGACCCTCCCCGTAAAGAAGTGTTCGACTCTATTGTTCGTTGTCGCGCTGCTGGTATCCGTGTAATCGTCATCACTGGTGACAACAAGGCTACCGCAGAAGCTATTTGCAGGTAAAAACACACTAGTTATACCAGCCCACGCTTTGGTGGCTCAGTCCAATTTATTATTTGGTACCAGGCTAATATATGATGAAAATGTTCATACATCAATAAACTTTCAACTTTAACAAGTTATAAGTATATTTAAATTGCTATTATAATTTCCGTTTTCAGTATATCTAAAATGCACATATCCACTAATAAAAGACATAGAAAAACCTTTTTGTGTTAAAACCTTGACTTGAATTGTCTTGAGTTGAATTGACTTGAAATCTTTACACAATATACCATATTGTGTAAAGATTTCAAGTCAATAATCAAATACCTTCCAAGATTTGCAGACACAGAAATACAACTAAATTTTGACATATATAAAAAGATAGATAAATGAAATCTATGTTAATATTTGATTTTAATCTACTAAATATTTCAGGCGTATTGGTGTATTCACCGAGGATGAGGATACCACTGGCAAATCCTACTCTGGCCGTGAGTTCGACGACCTACCAGTCTCTGAGCAACGAGCCGCTTGCGCCAAAGCCCGTCTCTTCTCTCGTGTAGAGCCCTCCCATAAGTCTAAGATCGTTGAGTACCTCCAGAGCATGAACGAGATCTCTGCTATGGTACGATAAATTTATTAAATTATATTATATAACAAAAAAACTAATATCATAAGAAAGTAAAAAAAAACTTCCATTCAGTTGTAAATAAACAAAGTCGTTACTCTGTAAAGTATATATCATAATTTACTGAAACATTATACTTCAATATTATTGCATGTTTACACATTGTATTACATATTTGAACGTCGTGTTTACGTTAGGGCAGTCTTGTTTATAAACTGTGGCGCTCCAAACTGATCACTGGAGCCTGGTTAGAATGTAGAATGTTCGAAAAAGTATTGACATGTACATTTGTTACATTACAGACTGGTGATGGTGTGAATGATGCCCCCGCGCTCAAGAAGGCCGAGATCGGTATTGCCATGGGCTCCGGTACTGCCGTCGCTAAGTCCGCTGCCGAGATGGTGTTGGCCGACGACAACTTCTCGTCCATTGTAGCCGCTGTTGAAGAAGGCGAGTTTGTTAATACGCTATAACATAAAAAAATTAATACATTACGTTTTCTAAAAATAATGTTGATTAACCACTCTACAGGTCGCGCTATTTACAACAACATGAAACAGTTCATTCGTTACCTGATCTCCTCCAACATCGGTGAAGTCGTTTCCATTTTCTTGACCGCCGCTCTCGGTCTTCCCGAAGCTCTTATTCCTGTGCAACTCTTGTGGGTCAACTTGGTAACTGACGGTCTTCCCGCCACCGCACTCGGTTTCAACCCTCCCGATCTCGACATCATGGACAAGCCCCCGCGTAAGGCTGACGAAGGTCTCATCTCTGGATGGCTGTTCTTCAGGTATGAATTAAAAGTTACGGTTCTCGATTCTAAGTCGCTTTATAACTTTATCATAACTGTTATATACCGGATGCTTGGCAACATATTGCGTCTGCTATTTCATTTAAAGTTTTATACAAGTTTTTAGAAAAGAGCCGATTTAATTCCCGTGTCACATGTGCAGGTACATGGCCATCGGAGGATACGTAGGCGCGGCCACAGTGGGCGCGGCGTCCTGGTGGTTCATGTACTCGCCGCATGGCCCGCAGATGACGTACTGGCAGCTGACACACCACCTGCAGTGCCTCAGCGGTGGAGACGAGTTCAAGGTGCGTTCATACGACTTCATACTTCATCTAATCTATAATTTTTTTCACTCTTTTCCTAGTTTCAATTTACAGATTTGGCTAAATATCGATATTTTATCAATATTTGACTTGATATTTTGTTATTTTAGGGCGTCGACTGCAAGATCTTCACTGACCCTCACCCTATGACGATGGCTCTCTCTGTATTAGTAACGATTGAAATGTTGAACGCTATGAACAGTTTATCAGAAAATCAGTCTCTCATCGCGATGCCCCCATGGTCCAACATGTGGCTCGTGGGCTCTATGGCTCTATCTTTCACACTCCACTTTGTCATTCTCTATGTAGAGGTCTTATCGGTGAGTAAAAGCTTGATTGTTATAAGTTGACATTATTACATTATATTTTGGGTCATTTAAACTCTTTTACAATTCTCGATCAAGAACTATGTTTTACTCCTTAAAGACAAGATCTATCCTGGACAATCTCTTACTAGGCCATTTTTGTTAAAAATTCTTTAGTAACAAGTTCGTGTTTCGTGCGTGATATGTCCGCAGGCCGTGTTCCAAGTGACGCCCTTGTCAGTAGAGGAGTGGATGACCGTGATGAAGTTCTCGGTGCCCGTGGTGCTACTGGACGAAGTACTCAAGTTCGTGGCGCGCAAGATCTCCGACGGTAATACGCGTTCGCTGGTAGACTGGCTCCACGGCATGCAGTGGATTGTGCTCATGTGGGCCGTCTTCTTTGGCATCGTCATCTACGGACCCCTATAAGCTGGCCCGCCCCGTGTGCCGTGCCACCACCCATTTGATCACATCTAATACCCTCCTACCGATTTCTGCGCCACCCACCCGCAATTTTTATATTTTACGGTTAAAATATTATGTTGCTTTGTTTAAATCCATGAGTTGCGAGTGTGGGTAGCGTACGGAATCACACTGTGGAAACCGATAGACTATGAGCTGCGCTCACCACAGTAACAGTATCTAACAGTTTGGAATGCTAATTCTGGCGCACATGGTGTGTGAAGTGATGCCCCTAGTGCACGTGTCCCACGCCCGCGGTTATGGACGGACCAGGACTGCGTGTAGTGACATAGACTATACCGAACAAGTGAAGTACGTACCGGATGCTCACTCGACTACGGCGGTGCTATCGGCTCAAAGGTCCGTGCGCGACGCACGGAATACACTACAGTACGTCGTCTTGTTTCTGTACTGCTTAGGAGTAGATCTGAGAGGTCCGGCGGCCCTTCTCTACGGTGGCCGCCCTCTCTTGTGAAAATGCATTTTGTATGTGCGAGACAATAAATTGTTTGGAGCTCATTTTTTTACAATGGCGTGAGTTCAACAAATATTTTTCTTCCTTTTACTGAGTACATATACATAATATTATACACTTATTTGATGTGAAGTGGCTGTGAAGACCTTCATTATGAAAGCTAACTAACAGAATACCAAATATTGGTTTAGTTAAAAGGTACTTATATTAGTTAGATATATTGCATTTGATGATACATTTTGTAACAAAATATCAGGTGACGCTCCATATTGAACAGAATAATGAACTCGCACATAGCTCAGTACCTTGTCCTTGTGGACTACAGACATGTTATTAAGCATACTATTAATTAATAGTAATGTGCATTGTTAGCTTAGTGTAATTTATCGTAAGTGTATTATTAGGGACGTGGTTACAATTCTCTCAGCATAGGTAGTACCATTTATTTAAAGAATGTCTTCTCTGTCCTTTGCTCCTGTGCTCGCTTCCTAACATTCCTGTTTGCATTTCTGTTTTCTTTTATCTTGGTTTGGTATTGAGAAGCGCTCTTATTAATCTAAGCTAGTATTAACAATGAATGTGTCCTTAGGCTGAATTAACTTGCCGAGTGGCAGTAATAGCGCGTCTCAGGTCCCACTCAGCTGCGCTGAGGTTGAATGTGAGTGTGGGACCGCTATTACCTCCATTGGTCGTGTTTTTGATACATCGAATTATTTCATGTCAAGCCTTGTTTCAATATACTTATATTAGAATTTCTTTTTTGTGTATTACTGTGTCTAATTTATATTTATTAATAATTTATTTATATACTACAAAATAATATATTGAAATAATGCGATATATGTATGTACCAACTTTAAATCAAAAAGTTACGAACCCACATAATGGTATGCTACATTTATATATTTTTCTTATCACTGTAATATTAATTTTAGTCTAAACAAATGTAGTGAGAAATAATATATCTGTAAGTTTCGGAAATAATGAATCGAAATTTGTTCAACCGTACGTGTGGTACAAGGATAGTACGTACATATGTATGTTTTTTAATAAATGCGATATAATACTGCATGGAAATATTGCATGGTTTATGATTTTGGGGAGTGCAGTTTTTGTTAAATAATACTATATTATATAAATTATATACTTATGAACTTCGTATCCAAATTGAAATAAGATTTAAAACAACCATTATTAGTCTGTATTTATTTTATTTGTTTTCCAGCAATACCAGTAATTTACACTTAACAATTTCATACTAGCAGTCAACATACTTATTTCGTAATTACCTAAAAGATTTAATGACTACCTATTGCCTTTGTAAGTTTAAACTTTTAAAGAGATAGAACCAAATACTGATCCCACATTTACACTGCACAATAAGGGCATGCTCAAAAACCTTTGTGTGAATGTCCCCCAAACCTTCCGAATCTGTTACGTTTGTCAGATTAACTTATTGAAATGTACAGTCGTTTATACATTTTACATATTAAAATAGTCAACAATTATTAATGTTTGAATTATTTCCCTCATAATCCAGTAGCAAAACTACATGGCACTCCCTGGTATGTTACGTAAATCACACATAAATCCTTATATAAAGTTATTGCTCCATGTCCTTTGCACACGTAATTGTTACTTATTCTGTTCCCTGCTAACATATTCTGAATTAACAAGTTTTGCAAACAATGTCGAGTTGTAAATAAAATGTCATATCCTGTAACCCAAGTTACACGATGAACATGTATTTTCAACTTGAAACGACTGGCTATATCACAACAGTTGGCAACAAAGTTAAACCTTTCTGATGAAAAGAACATGGGTTGCAAAACTTAGTTCCCGCCGAAAGCCACGACAGGTACGGCTCGTGGCCCGCCCGCACGCCCCCCGCATGCACTAACGTGGTGTTGTCGTTGTCTGCCCCCAGCCCAGCCAACGTGGAAGCTGTAAGCGCCGGAACAACGTCGCAGCGCCACTGCACGCACATATTCCATGAACACTCATTGTTTGTTGTGATCCCGCAGTGAAACTACACATTTAAAGTAACTACGACACGGTTGTAATAATCTGCATAAGATCTAGTAAGTTCGGACGGCAGCCCCCGGTCGAGCGTCCACGACATTAACACTCTCGTTGTTTTGCAGCGAACGAGGTGGTCATTGACAAGTGGTAAACGCCACCGATTCATAGTTCCTCACCCGCTTCTGTGCTACTTCTACCGCTCTCGTCTCCCGGTGTAATGTTAATTGGCTTTTAGATGTGTACGTAACTAAAAGACTCGTCACGTATGACTAGACTAGGCTAGGCTAGACAGGCCAGGGCCGGTGGAGGAGGCGCGAGACGGTCGGTGCGGCGACGAGGCGGGAGCGGGGCGCCGCCCCCGTCACCTGCTCACCTGCGCCAGTTCACCAGAGGGGACATAATGTTGTTCATAATGTGTATATACTACAGTATGCTTAGGAGATTTAATCAATTTGTTATATTACGTTGTTCTAATTAAAGACTACATGGTGCCCATCGGCAAAAGCAGTGCGATAGACGAAGTGTACTTAAGTTGAGAGCACTCATTAATTTATTGTTATATTTTTATCTTATAATCTAGTTTGCTTATATAGAGTCGAGTCATTTCAATTAGTGCTGACGCCTCGACGAGCAATATGGTGTCTGTAAGGGAAGGATAATTACACGATTGTCCAGTGTTTGGGACCTGAGTCCAAAAGTTTAAACATACCTGTACATTTTAATGTATTATTGTTTTGTACAATAAATCGTTATAAACGAAAGTGTTTTTTTTATATTAAATCAATAATTACACCTTAAGGAGTAAGACTGGGCATTGCGATGAAGAATACATAAAATTGACGATAAAGATTAAATATATTCTAGACACTATGCAGCATAGATAAATTTTGTTTAAAACTGCAGCAAAAATAGGATTTTGGAATGGGTTTATCTTTTGGTAAGTTCATAGTAAAAAGTTTTAGTAGTAGAAAAGAAATTTTTTGGTGTTCCGCTACTGTCAAAGAAAATCCCCAACCAGGAAAACCACTATTCAAAGGTAATGTCAAAAAATATTAGTAGAAAAATACGACATCAATGTAGTATTTCTACTGAAATAACATTATTTTTTGATTTCTTCAAGTTTATTCCGTTATTAATAATGATTTATTTCATACATTTAAAATCTTTATGTTCTTTATATATATTTTGTGTATAAAACACCAATACTGAGAAAATATTTTCAGTCATGTACTATTCAAAACTTTTAGATCAATGGGGTAAATGACTGTCAAGTCAAATCATTTACAACAAAACCATAGATGCTAGTGGTACCTACATTTTTCTATTTTATACAATGCAGGCTGCAATGATTTTATGATGTTACATTTAATTATCCAGGCGAAATATTTAAGCCTAGGAATCTACCCTATTTAAGAATGTTTTTAAATATTAAAGTGTGCGTGATGCACAAATGTCTTATAACCCTTTAAAACAGTTTGACCTTAACATTTCTAAAAAAGTTTAGTTACTATTTTTTGCAAATTGAAAGAGTTAAGATGGAGAAATTATATTAAGAATTGAAACACAAATTGCCCACTTGGAATTTTTAAATGAGCACTGCTTTTGCTTTTAGAGCATAGTTCCAAATATTAAAACTGGCCAAGTTCAAGGGTAAATTAAATTTTATCACTGGTATTTTTTGTTCAGAAACTGTGAATTTGCAGAATTGATATGAATTATGTCTAAAAAGGCAGTTTTGCTATAAATCAGGTGTGCGTTACTCCAGCAAAATAATGTCGAAAATGGTCATTTAAACGTTATAGATAATTAGTTGCTCCCCTTCTGTAATTATTAAGCACATTTTTAAATTTGTTTCACTTAAACTTTTTTAGTTATTTCAAAAAAACATTTCCTGCTGGGGTAACGTTTGAAACGTTACCGCAGCCAGACATTTTCTTTTTTAATTGTAATATTGAAATAAATTTTAGCTAAATTATTAGTTATCTGGACTAGGTATGTTACAATTATGTTACAATTATGTTAATTGTTATGTTACAATTTATTTGGTATTTGTATTTTCTTCGGCTGCGAAGTTATTCGAGATCCTGCTGGAGTAACGTTTGTGGGTTTGCTGGATCTCTGAAACGGGCAAGCGGATTGTAACCATCTTTTGTACATAACTTCTTAAGGATTAGTTTTAATTTGTTCGACAGTAAAATAACAAAAATAATGGACCGTTTAAAAATTATTTAGGTAAGTATGAAAACACTTCAATACGTCCTAACACTTATTAACGTTATTCTATTGCTTGTTGTCGTTATTCTATTACCATCAAATGTATACGAATTTTCGTAAGAATACTGAAAGTGACTAAAAAGTTATGATGAAATGTAGCTCTCCACGTTCACGATCACAATGTGTGCGGCCTTTTTTGGCCACCGATAAACCTGTGTGTGGATATATAAACTGAATGTTATGCCAACAATTACTTGTTTAGTTCAGTTGTCTACCTGTAAAATTTCGGCATCGTACATATAATAATTTACGAGATAGTTAAATAAAAGTCATTAGAAGGTGCAAGTCCGTGGTAACCCGACCATGTTTAGGTGGTTACAAAAAAGCGATCACCCAGTACATTGCGCTGTCTTTTAAAATGTTTAGTGTAATACACCTTACGATTTCGGTACAGATGCGTACAGTGTTAAATACATTCAATATTTATTCATTATTATTACCTATTATTTATTTTGTTCTTTTTTCCTAATTGATCTTAAGCACTAGTTTCTTTACTTAAAATTTCTTTAGTCTGTTTAACTACCGGAGCTACAATCAACAGAAAATCTGCACTGGCCCGCTAAAATTATAAATATGTAGATACATGTATGAACGATTCACCTGACTGCAATAAATCGAAAATTTAAACCATTAAGAAATCGTTTCATTTCTTTGATTTTTTTTGTAAAGAAATAACACTGAAGTAATTATATTTTATTTTGAGGTAAATAGAGCTTAGACTTGAATGCATCAAAATATTTAAAGAAACAAGTTATCTACAATTAGTTAAAATAGACCATAATAGTAGAAGAATACAGTTGTAAATTAGAATGCATCAAAATTGCATCGCCCAACTCGATACGCGATACTATTGTATCGCGTCTACTCACAGGCAGGGACTACAGCTGTACCCCGTGTTCTCTCTATGCTTGATCTAGTTCAATTTTTAGTGGTAAGCAGCCTTTTGACGTTGGCACACAATATTGGGGAGGAGACGTCAGCTAGGAATGTTTTTGCAACAGGGTCAGATTGAGATCTTCAGGTTCTCTCCTCATTTGCAAGGCCTAAAACTATGTAGAGAAGTTGATTAAACGTGAGAGACGTCATCTAAGAATGAGCGGACTTAGTCGTATGAGTGTATCACCTTATCAAAATGAAAGCACAGAAAGTTTTGCACTAAATGCCTGAAATTTCGCAGGGAAGTTTTATAGTTAATACACGTGAACTAAGAAAACATTTTATTTTGGAATAAAGATGCGAGTAAAAGGCGCCTGATTTGGTAATGTGTGACTGCTTTTATTTCCTAAAGTACATTACATTTAATTAAACTATATTGCCGGAGGAGTATTGAAAAGTGGTTTAGATACATATGTACAATTTCACAAAAAAAAGTAGTAACAACTACTTATTTATTTGGTTATTTGAAGACATTTATCAAACAAATTGGTCTATAGACTTCTGTTCTTTTATTGGTTTCTGTATAATAAAATGTTCTTGTACTCACTTTTATGCATTCCTGTTTAACCTAATAGATATAGATCAGACAAGTAATCAGGTAAAAGGTATGGTTTTTGCTATATTCTATTTCTAATGGTTTACTGAAGTTTAACTCTGGAGTTTGATCCCAATTCCACCAAAGTATTAATTACGACTTTACGACCGATTTGTATACCCGTCTTAACATTTTTTTCTGGTGAGAGAACACGGACTTTCCGGTAAAACTCAGTTAGAGTAACAAGTATACGACCTTAACCTACTCGAGCTATTACGTACCTAACCTACATTTCCCAATTCATCTGTAAAAGCAATATCGCTTTCCTACCATTGGCTTCCTGCCTTACTCACCCTCCCTTTTCAATATACGCTCAATTTACCAATTTATTTCAAAATGAATAAAGAAACCCAGTTAGGCTAGAGTGCTAGCTAGCTATTACGTAAATGGGACTAAAAGTTAGTGGTCAAAATAATTGAATCGGTCATTTCAAAAACCTCATAAGTCATACAATCAGAGTTTTCCAAGAATCGATAAAACTGTTTCATGCAAAACGAGTTAAAAAGGACTTTTTTATGCTTAATTTAGTATTGCATTTAAAAAAATGAAATATCGAATAACCTTCACAGTTTATTAATAATAATAATGATGAAAAACCTTAAAAACTGTTCTTGACTTATGTTTTAGCAAGAAATAGGGTTATTATTAAAAAGCGGCTACTGGCCGGCGACCTTGACCTCTTGTCATGCTCCTCGGCGATGCGCGATGATGAGGTGCACGCCCTTGCCGCGCAAAGAAATAGGGTTACAGTAGAACAATCAAGTAATCATATTTTTTTATTGCTTATTATTGACAATTACATTTAATAATTAATTATTTTAGTTGTGTTTTTTGTGCGTTTTTTTTTTATTAATTTATATAATGTTACATGTATGCAAAAACTTCTTTAGTCACTAACTAATGTTGTGTATACAATGAACATCTTCTACGCGGTATTATTTGAAGAGAAAGAATGTATTGACATACGTGGCTTACCTACATTCTTACCGTTAAAAAATAATTTTCAGCAAAAACAACAAGTAGGAAAAAAATATGACTTTTTGAAATGACCGATTCAATTGTTAAATACGCCTTTTTATACCTCTTTGAAAATAAAGGCATAAGTATGTTTTTAACGACAAAATATATGGCTCCAGTTAATATTTATTTGCCTTGTAAAGACTACACTAGATGTTTGAAAAAAACATAATTAATCGTAGATCAGAGGAATTTTGCAATTTACCACGCTGCCGTAGTAATATTTACTTGAGACACTACACAATGCCACAAAGTGATTTTCTGATCGAAGTCGAGTTTAGTTTCTGTCTATTGCCAGCTTGATTTACAGCTTGCCAAGGTCTGTTCAGTGTCAGACCATGACCTCCAAGGAAAGAAAACGATATATTTTGTGTATGATACAATATAGCTAATCATCAAAATAATACACCGTACACCTTGGTGCACAGAGTACAGTAATATAAGTATATAACTAGCCTTGGTACCGGGCACGTTCCAGCCTGCAGATATTAAAATTTCAAAATAAAAAAATTCTCATTTTATAGATCTCAATTAGCCCTTTCGACCTACGTTAATTAATTTATAAGCCCCTTTTTCGTTTTCCCAGGAAAAATAGAAATATAATTTTCAATTTTCCTCTACTTAAAATAGCCATATCTCTTTGAAAAATGATTATTTTTTACTCTACCAAGCGTAAAAAAATTGCCCTTGCGCTAATTTAATTTGCCCGCGTACTAATTCTTAAAAATATTCAATAATTAATATTGTAAATAATAAAAAACCGTCGTGGCATTTCCAAGCCAATTATGCGCATGCGCGCCAGAATCAAACAGAAATCAGCTGATGCTACACGCACGGAAGTACGTACGTTATATAGTACGTGTTGATTGGGCCTGTTTAAGCATACATACATTTTTAAAAAAAGAAAGAAATGTAAATATTTATTAATAAAATAGCTATGTTTTTTGGTTTATTTCTTTGTTTCAATTCTTGAAAATTTTAATTATAAATTTACACATACACATCAAACTACCAAAGGCACATAATAATGAATCCAATAGTACTGAAAAACTTCCCGAAACAGTAATATAACTTTTAAAGTCCTTCCGTGCGTGTAGCATCAGCTGATTTCTGTCTGATTCTGTCGCGCATGCGCATAATTGGCTTGGAAATGCCACGACGGTTTTTTATTATTTACAATATTAATTATTGAATATTTTTAAGAATTAGTACGCGGGCAAATTAAATTAGCGCAAGGGCAATTTTTTTACGCTTGGTAGAGTAAAAAATAATCATTTTTCAAAGAGATATGGCTATTTTAAGTAGAGGAAAATTGAAAATTATATTTCTATTTTTCCTGGGAAAACGAAAAAGGGGCTTATAAATTAATTAACGTAGGTCGAAAGGGCTAATTGAGATCTATAAAATGAGATTTTTTTTATTTTGAAATTTTAATATCTGCAGGCTGGAACGTGCCCGGTAGCCTTGGTGTGACTTGGGCATGCCGCATTGGTTGGGGCAACACTTAACTTTCAAAGTGTCATAATTTTGGATTGATGCCGAGGACTGGTTTCTGTTTTTGGTCCTGCATGTCCTTTTTTAATCGAATTTACAGTGAGACTGAATTAAATAGTTCGAGTACAATATAACTTACACAAATTCACTATTATTTTCACACTTTATCTATTTTATGACAGTAAATAACTAAGAATGAGTTGACAACTACTAGTTATGGAAGCATCTAAGTCCGTTACAAGTTTAATATATTTGCCTTTAAGTGATAAAAACTTCGTACAAATACTATTTTTATATATTACAGGGTCGAACTGGAACTGCCGCATAAAATGGCGCACTTAGATATAATGGAAATCGATGAATCAAATACTGAAACGGAGGAGAATAAATCTCAAGTGCCAGAATTAACTTCTCGTGTTTTAAGGAAAAGAAAATCTATAATGCCTGAAACAAGTAAATCTTCTAATCGTAGAGTTAGTATGAAACCTAGTAAACGTATTATGTCAGAAAACGCGAGCTCTAAACAAATAGAAGCCTTGTATCTAAACAAAAAAGTTAAAAGTTCGTCACAGACTCTTGAAACAATTTACGAAGAGCCTAAGAGTCAGAGCAATGAGTCTGAAATGCTCATAGGGGGAAGAAAGGTGAAAAGGCTGCTCACGTTCCAGTTAGGTAATCAATATACTAAGGAAAAAATTAAGAAGCGCAGAGCTAAGATTAAAAAAATGTTAGGCAACAAATCATTTTTAAATAGAAAAAAAATACCAATGCAAGTATTCCTCAAAACAATAGAATGTCTGGATTTAGATGAAGTAGTACAAACTGAAACCTTATTGCCAACCAATGGTAAAGATGTGTGATAAATTGCTATAAGACTTGTTTACCTATGGTAACAATTTTCTCAATCATAATTTCGTACAAAATAAATTTAATCATAAAGAAAGCTTTTTTCCTTTGTAATCCTTAGGACTTCTCCTAATTTGAAATTGCTTATTATAAAGCACTCTGTACACTTTACAATGGGCTCAGTACTCTCTATTATATAGTTTTAGTTTTATTTATTGCTACATAGAAACTTGTTACTTGTTATTGAAAAGTGTAATAAATTTTTTGCTCTTGGCCTGCTCATGGCAATTCAATTATGTTTAAAGTATTTTTTTTAATAACACAATCTTTCCAAAAATAAATGCAGAGACATTTTTGTATGTATTTATTACAAAACTATGAGATTTAATGAAGATTCATTTGTACATGTGTTGCCTTATTGCTATCCTACTTAGGTCATTATGAAACAGGTAGTTGCTGTTTCTGGGCAGTTCTTGTACTCTGTAATAAGCCTCGATGAAGTAGTTTTGTCATTCAGATTTAAACATATACAGCGAGGCTTGTCAACTCCCGGAGAATACAGCTGCCTCGGTACTCCTGTCCAACTCCTTCTTATACCACCACTGGAAAGAAAATAAGGTTTTATTTTTCAATTTCATATCAATTTCTTTTTCCACATGATTTACGATGCAATTTAATATTATATATTTTTCAATACCACATCTGTCATTTCAATATGATAATAGAAAATACCTAGAAGTTGTGCACCAGACTTTAGTGCCCTCTGCTTCACTCCAAGCTATGTTACACGGTGGATACTTCAAATTCTCTTCCTTAGTATTTGCTTTCTCCAAATCACACTGCTTTAACTTATTTTTCAACTCTCTTGTGTAGGCAGTCTCATCTCCATTATTGTCATAAAATCTTCCTGACAAGATACCTATTTATAAAATATACTTTTTATTTGGCCAACAGTATATTCAGCTTTTGCAGAAACAAATAGCAAATTTGAGAATTCATTAAGATTTTTACATCGTTCTCTAACTCACATCCATTTTAGATGCATTTTTAGAGCTGCATAAATAATAATATACATGGGCATGAAGAGATGTAAAACAGGACTTTTTGATTCCAATCATCATCACTAAGAAATAAATGCAGGTCATTAAACAAACAACGTAGAATACAAATAAATCTCCATCATTTAGTTAAAAGCTTTGAAAGAATAGCTGAACACAGGTTTTCTGTGAGACAGAGGTATCCATGGGATATAATAATATAAGGGATACAGCAAATGATAGAGATGGATGCCCGATATATCCCTCTGTCGCTGTTTAGCTAAGCTGCAATTGGCTACTTATTAACCCCTCATATTCGTTGCCTATATTGCAAGATTGGGGCTCTTGTTCTATCTAGGTTATATGTCTATGGTGGTATCATTCTAGCCAGGCCAGCCTGCATGTGACAAAGAATGGCTTTCCCGCAATAAAAAACATATAAAGATTTTTTTCTTTTTTAAAGAACTGCACTAGCAAAATCCTGTGTCCTCCGACTTTACAAACATGCATGAAATGGACAATATGATTCACTAATAATAAAGATCTAGAATGTAAGGCCTTATATTTTACTTCAAGACTTACCAATTTCATCATACTTTTTTTCAAATGTATTCCTCCAATGAAGTACTGTAGATAACTCATTGCAAGATAAATCCATGACATGATCCTTGTCTTGACTTTCATCTTTAAAGTCCCCTGTGACAAGTGCTCGGGAACCATCTTTACCTGGAAATATATTAATAAAAATATATTCCCACACTGTGTCTCTATATTCCTTGTGATATGCATTTGAATGAAAAGAATGAAATGAAATGTAAGAAATGGCAGCAGCAGTAACCAGTATTGAAATAGGACATAGGAACTTTAAATGAAAAACTATGTTTTCTACTTGCAAAATGAAACAAATATTAATACATTGTGCATGAGACCACAGAAAAATCTTGTTGGTTTGAACAATTGCTATAACAATTTATCTTAAGCTTGGGTTACTATTAAAATTGATTTAAGTTTACCTACGAAATAATGATATCCACTTCCTTTCTCATAGTATTTCTTTCCTTTTGTAACATCAAAAACTACACCTAGAACTGCTAAATAAAGGTTGCTTTTTTCAATCCCATTAAATTGTGCTAATTCTTGTTCTGAATATACACCTGTTTTAACTTCTGTCTTAAAAGTATTGAAATATAAAGTTAAATCTTCATGGTACAATATTGCACAAACTATTACTGCTACAGGAATTATAATGTTTCTAAAACTTAACAAATATTTTAGACTCATTTTAAGATGATATATGCGAGGAGGTAGTAAAAGTAACTTTTACACAATAATTGAAAATTGTTTGACCTACTGCCGCTAATTAAATATTTTTGTTTCTGACGAATAAATTTTTGGTAAGTGATCAATAATTTTAGTAAGATGGTAACAGAACAGTAATATTTAAATGTTATTTTTCACTAAAGACAAAACGTATACTTATTATAGTACTGACTTAACTAAAATGAATGAGGAAAATAAACAATTTTAACTTTTAATTCACCGTTATGTCAATGTAGATGAAAACATTTAGCGCAAGAGATTATATGTTTGTACAGTAAATAAAAATTGATTCAGTAAACAAATTACTAATATACATATCGGGAATTAATAATTTCAGCTGTAAATTTTAATCTCGACAGTTAAATAGAGTTTATTAAACGCAGCAGAAAATATTCCTTTTTCAGACAAGTTTGTGACATTTGAGAAAATTGAGAATAGAGATGCACATTTCACATTTTCACAGATTAGGTATGAAAATTAGATGTTAATTCTGCATAGAATTTTATAGCTAATCCATGTTGTAAATTCATTTATGTCCGCTTATATTGAAATATATATTATGTACTACAAAATGTGTAGAGACTTCGTGATCCATGTAAAAGTGGTGTGATATAATGGAAGCCTTCATGATATTAGTACTTCTTAATTTTGAAGAAACAGAGTAAGAACATGATAATAAATAATCCAATTTCAGAGAAACAAATACGATAATATAAAGCTCGACTAATTTTTTTCTCGCGATTAGACAAACGCCAATGGAGTTCAGAGGGCCAAGTGCGAGTTTCTTTCACTTCTACTTGATAGTTATAGTGACTGCGTTCTGCGCTACGATTGGACCGCACTCTCTACACGATTGGTTCGAGTAGAAGTGAAATAAACTCGCATCTGCCCCTGAGATTGATTAGGTACTGTGCAATCGTTTTTATTTAATTATTACAAAATTATCAAGTTACTCTCAACACCTATTACCTAGATGATCTGTCAATATGAATGAAATGAAGCCTACATAAATAATAGTAACTAAAAACAAAGACATTTGTACCGGATAGTACCGGGGATTACCCCGAAAAAACTAACTCACAAACTTTAATTCTTTATAATATCATAACGATTTTTCACAGCCTTGTTTCTTAAAATTATTAATGATTTTGTTTTGTTATCCTGATATTTTCCTTATTTTGATAGATAATCAGGATAATAAATTTTAAACACTACAGTACTTTATTGTAAGTCCGTATCTTTAAAGTTTATAAAAACCGTGTTTTTGCCATAAAGTCACACTTGCACATCACACTGCTAAAAAATCGGTATTAGCCAAGTTAGGCACAACTCGAGTTAGTAAGTCGAGTTCACCTCGAGTTGACACATCACTAATCAAACTCAAGGTTTTAGTATTAGCGGATAGCGAAACTATTTTCGAAAAATATTTACAATCATTTTGCATTATTTGTTTTAGGCGATGATAGTTAATTGAATAAAATAAAGTATGAAGAAATATCATTTTCTTCTGTACACCAACATGAAGCTAAACCTGACTTACCAATCAAGATGTTTTTCACGCGCTGCAAGAAGAATAGTTGTTACCGGATTGGGCATTGTTTCTCCTCTAGGAACAGGCACTGAACTGGTGTGGAAGAATTTATTGAAAGGAAAATGCGGTATAGTAAGCTTGCAAGGTGAAGCTTATTCAAAGCTACCATGCAAAATAGCTGGCATAATACCTTTGGATAATGATAAAGTAGTATCCGCCTTATCAAAGTCAAATTTAAAGTCAATGGCGCCTGCTACATCCTTGGCTCTCGTTGCTACATCAGAAGCACTGATAGATGCTAATTGGTTACCAAAATCTGATAGTGATAAAGAAGCTACAGGTGTAGCTATTGGAATGGGTATGATAGATTTGAAAGATGTATGCGATACAAATGAGGCTTTAAAATTAGGTTACAATAAAGTTAGTCCTTTTTTTGTGCCAAGGATCTTACCAAACATGGCTGCAGGACAAATTAGTATTAAATACGGATTCAGAGGGCCAAATCACTCTGTTTCAACAGCATGTGCAACAGGTGCACACTCTATTGGAGATGCCTTTCGGTTTATAAGGAATGGGGATGCTGATGTCATGGTCTGTGGAGGAGCTGAGGCTTGTATAAGCCCACTTGCCATTGCAGGGTTTTGTAGATTAAGAGCACTAAGTACATCATTCAATACTGAACCATCTAAAGCATCAAGGCCATTTGATAAAAAAAGAGATGGGTTTGTAATGGGAGAGGGAGCAGCAATTTTAATATTAGAGGAATATGATCATGCAGCAAAAAGAAATGCTAAAATTTATGCAGAAATATTAGGGTATGGGTTATCAGGTGACGCCTCACATATTACTGCACCTAGAGATGATGGAAGTGGTGCAATGTTATCAATGAGCCGTGCGTTAAGGGATAGTGGAATTGATAAATGTGATGTTACATACATCAATGCTCACGCTACATCTACTCCTATAGGAGATGGTATTGAGTCTACAGCTATAAAACAATTATTTAAGGAGCATAGTTCAAATATACAGGTGTCCTCAACTAAGGGTGCCCATGGTCATCTGTTAGGTGCTGCAGGTAATTTAGAAGCAGGTTTTACTGTATTAGCCTGTTATCATGGAATTATACCCCCAACAATAAATTTGGAGGAACCCATTGACAACTTAAATTATGTAATTGAAAAGCCAAAACCTTGGGAAGCAAACAGAAGAATAGCTTTAAAAAATTCTTTTGGATTTGGTGGTACTAACGCTACATTATGTATTGGACAATGCATTTAGATGATCTGTATATAATAAGTATTATCATTTGTATAGGTATATATAGAATGAAAATAAAACATGTTATCACTGTATTATATAGTATATTTAAAACTGAGTTTACAAATGTTTTCCGACTTTAATAACAATGGCGAAATAGCCCCAAGGTAACTTTGACCTCTTGCTTACTCAAAACTTTGATAATAAGCAACGGTTCATTGTGTACCACATAATATTGAGTCACGTAAAGCATTGAAATAAAATAATTTGATCAAAAAATGCTACTTTAAATATTCCATTACTAAGCCTTCTAACAATTTAAATAGTAAATATATTAAATGCTGGTTTTTATCCAGTCCATCCATTCTATTATGAGAATCATTCAAACTTGCACTTGTAATTTTGCAATAGTGTGGCCACTTTGTAGTCAATATTGCAAAAACAATAATTTTTAATGATATTTATGAATTTACTAAACTGCCAATATTATAATTTTCGTAATAAATAAAATGATTTAGATTAAATAATAAATGGAAACTGAACATTTCTTTCACAACACAAAAATTGTGAAAATGCAATGTTTAACTTTTAAAGGAAATACATATCTCAATTTTCTAAATTGCCAATCTAAAGAAATATCAGTTTACTCATCATACAGATTTCTAAATTTTCATTATTACATCAGAGGATGTTACTTGGGCAATATTATAGCAGTCAAACTGATTGTAGACCAAAAGGACCTTGTTTTCATTAGAAATACTGCAATATGTTACATATTGTTACAATAACATTTACAGGTTTAAAATCTGCTAATTGATTAACTTTAAAGTTGCCTGACTATGATGTGTTATGTAACAATAATTAACAGAATTAACACTCATGATGGATAGGTATCCATCAGGTGAGGTCTGACTGACTTGTCACTAACTCATAAACAAATTTGGTCCACTCACAGGTAAAACCAACAATCTTGGTCTATTAAGTAATAGTAGTTTTGATATATATTGCTCATATGAATTTTCTGACATTAATATAGTGTGCTAAATACTCATCTACAGAGTATGAAAGCCAACTACAGTAAAATGAACAGGTTTACAAAGTGCAGTTGAATGATACGGCAGTTCTGCAGCGTTAATTAAGCTGGCTGATTGTCTTCTTTCTGCTGTGAGGTATGTATCTGCGGCGTGTTCACGCACAACTGGGCGAATTTTTGGCGAAGGTTCTGTCGTAACTCCTGTCTTTTTTCCGTAATGTTTCTTCGTGATTTAAATTCCATTACTTCTTCTATAGGAATATAACTGGTATCCTGTTCTTCATCTGACGAACATGTGTCCTAAAAACGAAAGCCGTTATCTTTATTTTGTGAAAAAATTTAGAAAAGTAAGAAATACAAAATGCAGTACTCGAACCTTACCATTAACATTTCTTGTAAAGATAATGTAAAACCGGAGCATAAAGTCTTATCATTCTTAGCCAAATCTAAACAGTCGCCTCTCTCATGATTACAGAATCCCTCGGAACAGGCCACCTCTGAACCTTCGGGTGAACTCATAAGAGAAGAAGAACCGGACATAGTTTCACAGCAACCTCCATTATTCCCAGATGAATATCCACAATCGTGTGAATGTTCATTAGGCGAAAGGTTGCCATTTTTGGCCCGTTTTTTTGCTGTCTTTTTAGGTGAGCGGCGTTTCGTAGAGTCGTCTTGACAAGATTGACACCCGTCCCCGCTCGCCTCGAAACACTGTTGATTGATGTAGTCGCGCGGGGACAGTAGGTCAGTCGGTGTGTCTCTTTCTTCCAATAAACATTCTTCACATTGGCACTTCTCGTCTGGTTCTTCTGAATCTGCTTCCTGTACAGAATGATTAAGAATGATATTTACGATGAAATTTATTTAAATACAATACACATACAAAAATTCCACCATTTTGGTTACATATATAAAGAACCTTCCTTCCTAATCAAAAGTAATAACAACTAAGCATTTATTATGACTCGTTTATGACTGTATTTGTTTACTGAAAAAACAAAAGAACTGTACATAATTCCGCCATGAATCGCACGAACCAGGATGACGACGACGGTGAAGTGGAAAGTCCGACGTGGACTTTTCTTCTGTTGGTTTTCCCATTGATTGATATTCATTAATCAATGGGCAAACTAACAGAAGAAAAGTGTATGACAGACTATGAGAAGCGGATTTCTTTTAAAGATCCTGTATATCCCGAATCTGCATTTTCTAACCATTTGATTATGTATGTGCTAGAGGAGAGATACAGACATTCATAAACTAAGATGACATAGTTTAAATATATTTTTTTACTTAATTAAACATAGCGTTTCTGTCGGCTGAATAATTCAGTGCCTGTTTTATTGTTATCGATTTTTCTTTTTAGTAGTCCGTTTTAATTTTATTTATATCTTCCTCTTTTTTTTTAAAGCAAACACGAGTAGCCCTACTAACGCGTCCCTTGCATAAAACAGTGACGTTTAAATGAGACAAGTGAAGGAAGGGCGAAACGTCTATACCTATGAAGTAAATATGCATCCAAGGCTATTTCAAATAAAATCAGTTCACAAACATAAACAAAACATTGATGCCCAAATATTCTTATTTTTAATTAATCGAGCCCTTCCAAGCCAATCGCTCTAAAAACTAATCAACATCAATGTTATTCTCAATTAGCATCAAATAAGTTTTTAAAATGAAGTCAGTTAATTGAGAGCATAAAGATGTTTATTTTATAATTCTCTTGATAATGACATAGGAAAAGAAAATATCATCAACAGCCTATAATAGCGTGTGACATGGGTGAGATATATTATTATTATTAATATCTTAATTTATGAATGGATCCCTGGACTATGGAAACTTGGATATTCTGCGTTGTCCAATTAGTCGAACCAACAGCCTAATTTGAAATCTGAAAGCTGTGTGCGAGATGTCTCATGTTATAATTATTATTGATATGGAAACTAATGACATAAAAAGTATTTATTATTTTGAATTAGCCATTCCCTAATATCTTTAGAATAAAAATGATTGAAATCATTCTACTTACTTTACATTTGCTTTCGACAGCCTGCCGCTCCTTCTTCTTGCGTCGTTTTAACTTCTTCTGTTCTTTTCTCTGTTGCCTTGTTAACTCTTCTTGAGTGATTTCATCATACAGAAGTTGCAGCTTCGATACTCCGGTCTTATGTTCAACGGCAGTTTCGAATTTGCGATAGAGAGCCTCTACAGCCACTGCTGCAAGGGTTTGACATGTTCCTTCTTCTTCGCGTAGCCTTAAAGAGATGCGCTGTAGTCGCTCATAAATACATATGCCTAGACAAATGAGTACCTACAAAAATAAATTCTTATTAGAAATTTATTTGTTCTGGATATAAAGCAGAAGATGAAAGTGCTGCTTTTCTTTCTCTCTATTGTAGATATTTTCTGGATAAAAATAGTAGACTTGTTTTGACCCAAAGTAGTAATCAGAAATAGTTAAGCGCTGTATTGAGTGTGAGGATAATCCAGGCTAAGTACTTTTTATTCGTAAGTATTTTTTACATAAATATATTCATCGTAAACCACAGGGCTTGCCACGGTTGCCAAAGATTAAGCAAACAATGAGTAATGAGATGAGAGAACTACTACTACATTACATAATTACTGACCTCTTCTTGTGCAATTTCAAGTGTTTTGGCGTGTCTCTCTCTATGATTACCAAGTAACTCTGGCTCTGCTCTAGCTATAAGATGTGCTATGTAATCAGTTTTGGCTTGCAAATGTAAGTGCTTGTCTAAGAGACATCTTTTGATACCACCATACAAAGCTCCAACATATCCTTTCTCTTTTTGTGGCTCCTTCTCTTCCACTAACAGTTGATATGCCCTTAAGACCTGCCAGTAATTAAGAATTACAATTTATTAACATACAAAGAGTGGAGATTAATATACATTCTGGTACAAATTACTTGTATTTATCATTTAATGAACATGTTGATACAGCCAACCTAATCTTATATATAAAATTCTCGTGTCACAATGTTCGTTCCCGTACTCCTCCGAAACGACTTGACCGATTCTGTGTGCACATCGGGTAGGTCTCAGAATCGGCCAACATCTATTTTTCATACCCCTAAATGGTAAGGGTGACCCATCCCTAATTTTTTTGTTTTGCAATACAACGTTTGCCGGGTCAGCTAGTTAACTATAAATATTTTCTGTTAACCCTTACTTATACAAATTTATTGTTTATTTAGATCAAAAAAATCGTCTTGCAGTCGAATATTTTCCATTAATAATATTATTTTGAATGTATGGTTTTTATGACATATTTTTATTTTATACCTACTGATTTTCATCAATGTTGAACTTCTTCTGTTAAAAGACTTTCTTACTAATTTCCCACAAATTGCATTTTGGGTATGATATATGTACATTACATATCCAAGACGGAACTCGAGTGAAATTAGTAAGATACATACTGGACACATTGTTAAAAATATAAGTTTTCTTCACTTCTCGACATTTCCTCATATAAATTATTCAGTGTGCTAAAAGCAGTACAAATAAACATCTAGAGTAGAGAGAGAAAGAGAGAGAGAGAGAGAGAGAGAGAAAGAAAGAGAGAGAGAGAGAGAGAGAGAGAGAGAGAAAGAGGGAGAGAGAGAGAGAGAGTTAGAGTAGAGGTTTGAGTACACAAGGAGTTTATATCAAAACATATCAAGTTATGATTATTATAATTCTGGAGGTAAGTAAATGAAAGATATTGATAAATATTATAACTGGAAACTAATTGAACTGAGTAAAATATAATTATAAGATAGTAAATATATATAATAATTATTATATATTAACTATCTTACAGTATTAATCGATCTTACCTTAGTTTTACAATCGGCACAAAAACGATGTTTCCTAAGGTAGTTGTGGAGTGTGTCATGTAGTGTGTTGAAGTGCACGAGGGTGACGTGGTCGCGGGCGGAGGCACGCATAGCATCCCACGCAGCGCGCCAGGCAGCCCGGCCGCCCCAGCCCCACGCGGCCCATCCCCAGCCACACGCAGCCCCCGGCCCCGTGCCTCCTGTCCCCGCCCCGCCCGCTGCCGCGCCCCAGCCGCGAGCTGTGCCTGCCTCTAGCGAATGCAAAGTACATCGCTGTGATTTTTTCCATCGTGGCTGACTAAGTATTAGACATTCTATACCTGTACTGAAAAGAAAAATTCAGAAATTAGATACCATAATTGCCTAACAACAAACACTTGAAGATAATTTAATGAATTAACAGAAAGTAAAGAACAAAAACTAATGGGTCTGGTATCATTTTGATTTGGATAGCTATTTAACTAACTATTTTTACACTAACTTTTGCCCGTGGCTCCACCCGCGTAAATGTCGATTATCGCGGTAAAAGGTAGCCTATGTCAAGCCTTCAGTGTTTATTGATTCCCCATACAAACTTCCACCACCTTTCAAAGATGATTTCTAGGATAAAAGCTACCCTATATCCTTTCCTGGAACTCGGACTATCTCTATACCTCATCTAAATTGGTTAACAGACAGACAGAAAGAAAGACAGACACACTTTCAGATTTAAAACATTAGTATGGATATGATTTATAGTATAGATACCTGTGACCATTTAGTAATGTGGCTAGTGATTGTGGTTGTGTGGCTTTGTCTTGTCTAATTGTCATAATTTCGTCCGGTGTGAGCACCAATGGATCCAGTGTGGGATGTCCTGATTTACATAACTGATAAAAAAGACGTTCCACGCTGTAAAACAACAAACAGACATTAGCATTCAAAAGACTAAACAGTGAAGTTACAAATAACAGAGAAGAATGGAAGAAGAAATCTTAATGCAACAAACCCACATAAACTTTGGCAAAAAGGGCACTAATACAATAAGCAGTCAATCTGTAGTGTTGTGGTAAGTCATCCTAGCACCTTAGTCTTACCATAGACTTAAAAGTGGCAATCACCACACAGCTCCTAATAAAAGTTGTTTGCAAGTTTTAGGCAGTTCATAATTATTTTTTTAACAATTATTGTTTAATATCATATTTAAAATTAAATATCTGAGATTTAAAAACTTAGTACCGGAATCAATAATGTAGTTTTTTCTATATAAAGGTTGCTAATTGGAATGTGTGCAAGCCAAAGGACCTATTCTGAGACTTGCACAGTCAAAGGAGCTAAAGCATCTAAATCTGAGCTAAGCACACAAATATTTGCCTTCATCAATCATCATCATTTAATTCATCAACAGACTTTAATAGTCCACAGCTGGACATAGGCCTCTCCTTAGCAAGGAGGTTTTAGCCTACTACACTACACAGGCAAGTGTGTGGTGTAGTAGGCCAAACTATGTGTTTTTATAGGAATTGTGTCAAGTTTTCCTCCTCTTAGCAGTGCTGTTGTCCTGCGTGGTTTGCTTCCTTAGTCGGCTCTTACGATATGCACGGGATAAATAGGGATGGTGACACTTTATATGCTCAATCCGTCACCACACGACCTTCGCAATATTGGCCTATTATGAAAATTATTATTTTGTGAGCAAAGAGTTATGGATACTCCAATGATATCTCTGGAACATGACATAATTAAAATGTAACTTGATGTACTACTGTTCCCAATAAAAAATAGTGACGAACCGAAGTTTCGGCGGGTTACTTACTAGTGTTCACACAAAAGAGATGATGTTCGATTCAGATACTACTTGAGTATGTCTCAAGTTACAGAACCTTTCTCAAAACTCAAGAAACGCTTGAGCATAGTTTTATAAGGCGAAACTCATGAGTTTCTGGAGTTTTAATTTACCCTTAGATACTAGAATAGGACCCTTGGATTTAATTTTTCTATAGGTAGTTAATTTTTGTTGAATTACATTCTGTTAGAATTTTACCCTATTTTAGCATTTTTAACCATTCAAAAAAACTTATACTGTATATATAACATGTAATATTCAGTTGCTTAACTTATACTATGAGAAAACACATATAGTCCATTCCAATTACCTAGTCAGCCACCTCGCCAGGTCCCTTCCCGCCTATCGCATCATGTACCTAGGTAATTTAGACATGTGAATTTATAGTATTTGGTTGCTAGCTACGTATTTTTTTTATCTACCTACCTATATACTTTTTCTCTTATTTATAATTAATACCGGGTCTCTAGCTTATTACGGTGCTTTTAGGTGGTGTGTGTATAAGCAGATAAAGGGCTAAAAAATACACTAGATTTCAGTTTACAGTCGAAATTTTAAAATGACAGTTTGAGTTTTGGTTTCAGCCAAAACTGAAACAAGAGCCGAAAGTTCGGTTTCTACTAAAAACCTGTTTCGGTCAGACACCAATTAAAATACATGTTGGCAAAACTAATGAGGTTGTAGACCAACCAAGACCATTTATATGACTACTGTCCCTCCCTTCTTAAATCCAATGATATAACTTAGTAAAGAGAACTCTTATTTCATAGCTCTCACATAATTTGTCCACACATGTATAAGTATTGGAAATTGTTAATTAAAATTCCTCACTGATATTACTAACAGAAAATGAATTCTTGCTTCTTTCTTGAATGCCCAACTATTTCAAAAATTTTGCTACAATTATTTACTTTTATTTTAATTATTTTTATTTTAATTAACTAATTTTGAAGTTACTTCATAAGAATTAGAACTAACTTCTAAGTTTGCCTGTAGTGTCATTGCATAGGAATAAATAAATTAATCATTATTAACAGAAAACAAGATCAGACAATAATGTGGACTGTGTTAATGAGACAATCCAGGTAAACGTTTCAGAAAATCCTCTGAATATAAACTACCTGAATTTGTAAGAGAATTTGGTTTAGTGGGACTGACAGGATATGTCTCGTATTTAAAGAGATGCAATAAGATTTCAACTCACAAGTGTATACTTTTACAATTATAACTCCTACTCAGAAAAAAAAAACATATAGCAGCTACAATAGTAGATGGCATTATATGAAGAGTAAGAACCAGGATGTTAAGCATTTTTTAACAAAAGAGACTTGTGTAGATAAACTTTCAAAGCAAAAATCTTCTTCTTTTATTCTTATTCAAATATGGAACATGGTTAGATAGATAACTGAATCATAACATTCCATCACGGTTAATAAAATATTAGCATTACCAAACAATTTGTTATAAGTAAAGCTCTTTTGCTCATAATTGACATGAAATAAATAAATTCCACAACTGATTAAAAGATAATCTGAAAATATTCAAATCTTAAAAACTATGTTTCAAGTAAAGACGGCTAACAAATGTCAACATAACCTTACCTAGCTTTAAGGTAATGAGATAATATATAATACATAATATCATGAGAAATGTTACACATCCCTATATAGACCAAAACTAAGCGGCCCTTCTACATTGGCTTCTAGAACATCAATAAACATACATATTAGTAGTACATAATTAAGATACAATACCTTCTTCTACAGCCTACACAAGGAATGCTTTGATTTAAAACATTAAATATATCAGAAGCATCTACTCTCAGCGCTGCCTTCAATTCATCAGTCGTTAGAATCCTATATTTGCGCATGAAGTCTTCGTATTCCCGACCTTTTATCTGTGGATTATCACATATTAGACCCATTGTGTTCAAATCCATGATCATCTGCAAACAAAAACAAAATTGGTTAGTATTAAACAAAGGATTTTATTTGCAAAATAAGGTCATCTGCAAGACGTCATTACTTAAAACTAAATCAATGAACTTGATTAAATTGGCGTATCATTTTAATGTGAATCATTTCGATATTTTTGAGAAGAAATTATAAAATACGTGACTACGTAAATGTTTACTTTTTGAAACAAGAAGTACTAAATAATTTTCATTTTATTCCTTCCTCGATTATCTACGCTTGTGGTAATGTCAAAGTGCATGAAACCACTTACTGTAAGATTTTCATAGATAGTTAACGGTAATTGCCGTCTTTTTATCACAGGTTCTTTTTCGCTGTTATATATATCAACCAATTTCGCCATCTTAATGATTAATCACATAAAACTGTTGATAAAATACACAAATATAACAAAATGACGGCCAACTTCTCGAGAAATACACGTCGTGCGTTGCGTCTGACACAGCACGACCACAGATAGATTAACAGTATGTCAGTTTTATGTGGACCAGAATCTCATCCAAATAGGGAAATCAAAGTTCGTAAATGCAATACCAGGGAAATGGGCTTGGAAGATCATGATTTGACTTTTGTTGTGAAACATACAATGCGGATGGTAAGACCGGCTTTCGCGCACCCGCATCGTACCGATGTATCAGACAGATCCCGCGACAGTTCAATTTCTTAATTAAAAGATTCAGTATTTATCAATAACCCAAATTATTGTGTTTTACAATATAATTGTTGCTTCACTATTATATTGTTTACTAATAAGCGTAGTCGATTTTTGATGGGGTGAAATTTTTATGTAATGCCAACAAAAGAAAGATTTTAAACGTATTTAAGTCTAATAGGATAGGATATACTTGAAAATAAGTAAAAAAAATATATTGCTTTATTATCATCAGCTATATCTGTCCACTGCTGAACTAAATCTTAAAAAAAAACTAGTTTTTAATCCCGGACAAAAAGGAATGCTTAATCATGAATCAAAACTGTAGAAAAACCACACAAATATAAAACTTAATTGAAACATTGAAATTTAACAGTTTACCAATTTTCCACACCGAAATTACAAAAAATCTAGTTTTGGGGCAGAGTTTTTAGCAGAACATAATAAATGTGTGCAATTTTAGAGCTTTTTTGATTCCTTGTTTTTTTTTATTGTTTCCCTGTTTTGTTACACACATTATATTAACACATGTTTCAACAAATCAATTTCATTTCTTATCTAAAAATGTTTTCCTCTACCGTTCAAGTTACTGCTCTGCTTCTTAAATGCCACAGTCTTAAGCTATTTAATCATCTTAATGACACTATATTACAAAATTAAGTATATATAGTTACCTATAAATGTATGCACTAACGTTTGCCATTTCTAAGGTTAAAGTGGTTATTTTTTTTAGTAGATACATAATATTCAACTTTGACTGCACGGATGGCGTAGCGGTTTACTACGCCGAGTGTTGTGGGTTCAAATCCCACATGGGACGACACTTTGTGTGATCCAGAAATGGTTGTTCTGAGTCTGGGTGTTCTTTGTGTCCGTTTCATGTATGTTTGTGGAGTCCCCCGCGACACAGGGTACATATCTAATGTGGGAGTTGTCTTTAAAAAAAAACTTTAGTTTTTAAGTAACTACCTCGTCTAAGTTTATTTGAAATGTTATTTGTTCAAAAAAGTAGAGGTATCATTATCATCATCAACAGCCTTGAATAGTACAGGTGGCCGTCACGAGTATAGATGTAAGGCTGGTTGAAAAACAATTAAATCAATCTGTTTAAAACGAAAAAAAAACCGTTTAAAACCGAAATAAACCATTTTTTTCGATTTAAAATGGTTGGTGGTGATGACGGTTTTGCCTAATTTTAACTAAATTTCTTAATTTAAAAGAGGTAAGGTAATGACGGAGCACCTATAAACTGTGTAAAGATTTTTTATATCTGTGATAAACAGATATTGATATACTTAGCGGGTTTAATTCTAGTTAGTCCGTCCGACCAAGCGTATTACCTACCAAGTTATAAAAACTCTATTGATAAGTTAAAAACTGTAAATAAACATTTATTTGATTGTTTTCAAATGCTATAAATAATCAACTTGATTCGGTTTGATAACCAAACTCAAACTCTCGCACAAGCGCGACGGCCTTGAAGACATAACGTTGTCTCTTTCATGCTCAAGTAAAACGGACGGCATTGTGTTAATGATGTCTTCTAATCTAGTGTGTGTAGTACAATATAATATAATAAATAGGTATAGGTGGGTATACCTACATACTTAAGTTTTCATCTAGTAGGTAATATAGGTAGGTACTTTCTATTGATTTTCTATAAACGAATTAAAACGAAACATGACGTCAGTTGACCTAAAATTGACCATAAGGAAGCGTAAAACACAATTCTTTTATTTTTGTAGGCGAGTTTTCAACAGTTTAAAACGATTTATTTGTGGTTTAAAACGGCAACATTTTATTTAAAACGTTTTAAAATCGGTTATGTTACATCTATAGTAACGAGGTCACACCTTTGCTCTTCTCATATGCTGGGCATTTTGCCAGCTTGTGGAGCTCGGTGTCCACGATCTGGCCATCGCAGTAGTGGCACTCAGGCTTTGGCTTCTTCCAAATCAGACACAGGTGATCTCTGTAGCATCCTTTAGCGTAGCGTAGTGATCATGTCAGAGAGGCAAGTTTTAGGTGAATATAATTTTAGGGGCTTTTTAATAAAATGATTTTACGTAGTGGTAATCTATACTGGTATTATTCTCCATTCTGTGACACAGCAGTTCTTTAAACGTTATAACTTATATCTAGCAACATTTATCTTCTGTTGTCAATATTGTCAACGCGAAAATAAAAAAGTTCGGAAGGTTGTGGCTGCAATTGTTTATATTAGTTTACTGTTTGGACTTGGCCCTTGCTCTTATTTTGGATTTTAGGAGCAAATAAAGCATAATTATGTCTAAAATCTTCACACCTACCAATCAAATACGTTTAACCAACGTCGCCATAGTGAGGTTGAAAAAAGGGGGTAAAAGATTTGAAATAGCATGCTATAGGAATAAAGTATTATCGTGGCGAAATAAACTGTATGTATTATTTTTAAATTGTTCAAAATAAACGTGTAATGTAATGATGAAACATTGTATTCCTTTGTTTTAGAGAGAAAGACATTGATGAGGTTCTCCAGACACACACAGTGTTCACAAATGTTTCTAAAGGTCAAGTCGCAAAAAAAGAAGATTTAGTTAAAGTATTCGGTAAAGAGGATTTAACAGAAATTTGTAAAGAGATATTAGAAAAAGGGGAACTTCAGGTGTCTGACAAGGAAAGGCAATCTCAAATAGATTCCTTGTTTAAAGATATTGCAACAACAGTTGCGGACAAATGTGTCAATCCTGAAACTAAAAGGCCTTATCCTGTATCCATAATAGAAAAGGCAATGAAAGATATTCATTTGTCTGTAAATGTCAATAGAGGTGCGAAGCAGCAGGCATTGGAAGTGATACAGCAGTTAAAAAAAGAGATACCTTTAGAAAGAGCACAAATGAGGGTAAGGATTTTGTTGACTGGCAAGGAGGCTAAAAAAACTAAAGATAAAGTAGTCAAACTTGCTATGAGTGTGGAGGAAGAGAACTGGGATTCTGGTACAGCGAACATAATATGTTTGATAGATCCTGGTAACTTTAGAACTTTGGATGAAATGATCAGAACAGAGACTAAAGGAACTGGCCAATTTGAATTACTGAATTTAAAAGAGATGGTTGAAGGAGAGCAAGCTTTGTAAAAATTGTTATTTGTTATTATTTTCAAAGATACATGTAAAAATAAAAAGTGCATTGATTTTTATGGTAAATAGTTTATATTTAACTCCCAATATGTTGATTTTGATAGTTTAATAATTTTATTATACTAAGAATGTTCTCTGAGTACAAAATGCTGTGTTATGGAATTAGGTATTTAAAAAAAAAAAAAGGATTTTCTTGTGTCTTGCCAGTTATGCCATTTGCTGTCTAACAGGTACTGTTTATATATTATTCAAGTGGCTTAGTAGGTACTATTGTGCCCCTGCTGAGAGTTAATGGGTATAATAAGAGAACTCAATAAAAGGTCCATAACGGGTGGTCCATTACTCAACTGACCACCCAGTTTAATACAGGCAATGGCAAGACATGCATTGCTCTAACATCAAATATTTCTTGAGTCAATGTTTGGCTTTAGAAGTGAGTAGGATATTAGTTCAAATGGTTGCCAGACTGTTTTTGGTTTTTGAAATTTGAATAGTATTTTGCCTTTTCTGGTTGGTTAGTACTTCCATTGATTTTTGGATAAGAAATAAATCAGACAGAATAGTTTAATGTTAAGTATGTTGTTTGAGCTCTCTGCAGGCTTATAATATTTGATTTGCCAGTTGAAGCCCATAGTTGTATCCCTTATGTCCAGAATGGTTGTGTAATTGATATTTAAAACAAAGGTTTGTGTAATATTGCTTATGTGATTTGTTCACCCTAAGGTCTAAGAGCAATTAATATTTGACAAAGTTCTATTGTGGAATTGAAAAACGGCCTAGCTTAACGAGTGGGGAGGTTACACGGCGAAGCTTCTTTTAGCCTACTGAATAGGCGGTAGTTACCCCCTACTCCATTAAAAAAGCAGCTTCGTTGTGAAACCTGCAACACAGTGCAGTGCGCTGCCATTGCCACCCTTTTGGACCCGCCCCTCCTCACCCACAATTAGGCGACAAGAGGTTTGGACTCTGGTAACCTCACTCAGTCTGTAAAAGCAACGAAAGAAAAGGGTAGATGACTGTCAAGTCAAATCAGTAGGTATGTATACGGTTTTCCGTGAGGCTAGTATCACTCCAGTCGGTTTTGGTTTGTAGGTGATTTGAAGAAAGATGAAAGACGTACAATGACTCATCGCGATAGTACCTAAACATCTTTTTTGTTAATTTGTTCAGTAGCTTTCTGAAAAAGATATTGAAACTAGCACAGCCGGTGGATAATTTAGTGGTGTGATGTTACTGATACCCCGGATTAATAACATATTTTACGATTCTTAATAGTAACTAATAAAAATTTAAAGAATGCTTTTCTCCTTTTTATCTGATTGCGCCAGGAGGAGGGCTACCTATGTTTTTCCAGAATATATTATGTATGTATGTATCTATATTTCTTTAGCACGCTTTTATGTCTAAACCGCTTTACGGATTTTAGCTTGAGAGGTATCGTAAGATTCATCTGAATTGCTAGTGAGTCGGGGTATATTAAAAATGAAGGCGGCCGATACATTATGTTGAAATTGTGTCTTCATTTTTTTTTAAAGCTATCGAGTGAACAAATGTCTTACGAAAATCTATACAATTAATATATGTAAATGTAACTTGGAACAAGAAATGACAAAAACAAGAAACAAAATATTTATCTTCAACAAGTTTTCATTGAAAAAATTAAATAAACGAGACTGCAGCTTTATAAATATTCGATTCCGTTTCTAAGTTTTAAGTATACAACTGGTACGTAGTTAGGTTTTGATGATTGTTTCTGCAATACGCAATACCTAATTTATAATATGTAATTTGGCGCCAAAACTGATGTCTTCTACGTATAGGTGTCGATTTTATTTACATAGTTGCCTGTTTTAAATATTAGAACTGAAATACATCGACATTCATAAATATAAAACATGTTCACTATTTCTTAATTATATTAGTTTCAAGTATTCAGACACTATAATATTAACTTTTTCTAAGCATTTAAATAATAATAGTTCAGAAATAAAATCCGAGTCATCGTTTTTGTTCACAATAACAAAGGAAAAAAACCGGTATCAGACCGTAACGTGTAATGAAACGTAGAAGTGAATGTACCATCCAAATGACAAATTAAAAAGTTTTTATTTTTCTTATATTGGTACGAGATTTTATTGATTGTTTTCTTTCATAAGATTTTCGGCCAGACGGCGACTGAAATTGCAAGTTACTGTGATATATTTATTTTCAATAATTAACTATTCTTATCAACCAATTAAATGAGCAGGGATATCGAGTTATGTCTATAAGTAATGGAAGGTACAGAACTGGGTGGCGACCAGCAATTTTGTTTGAGATGGAACAATTTTCAAGCGAATATAACATCTCAATTCGAGGCATTGCGCGATGATGAGGACTTCGTGGATGTCACCCTGGCATGTGAGGGGCACCGGCTGGAGGCACATAAAGTGGTTTTATCAGCATGTAGTCCATATTTCAAGGAATTATTTAAAGTAAGTCCATCTTTCACTCCCCACACTTTGATGTGTCACCATTACAATGACTCTAGTGAAAGTTGTTATGTATAAAACACTTGATCTACTTACAAATGCCATGTCTCGCGTTCCGGTTAAGTACTCGTGATTTCATTTATTTGTACCTACTTAAAAATTCTGTTTCACAATTTCTAATTAACTCATTACCATTGGGGCTATAGATTATTTATAATTCTTAAAAGCATTTAATGAATTCTCTAACACATACTTTAACTAAGTACTACAGTTAATGGTCATGAATATATTTGCTTAATTTTTATGTAGGATTAGTAACATCAAATATTATCTGAGGTCATTGATTCTTAAATCTATTTGACAAGCCAGGGGACCAATCCTATCAACTGTCTACCTATCAACTTAGAACAAAGTGATTACAAAGCATTATAAATACATATCTCATTTACCCAATGAATTTTGTGTAGATATTTTTGCAGTTATAAATAAGTAAGAATAGCTTGGCTGTAACTGACTAGTAAAACAATGGTTTTATTAAAGTATGAAGTGTTTACATATACTTAAAATGACTGTATTAGGGTTCTATTTTTATTATCATTTTTATATTAACCAAATTAATTTTTTTTTTTGATATTTGATATTATTCTCTCATGGGAAGCTTCAGTCTTTGATATTTCCTGAATAGGATTTATCACAAACTTAATTTGAGTGAAATGTATGTTTGTACAGTTTGAGTGAAATAAAAACTAGAACTTATCATTGTAATTTTTAATTATAGTGAAATTTATCTTAGAAATTAAATTATCCAATTTTATTTGAGATCTTGAGGTTATAGATTGAGAGACAAATATACAAATTAATAGTAAGGATAAATCCTTACAATGCATAGCACTGCCTTTTAACCTTAACTATTTGAAGTCCTAATATCAATAATACATTGATTTATAAATAATAGAAATGGAATTTATTTGTAGGTTATATTAAAGTTTACATTTCTTTTTGTCACATTTCCTCTTATCTGGTTTGTATATCTATATAAGTGTTATCTTGTTACTATCAATACATAACATAGCCTAATAAAGTGCTATTATTTAACAGAGATAGTGACATCTTGGCTAATATATGTATCTCTAATTAATAACAAGATAATGTTTAGTAGTATTATGAATTTATACCAAAAACCATTTCCTTTGTATCATTAACTTCTTAAATTTCTTTTTATAAATGCTTTATTGATTGTATGAATTATAAAAAAAAAAGTACTTTTTTTACTAAATAATAGAATTGATCTTATAGCAATTTCAGACCATGAACCAAGAGATTTGCTCTCTAATCTGTGGCTGTAGTTTATTTGAGATGATTATTAATCTTATATATATATATAAGAGATTTCCACGTAGTCACTCATCACGATATCTCTGGAACCATTAGAGCTAAAGACTTGAAATTTGGTAGGAATATTCTTTTCACCAAGTAGAGGTCAGCTAAGAACGGATTATAAGAAATTCAAAATCTTTTTTTTTTTAATAATGTAAATAGCAAAACAACGTTTGCAGGGTCAGCTAGTATTATAATATACATGAAGTAGTTCACTAGACCTGTAAGCTAAACATTATATGTAATGATCACCAATATTCTCATTAATGCTTTCAACTAAGATTAATATGTTAGGAAATGTTATGCACAGTGTTTGAGTACAATGGTGGGTTTGCAACCTACAAGTTATGATTTCTGTACATTATTTGTACTCCAGTAACTTGATTTTAATAGTTACTGGTTGTTTTTATTTGATTTCAGAATAATCCATGTCCGCATCCTATAATCTTTATGCGGGACTGCGAAGTGTCTCATGTACGTGCGTTACTACAGTTCATGTACGTAGGCCAGGTAAACATCGCGCAGGCGCAGCTTAGCGCCTTCCTACGTACTGCCGACGCGCTGCAGATACGAGGCCTCACAGACTGTTCACAACACAACGACAAAGTAACCATGTTGTATAAATATTATCTCAGAATATAAACATCATGTTGACATACCATTAATACTCACATCCGTTTGTTACAGAAAGCGAATCGAAAATCACCTCCTTCCCAACTACGTAACTTGCTCAGCGCCAAGCCGTCACACTCTACCTCCTCCTCCAAAGCCGCAAACCAAAATGTCGAAACGACCTCTGCCGACGACCAAGAACAGAGCGCAAGTCGTCGTTCCACGCGAAATTCTCCCGATGTTGCCAGAAACAATCTCAATGAAGAAGCTCCCTTTCAAACTTCTAGTCAAATGAGGCCTAATAATGATGACTATAGAGAAACGCCCAATTACCCAACTTTAAGGGTGAAAACTGATCTCGAAGCAACAGAAGTGAAAAACGAAGAGAGTGAAATTCTCATGGACCCTGGGGACCCCGATAGAATAGAAATAGACAAATGTCAAGAATTCAATGCAACAGATCTTTTAGAACCAAAAATGGAAGTTATGGAGCAAGAAGCTAGTGACGACGAACGTTCAAGTTTTCAGCAAATGTATTACAATGAAAATAACGCACTTGCAAATCCATTCGCCGCATTGCCAGGTTTGTAACTAAATCTTAAATTTATTGGAGCACAAAATATTTGGTAACTGCTATTATCATCAAGCTTATAATTCTTTTCATAGGTAATATAGATCTAATGAGCGGCATGAACACGGAGCTTCGGGACGAAAATGCGGAAGGTAATTATACTTTTTTTTATCTCTCACTGTCACGTCATTGTCACACGCACACGTCGACTCGGACAGCCGCGCCCCCGGCGAACCTCTTTTTAGCACATTTGACAATTGAACCGGCCGTAGAAGAGAGCGCGCGCGTCTCGTATCGAGTCAGGTGGCTAGGCGCGCGGGTGTCGGACGACGCGCGGCCGACCCGCACTGACCGCAAGCGCCGCGGGCCTCCGAACACCGCTCGTATTGTTCCACCGGCCGAAGCCCAACATGTCGGGCACCACGGAACTAGTGTTGTCCTATTCAAATGCTAAACTAATGGTCGTATTCATCTTAAATACACACACGGGAATAACTTAAATTAAGTTTTAATCATTGCATTTAATCTTGTGGTATTTACTGTTTCTGGTTAAGCTTAAGAACGGCATCTCGAAATGTCATAGAAGCATTTGAGTAGGGTAACATTAGGGTAGGGCAATGCGGGCGGAGTGGCTGGCGAACGGCGCGTGCGGGCGGTCGGGAGCGCTCGGTGCGAACGTGGTGTTGTTGGCAGCGGGCGGCTGCGCAGCGGGCGCGGGCACGGGCGCGGCGGGCGTGCAGTGCGCGGTGTGCGGGCGCCGGTACAGCAACGCGTCCAACCTGCGCCAGCACGTGCGGCTCATCCACGAGGCGCAGCCGGTGGCGTGCGCTACGTGCGGCCGCAGCTTCAAGACGCCGCTGTACCTGCGGCGCCACACGCTCGCGCAGCACCCGCCCGCGCGCATGCGCCTCAAGCCGCCGCCTCCACTTCCCGCGCTGCGGCCCGCTCAGCGCTTCCACCAGTAGTCGTCGAGCGTGCTCTCTCCTACGGGCGCGAGGCTCGGTATCGCCGAGGAGACGCGCCGACGACCGACTCTTTTGCCTTACGACGGCGATCACTGCCGCTATTGTTTGAGACGGACGATTGGACCGACTATTCCTTTCACCGAGGCGTGATGAGGGTGATTTATCGCTGCGAGCAGGTTGACGTTGCGTCTCCTCGAGCTACGAGGTCGTGAAGATGTGGCTTATAAAGTCGTAACGAAGACTGTCAATAGATATATCTAGTCTGTGATCGGAGTGTCGCCGGGGGCCTATTTGCCGTCACACCTCTCCGCTTATTGTGTGCCTTTCTATAATATACCGAGTGCCAGATGTTGACCAGTTAAACGAACTTCATTTAGTACCGAGCATCCGTTCAAGTCATTGGAATTGTTTTGTATTCAATCCAATAATTATGTACATACTCGTAAAATCCCTGAGGAGTTTGTAACAAATAAAAACTAAACTGTTACGGGGAATTCAGGAATAAGTGTAAAATCCATAGATTTAGTCATAAAAGTGAACGTATAGAATTTGAGTCACGGAGGATAAGGATTCTCGCTAGAGTGACTAATCGAAGCTCGTTCAACGGGATCAGTGCCGTACCTTCCTTTCTGACAATAGACTGATTGTTGTTAAAGCATTTGTTGCGACCGGTGCTAATTTTACATAACATAGGTTATTTACTGGTTACATAATTATTATACAGACATACATTATACACGTTATCCACATTTGGTCGACACTTTCCGTCCTATATAGAAATAAATAATAGTGAGTATTTTCATAATAGATATTTTTTTTGTACCGCAGTTGACGGAAAGTATCGAACATATCCGTTTTATTTGTCGAATTCGCGGACTCATGCACAAAACTCCGTACATTAGCCCGCGCTGAGCAACAATAGCAATATTTTTATACTGAATAGTTTATCTTTACACAGTGTTATTGTTGAGTGATTGGACGGCTCCCGGTAAATAGTGTGTACAAAATCTCAGATATAATGAGATATATAAGTCTTCAAATTCGTATATGAAAATGAAACATTGAATTAGTGTTGTTTATAATAGTTGAACATCAAATTTATGTTGCCATACAGGACCTATTTGCACTTTTATACTTCTTTTTAAATTATTTATTTAATTTAGGTACATAAAATTTCTTTCGATAGATTTTAATACATGTTGATACTAATGCGGCAAAATAACGCGATGATTCGCATGCTGTAGCTGTTGGAAACAATTTATTCGTTAAAGATTATTTTTCCACAGTTTGTACATGTTTATGATTGAAGTATGACAATTGCTGTGCAATACAATTATACACTAATAGTATTTGTTGTGCTATTTTATTAAACGTTTCAAACGGCTATGGTACTGAAATATCTTATATATGCAAGACGCAATGATGTCGAGCAAAAGCACTAGAGTATACTTGCTCAAACGTGGCTTCAAATATTATAGATTACGAGGAGCAAGAGAGTTGAATTTCTAAATAATTAAATAGCGAATATTGAAACAAGTCACTTGCCATAAATCCCGCTTGCCCAGTGTACATTGAAGGCGCATTACAAAGAAGAAGCAGGAGGGATATTTTTATTGATTATATTTTTTATATAACCTTAAACTTTGATTGGTTATTTCTTTGATATTTTTGTAGATATATGAAATGATTGCCATGAGAAAAGCACATCTAGTCATTTTGTAATAAAAGCATTTAGAGGGGGCACTACTGAAGTTATGATTAGGGTTGTGAATAACAATATTAGTTTATCCTTTGGAAATTTAATTGTAAATCTTATTGGAATAATTATGTGTGATCTCAATTGACTTTATTTCCATGATCTCTAAATTTCGATTTTGCATTTATTTTAACAATGTTTAATATTAAAATTACGACTGACGAAAGTTAATCGCAATAATAATTACTCTAAAATAATCGCTTATACGTATTAGTAATAGTAATTTTAAAGAGCACTTTTCTTAAATAATAATTTTAATCCCAAGTAATAATTTAAGGCGCAGCTTTTATTATTGACGTATTTATGAAAATTATAAATGTATAGGAATAAAAATGAATCTCTTCACACGGCTGGATATAAATAGAAATTTATATAAAACTAGAAATTTTATCATTATAATAGTAATGATTATTGATGTAATTTATACAAAATTACTATTCTTTTGATTGTTTAATGCAGGTAAATATTATAATCATGTACTCACACGATGATAAGTAATTATTGAATCATCAACGGGCTCATTTAGTAAACTCTCGCTAAACACCATGGTCAATCACATGTAATGTTTTTGTAATCTGTTTCTCTCAGCAAGTAACTCTGTTATTGTTACACTTTTACTGTTCAAGTTGACTGCTAATTTTCTAATTTTGAATGTCATTAAACACATCTGCACATTAGCTTGCAGATTAATCTATGTACATACATCGATGTATTTTTTACTAAATATCAAGAATAAAGTATTACAAAGAAATTGTGAGTTTTCTATAAGCGGCATATTCTTTCTTTTTTATTTTTTTATTTGAATATCTATTTCTTAATAATTCTTATCCCGAAGCCGTCTAATCCTATTCCTCGGGATGGCGGTAGTTGTCGACAATGACGGAAGTATTGTAATTATTGTATAGTTGTGTGAAGTTGTAAAATTAACCGTTGAAATTACCCTCAGGTAAAGTTTGAAACGACTTGTTTAGTAACTAAATTCGCATAACTGTTTATATTTTATGTACAACCTTCTATAAACTGATTTTGGGTATGTGTGACGTAGCTGTAGGAAGATGGGATGGCAGACGCAACCGCCCAGTCCCTGACGCCGTGTGGTTGGAACAACACCGGCGTGCTTTGCCGTTCGTCATCAAACGGGAAAACGAACGAGGAACCGTCGCACCGAGACTTGTAAGTACTCTTTTTTAACACTTTTTTTAATTATTTCTGGCTCTTCTTTGCTTCTATATTATTATCCTGATTACACATATTTTCCTAAAGGGTAAGGCACTCATTAGTAGTGTGACGACTCGACTTTTCAAACCGGTTTAACCGTGAACCGAGTTGAATCGGTTTGCCCGTGGTTTGAACCAGTTGAGCAGTGTCGTAAGATCGCGCCCGCGGTTCCTGCTTCACCGACCTAACAAAACTGATTTATCAACCAACTGATTCTGAACCGAGTCGATGCGACACGACACTAAATCTTTATCAATATATCTACAAGCACAAACTATCTATATTATTATGTTCAACTCGGTTTGCCGATTTCTCAGACCGTCACATCTCTAGCACTCATGCAATAAGGTGCATGATTAAATATCTCTAATTAAATTACGTTTGACTTCTAAAGAATTTTACTTAGTAGTATATCCAACTAGTATAGTATAATTCTTACCCAGCATTCACCAGATCTCCACTTGTTTGATAACGAGCGGCATTTTATATCTTCGTAAATAGCTATCTGTTCTAAATTGTAAGTAATATTTTACGATTTTATAAAGACGTTTTCTGGTCTCTACTTCTATTTCATTTTAACGTCAGTTTAGTCAAAAAGTTGTAGTTCTTATTCAAGGCATAAGTAAAAAGAAGCAATTCCTTTTAAAATTATCCGTAATATGGAGCTGTTATTTCAAAGGAAAAAATATAAAATCCATTTGTTGATAAAGCGGTTGTGTTTTCTGTCTATCTAAATAAAGAATCTCTTATTGTTAGTGTCATTTTTACAAAGTTGCTATGGTGCTAAAATATGTTAACATTGTTATCAATCACTATCAAAAATTAGTTTATCGAAGTACGATTCTGTGCGTAACCGACCGGACCCATTCTTATGGGTCCGGTCGGTTACGCACAGAATCGTACTTCGATAAACTAATTTTTTTTTTTTCACGTGGAAAACGTTGATGCATTCTTATGCATCAACGTTTTCCACGTGAGAATTGAGAATCTTATCAAATTAGCCACTTAGTATCGAGTTTCCCAAGTAGTTACCCAGTTAATCCCAGCCGGCTTAGTACTTGCATAGCGATCTTGACGGCGAGTTCGTGTTCGTCTTTTCTGAGACGGCAGTTTTTGGTCTCGCCTCTTGGGTTATACTTTTTCCAGGTGGCGATATATCCATGGTTTATGCGCTTTTATTTTAAACTGCCAACAGAATTTCAGTCCCTAGGAGAGGATTCCACCGCTGGCTACAGTCGCGCTGGTATTGATTAATAATTCTTTTAATATCATTTGTTTGGTTGTTCAATATTTTTATAAATACATATATTATTACAAAATAAATTTCGCGTTTCGACATTTTATAGAGGCAAATCTGTAACATTATCTACAAAGCTACTTACATCTATTTCTACTGCATCATCTTTGTCTATAGATAAAACTGGGTGAAGGCGTCGAGATCCGAGAAGAGTTGCTGCGCGGCGTGAAATGGGGAGATTACCGCAAAGTGACGCGAGGGTTAGCGGCGGCACTTTTCACGCCTATAGAACTGGCGACGTGTTCTGTAACAGGACAGCGGTGGTCGCGAGCAGGACAAGAGTCGCGGCCCACGAAACCACCACTGGATCGACGTCGGGTCCACGCTCTCATATCCTACGTGAGCCGACATTTTCCTGATGTCGAGGTTAGCCGAATCAAACAGGTGCTAGCGTACAAGTGCAAAGAAAACTGCGCAGCACTTCGGATGAGAACCGCCAGGTGAACCTATACTATTGGTATTTACACACTTTATCGACACAATTTAAGTAGAAATATGGTCAATAGGGTTAGGTTTGTTACACATATGTAAATACATACATACATAGTATAAGTATGCAGTACTTACTTACTCTACTCCCGCGTGTATCACGAAAAAGACAAGCAGATACGTAGGTATTGAACAACACATTTTATAAAATGTAACATAGGCCCACTCAGGTAATATGATATAATCACGTTTGAGCCAACCGCTCATTTAAGATAAGAAATTTTAGTAGTTTATTGAAAAAAGTAAAGGTAGACAAGAAAGATATTGCTTATACTAATGAATTGGGAAGTATGAGAAGGCCAAGATCACATACCCATAACTCGAACAATATTTTTGATAACTAGGTCTGTAAGGTAACATTGAAATAAAATTTTATTTGTGGTACAGTTAAACTTATACTTCAAACACATTTTTATTTAAAAATGCCTGTGACACGCTTTGTTTGCCATTAATTACCGAAATATCATCGATTTGCGATGACGCACTTACCATCCCAATATTATTGGCCATTGCGTTGTAAACAAGTCTACTCTGTTTTTTCAGAAATTCTATTTGTCAGTTTAAGTGGTAAAAAGTTCGATTAAGAAATGAGTCAATTTCTGAGCCTGTTTGTCTTTTGTCAATTATTTAAAAAAAATAACCTATTTTATGCTTCATAATATATTATTATCTTCATGTATTTCGTCTTCACCTATTTGCGTTCCAGCAAAATATTACCTATTGGATAAGGAATAATCGCCGACTTTTTTGTAGATCTTTTTAATATATACAATACCATATTATTATTATTTTGGTCTAATTCGTAAGGTTTAGCCAGCGTTTGCAATGTGATCGCACAAAAACATGTTTTTTACGATAAATCTTTGAAATTCTCGAATTTTCTCTACTGTATTATGCATGTATTATACATATAAACCTTCCTCTTCCATCACTCCTCTATTGGTGTAACCGCATTAAAATCCGTTGCTTAGTTTAAAAGATTTGAGCGTACAACACAAAAAACGACTTTAATTTATACTATGTAAAGATGCTACCTTGCTGGTTACAAAACCGCTGTTAATCACTGAACCAGAACTTACGGTAGCGTTTTTATTTCTATTTTGAGAGTGTTGGTTATCATCGACAGAGTAAATGTTAGAGATATTAACTTATCTTACATTTTTTAATTTTTCGGTTTTAATTAGCAGAGTAAAACTTTCCTTCTGGTATCGTCTATCGACAGCTATAAGACCTTACCCCATTTGTCCGTTATGGTACAGCGACCGCAGAAGTCGCATCGCTTCTGATTCTTAGTTAATACAAAATATATGTATGAAGAGTTATTCACCCAGTAGTTACATAATCATTAAAAAATAACAAACATTGAAAACCTTTGGGCCTCCCAATAATATCTCTACGTAGTATTATGGTGTAGTGAATTGTAATGACATCTAAATTAAATTCTTTCAATAAAATATTTTGCTCAAATGTCATGATAGTTATAATGACCTGTAGAATAATATTTGTACCTACAATTGATGATAAAACCTGCTTTATTTCTGATTAGTCTTAAGAAATGAACCTAAGGTTATCAAGCTCACCATGTGTGCCATGCTTATCGCCATGAGTGGTTACGTTCGGTTACGACATGTCACCAATGTCTACAGTGAATGACAAATAAATGATATCGCATATTATGTTCGTACATTTTAATATAAAAGAAAATAAATAACTAAATTATAACTTAAAGAGTGGAAAATATCCGTAATGATAATTTTGTTTTAAAACCCCATGATTATGCGAATTCGACTCAATCACTATCTTGAAATTAATTTCGTTTCTCATCTTAATCGTCCGTGGATTGAGTCAGGAAAATTATACATTATTTAGAATGTTTGTGGACAAAGATAATGTTTAATTAAAGTAAGTCCGTACTCAACTTGCAATTATTTTTATTTGAAACGTACTTAAAGAATTTACAAGAAAATAAAGCTTGCAATTTGTTTCTGACGGGATGCTAGGATGTGTCTGCGGTGTGTAATATTAAAATAAACGATATCGATATAAAAACTATGAAGTGATAGTGCTGACTTACAAAAAACTTTTACGTTGAATAGACGCAAATAAACAGTGACTCGACGACGACGAAAAAATAATAATAAAATATTGGCCTGATCACAATAAGTATGATGATCAAGGTTGTTTGTGTTGTGTATGGATGGAATTTATCTATAAAACGTATGTATTTAGAAAAATACAAGAATGCCAATAGTCTTGATTTTCATAAGGGACCAACAATTAAATACAAAAACGGAGTAGCAACGAATGCTGGTGAAATTGCGGAAAACGACTAGTCGAAATACTGCATAACTTTGTTTCTATTACACTATTATAGCATAAGAAAATGTATAAATATTTGGAATAAATATGTTTTATCAGTTATCAGTGACCCCCCCCCCCCCCATATATCGATGGTTGTTTATTTGGGTTGAACCTCCTCAATGTAATCCAGACAATCCAGACAGGGTCTAGGTCACCACCTCGTAGTGATTCACAACATATAGGAATAACAACACTAGATAATGGGGGCAAAGAATTAGTGTTATTACTTGACATAAACACATAAGACATACGTACTCTACGTATAATAGTAATTGGCCACAAATATAGGCGATAGCAGTAATATAAACTTAGAATGTTATTTTTATTCAGGGTTATAACAACCTAGATTAGTCATAGTCAAAATATTTATCGCTGAAGTTGATGATATTATGAAAAAAACAGTTCAGAATCTTCTAAAACTGAGATGATAGATGAAGTCATAGATTTCGACATAAGTAGTTAATTTTTAACACTACTTTAAATCGCTTCCTCTAACATTAGAGGAATTTCGAAAAGTATATAAGAACTAGCGGAGGTCTTGCTTTTTCAGGTTGTTAATACTACAAATTATTTCAGTTTATTTCTGACTTTAAGAAGATTAGTATAAACAAACAGCAATAATTTATATATAGTTTCATACCACGTGTCTCGAGGCAGTAATACAATTTGTAGCAGGCTGTCGAACTGTTTCAGCGATTCGACCAACTATCTGCTGAGCGCAGCCGCGCGGCCTCCTCCCTGCGACGTGGACGCGCCCGGTGGCAGCGCACGTTCCTCCTTCTCAAACTAGTACGTATACCTTCATCATAAGAGAGATGCGTTTTTAAAAAGAAACGCAATATTGGATACAGAATATTCTGCCCAATCAGGTTCTAAGCTTTAGTACGAAACGATAATTTCTTGGAACCTGATTAGTCTGAGGGCTTGGTGGCTATTTTCTTAACGCTAATGGACTTAGACTATGTTCATAATTTCATTCATCATCATTTTACTGAAAAATATTATTACACCTTATATCATATAATGTCAACAAATGCCATGTAATGCATCAAACGACATTTCGCGCTTGTCACGCAATCAGTTGTATTGCTAAGACAGCGTAAAAGGTCGTTATCCTCGCGCGCTTTGTCGACACAAGTACCCGCAAGTCACACGATACCGCTTCAAGATTGCACGTACATTGCGTAGAACTGATACAATAAAGTACATTATAAATCCTTAATCTTGCATTTTATGATGAACTTATTTTTGCACCGCGATAAGCACTCACAGAAAGTCGTTTAAGTATAAGGTTTTTCACTATGACGTATCTACACCCTTTATGTGGAAAACTTTTGTAAATAACAGAATAAATAATGATAAACGTTTAATGGTAACCAAATAATGGAACAAAAAGCCCTCCACACTTACCTGTGATTGTAAACTCAAAACTGTTAACACGAAAGTATAAAAACCGAGCCTCAACCTCAAGTGCGAGTCGAACTCGTGCGCCGATGGTTCTGTACCTACCCATTATACCACCATAATAAAATTGGTATCATTTTGATATATTTTTTCAGACAATATCACAATTTTATTTATTTACCTTATTTGAGGTTGGTGCCAGAGGACTATCGAAATTGGCCTCAACTATTTATGTATTGCCTTTAATTTTCAACTTTTTTCTTTTGTAATTTTTCCTTTATTTGTGCTGTAAGGCTAAACTGTAAGAATGACTGTGCTGAATTTTTGCCAAACTTCGTGATTTATAAAATTCTACCACAAGTTGACAATTAAGGTAAATTTTGGTAATTACATGTTTTCGCGAAAATCTAAATTTGCCCATATCTTTATATCGTGTTGCCTCAGGACCTTGATGTTTATACACCTAATAGGACTATGGACTATAGACCTCAGTATCAGACCTGAAAAAATCGAAGGTGACCCACGGAAGACAGACGGATAAGAGAGTGATCTTATAAGGGTTCCTTTTTTTACCTTTTTAGGTAAGGAACCCTAAAAACGAAGTTAGAACAAAGGTTAGGTTTTAGATATTTTGCTGAGATCACGAGAACATCATAAGTCAGCATTGGAATCACCTTAATTGGTACCTTAACCAAAAATGTCTTTAAGCTTTAAAATATTTTCCACGTAATAATTGAAGAAATGCAGTGGACATTGGAAGGAGATGATTCGAATTGTTTCCTATGTTTGGACAATGCATAAAAGTTATAACTATCATGATGATACTAACAGAAAATAACTTAACAGATAAAAATTTGCAGTGGTAGCGTATGCGAATTTTGTGCAGAGGTCGGTCTCGGGTTTGATGCCCGGGTTGGACCAAATGTTTGTAGTGACCTGCATATATTTGTTTTGGAGTTCGAGTGTTTTCTGTGTATAATATGTATGACGTATGTATGACAAATAAATATGCATAGGTAGTCAATCAGTTAATCTAACTTTCATAGTACAAGCTCTGCTTAGTTCGAAACTAGATGGCATTGTTGTCAGATGTCTAAAATAATTATAACCCGGCAATCTCGTGCGCGACCGTCCCTCGGGGTGACAGACAGTGGCGGGTGCGAGATAGCGCGTCATTCTAGCACACGGCTACACACGAAGAGAAGCGTTTCCCTTCCCCGCTACACCACCCGCTACCCGCTGACATCTTGAGTACCTCGTCCCCGCCACCGTCTGTCACCCCGCAGGACGGTCGCGCACGACGTTGATGGACTGTAGTTAGTATACTTCGTAAAAATCAGCTTGATACGGCAGACAAGTCATAAAACAATGACTACTGATATGACATAAACTGGCTAAATCGATCAATATAAAGACTGTAATCGATTGAAGATGTTTTGATTAATTTGTAGGTATAAAATAAAATAACAAATAAATATTTCCAATTCATTTTCTAATGTAAATTAATAAAAAAATGTATAAATAAATAATGTATTGACATTTCCTTACACCACATCATAAATTACCAATTTCATGATAGACAATTTCGCTTTTTGGTTATATCGGTAAGAAGGTTCGTTACTGAGTCTAAATTTCAATACGACATTTAATTTCGACAATGTACGATGGCCCAAGGCTTTAAAATATCTTTATTTCCTTATCTCTTTGTACTTTTTACGAGGCACGACTAAAGGTAGCACACACATAGCTCATTAGAGCCACCCGACACCCGACCAGCACCGCCTCGCCTCGAGCGGTTAGTATGCTTTGGAACACTATGGGTTTACGCTCACTACATCAACTCCGGAGCGCCTCGCCCGCGGGTTGACCACGCGCGGGCGGCGAGTGGGACAGCCGGTGACCACCCGTTGTTCTCATGTCTATAATGACCTCATAGACAACAACGTTGGGTCGAATCATCTAATGGGCCTCACCTTTATCAGTTCTTTCCGTTCGTTCGAAAACGGTTGTCGAATACATGGTTTGAGGTGGTGCACTGTGACGCACAATTACGTACTGGTTATGGTAACTTTAAGAACAAACTGCATTAATTTAAATTAATTAAGTCACAATAATGTCAATGCTCATCACCTGGTTCAAACTGTGAATAGTCGGCTCATCATATCATTTGGTCCTTTGTACAATGAACGTAATATAATACTAAATAGTTTACACAATCTGGTATCCACAAGATACTAATAGTATACCACTATGTGGATCTTGTGTCAACTAGAGTGCATTTCCGTCCGATTTTTTGATTCTGTCATTCATATTGTAGGCATCAAATAATCTTAGCTCACTTAGGACCCATAATGCATTGTGTCCGTTGTGCTTCCCTGTTACCTATTTTTACTTATTTTTTATCTTTTTTATCTTATATTGCCAATTACTCCCATTTATTTCTGAATAATTTCGATACGGGCTCTAAGACAGGTTAACTTTTCCTGGTATTTCCCGAGTGTCATAACACGGTGTGTTCGTGGGTCACTGCCGTTTATCCTGGTGTACAGGAGTTAAAGTATTCTGGGAGTGGGAGGGATTAGTCCCAAAAAAAATAACAAATTGACAACTTCTTCTTGTACTACTTATTGTTGTAATTTGAATGTCAAATTACTGCGATTGTGATGTCATCTATCCCCTAGCTGCGTTTATTAATTTGCTCAGCTCAAAGAATACTACAATCAACGGTACGAAATTCTAAGATGGATAGCGATGAAATGGCTAAAGTAGTGAAAGTCTGGGAGGATAAAGATATATATATATAATGTTAAGCAAAGTTATGGACTAAACTCATCGACTTATTAGGAGGTTGCAGAGACTAGGTCTTGTTAAGAACCATAACTATTATACATTTACACATTATCATTAGCTTATACGTGATTCACGTGGAATATACTACTCTGTCAAGAAAGTACCGGGAAAAGATCAATAATACACAAAATGTTTGTTATTCATTCAAAATTATTTTATCACCTTCAAAGTATGCTCCTTCAGAAACGATACACTTCGCCAACGAATAATCCAATCATCAAAACATTTTTTAAACGCTGTTTCCGGAATTGAGTTCAGGTCTCGCCTCGAATGCTCCTTTATGTCTTCTACCGATTGAAAACGGGTGCCACGAAGTGGTAATTTAAGTTTAGGAAAAAGAAAGAAGTCGGCTGGAGCCATATCTGGTGAATATGGTGGTTGCTCGATGGTATTTGTTGAGTGTTTGGTCAAAAAATCGTTCATAATGATGGCCTTGTGCGAAGGCGCATTATCGTGGTGCAAAATCCAAGAATTTTCTTTCCACAAATCTGACCTTTTTCGTAGAATTTGCTCTATTAAATGCCGTCAAATATTATTTTTTATTTACCGTTTAACCTTCCGGCAAGAATTCCGAGTGCACAACACCGCGATAGTCAAAGAAAACAGTCAACATGACTTTGACTTTTGATCGACTCTGGCGTGGTTTTTTCGGTTTCGGTTTAGTTGGAAGGCGCTACTCCGAAGCTTGTTGACTAGTTTGCATGTCAATCTCGTAAACCCACGTCTCGTCACCAGTAACAATGCGTTTCATGCATTTTGGGTCGGAATTGACTCGTTCTAGCATGTCCTCAGCGACTCATACGATTGAGTTTTTGGAGAAAATTCAGGTCCTTTGGGACTAGCCGAGCGGTAACATGTTTCATACCCAAATGATTAGTTAAAATGGTACGGATCGACTCGTGAGATACAGAAAGCTCGGCGGCTATCTCTCTTAAAGTTGAATGAGGATTTTCTGTCACTATTTCCTTCACTTTTGCTATGTTAACTTCAGTTGCAGACGTTGATAGCCTACCAGACCGAGGCAAATCTTCTATCACATCTCGACCGCTTTTGAACGGTGTGTACTACACATAAGAACGTGTTTTTGATAAAGTTGATTCACCGAAAGCCTTCTGTAACATTTTCAGTGACCCCGAACACGAAATTCCATTGGCGATGCAAAATTTAAGACAAACTCTTTGTTCGATGTTTTTGTCCATTATGAAATTCGCAATACACACTAGATATGATATAACTAAAAACAGCACTATTTAATATAAATAACAGATGCAACTCAAACTCTGCGCCAAAATGGAAAACAGTTGTGCCACTCTAACAACAACAAAAAACAAACAAAAATTTCAATTTGGAACCATAAACAAATCACCCATTCCCGATACTTTTATGACTGAATGTATTTATAGTCTTATAACTTTAATCAAAGGAGCAATATACAGGTGTTAGCTAATCAGAAATTTAATATTGTAAATTTTCCTTCCCTGCAGTGAGGCTTCAAAGGGTCCAGGAGCGGCGGGCATCGGAGGTGGAGGTGGAGGAGGAGGAGGTGGAGGTGGAGGCGGCGGGAGCGGCAGCACCAACGAGTACGGACGTGGGGGTGGTGCGGACGAGGCAGATGGCGAAGCACAGTAGTGGCCAGCGCGACCCTGTTGCATATCAATTTCATAATCTTGTTATTTTTTACCAAAAGAAGAAAAAAATTAAGATACTCGTCGCTCTCGAGGCGCGTCCGCTACCCGCCTGAGTCGCGGACGGGCTCCCGTCGATCGTTTGAAAAGATTTATATTTATTTTCGCGTCATCGCGACGACGAACGACGGCGGTGAGTTGCCCGTGTAAAATATTCATATTTATTTAGGTGATATTTTTCTATTGGCTACTGATAAGATTTTATCTCGTTATGTATCCGCCGGCCGCGCTGGGGATACATTGTCGTTTGTAAGGAAGGGGAGTGGAGTCGTGCCCGAAGCTCTAGCAATAATTTATCAGGTTCCTAAGACATGTTTTGTAGTTAGATTCTATTGCACGAATTTTCGCAAACACTGCCGCTTTATTTCTAAATTTTTTTATAGACTTGAGTCAGTCTTTATACTGCTTTCTTTATTTTATGTTTAATATAAATCGAGTCATTTTCAACGTTACGTTAAAATTTTTAAATGAGGCATTTAAGTGCTGTACGAGGGACCGTTGCAATTGCAAAGTAAATATATCAAAATGGCATAATTTTAGAGCTATCTTATAGATATTATAGTCATTTCGTTTTATAGGTGTAAATGATAATAAAGAATTTATTTTGGAGCGTCAAGGTTTGGATATTGTAAAGTCTTTGGAGAGCTGTGATCACGATGGATATAAAGCAGTCATATTTTTAAAATATACATTTAAGAGTTATAACGTAATTATACTATTGTACAGATTGTCTGTATAAAATAATGTCTGTGGTCGTAAGTGGTACTCAGTTAGGGCGCGTGTGGCCTCGCTCGCGCCCGAACACGCGCCTGCGCACAGATGTATTTATCATATCAAGAAAAGCAATAACTATTATTTGATAAAGAACGATTTATTTCACTTTTAAATACTATTTTAACCAAGTTGTTATAAATGTAGCTAGTAAATTGGAAAGATCTCTTGAGAAGTCCACGGTCATTTATAGAGTTCTTTTGAACAATAACTAAATTCTCAAAATGATATAGTCTCACATTTATGTCATATCAATTTGTAAAACTTAGGTTTTTCACTATTTTGTACATCTTGTACAAACTACATAATCATATCTTTAGTTCAGATTACAGAAATCGGCAATTGGCACTGTAGAATGTACTCGGGGCCGGACCTGGTTATCTAATCATTAAAATAATTAAAATACTAAGTCTAAGCGTTCAAACAAATGTTGAGACGCTATTTGTAATTTTATACACTGCCAAGTGTCCACGGTCTAAGTCAGTTGGAACTTACCTGTCTAGGGTCTGACAGGTTGGTGTGTGGCAAGCTAGCCTCGTTTGCTAGTGTTATGTGACGGCAACTATGTACAATATTGCCATTTCTGTGGTCTGACTGGTGTACACGCTACACAGTACACTATTTGCACGTCTTTAGCAGTCACCTGTAAGAGATTGGTGTACCTATAAATAAGTTACAGTTACCAGAGTTAGGATATATAGGTAGTCACGCAGTGCTACGTAGTAAAATCTTACTAATGTGTAATATTTTACGATGCCAATTAAAAGTCTTAATGCTCAATTTTGCCAAATTTTACTTGCCGAGAATGCGTCTTGTCTATTTAATTTCGTGTTTTAATGTTTGTTATAGCACACATTCCCGTTTGTAAAATCTCCTTAAGGTATTTAAAAGTGAGAAGGGAATGATCAGTTTGCTCAATATATGAAATATTTATATTTCTTCTATAATTCATAACATAACACATTCACATAAAACATGGAAATTGTTTTTGGCCCGAGAAAATTATATCATTAGAAAATTAAATGAAAAATGTAATTGTAATTTAGGAAGTTTAAATTGAGAGTTAAAAGAATTTGCAAATTATATATGTATTTGTGACGAATGCTCGATATGCAATACGTTAATTTAGTGCCAAATGATAAGTTAACTGGTAGCAATATATTGTATCCTAATGCTCTTGTGTAATTTCTCACGTAGTGTTAATGACCTATGAGGTTTCGAAGGTTTCTTTTACAAGACTATAATATATTTATACAGGGAAAGTGTTAGGTATGTACTGTTGTTTGGAGTTAAAGAGTGTTGTTGGGGTAAAATACTCATCGAGCTAGAGTGTACAAGTAACTCGTCCCGTTGTCATGCCCAGCGCTGATTGTTTCCTTTGGCCGTAAAATAAACGAAAACTCGATGAAAAATAAACTCCTTTTGAGTCAGAGTAATAACTTGCAGGTCACCTCGCTTCTCTTGCTGCGCCAGTTATTTCTACACTCTGCTCTATATAGCACTGAATGAGCAATGGAACAAGAGAATTTATTTACTCAAATAAGTTTTTTTTTTAATTATTTACGATAATTTTGTACTAAATTTTAATATACATTATTTTGCATTTTATGATTATAATGGCAGCTGTCCATATCATGTGAACGATGCAATCGTTTGCTAATATTTAGGGTTTCATAAATAAATTTAAAACAATACATCGAACATGACACATTGGGCACAAATATTGTTAAAAGTATGCACTTTTTCTTTGCTTGCTATATTGTATGATAATCTAAATCTAAATGAACACTCGCTGATACTCGAACTTAGTAAGCTTTGTGAAACCCTATTAGCATTAAAGATGTGGAGCGGACGTTCGGTCGGTGTTCGGCCGGCTGCGTGACGCGATGCTTTGTGACGTCACGTCCCCTGGCCGGTGCCGACCGCGTCCACACTTAGTTTTCACTGAGCAAAAATCTATAAACTTTTGTATATAAAGAGAACAACATCGATGCCACTGTGCTCTGAGAGGACACAGCGTTGTGCCAAAATTACGTGCTAGTCTTTAAAAACAAATGTTGTTATCATTTTTCAGATTTTATTTAGTCCAGAATGTGTTTGTTCCTGTGCTGTGAAAATATTTCCTAACAAACCAACACTCGTGATGGTGGTGGGTGCAATGTGGTCGGATTAAAAACGGTTCTTAGTTATAGTCTATTAGAATATTAAAATGGAAATTAAATTTCCTCACTGAGTTTCGTTCGATATATAGTTCAGGACGGTGATGATAATTCGTTTGTCCAATTATTAAGGCTTATAGATTCTTCGTTTTAAAATTGACCACATTGTAAGTTTAAATCGACAATTATAATCAGAACTATCTAACTATAATCAAACATGCACTTTAAAAAATCGACACGTTTTGTCTGTGATATTATGTTTTCTATTAGTTAGATTAGATGTAGATACTCATTGATATAGCCGCGGTGGCCGTTAAATTTATAAGTAATTCGAATTCTCCATAAATGTTTAGATATTATATTTGATCAACCGACCTTCATCACTAAGAGTATATAGACAATTGATCTATTATCGTAAGTTATATCGTTCTGTTTCCCAAAAAGTGTACGTTTCGCCATCGGTAATGGCTGTTACAATCACGTTTGGCTGTCAATATTTTTCACACGACCGCCATGTAGAACAACTGATATATTGTAACAATTGGTTAGATTTTCCAAGACATAAACTTTTTTACTAAAGAAGGCCCGAAGCATAATTAAACTGCCAGATATCCTACAAGTTGCAGCTTTACACATAATTTTCATGTTCTGCATTGTAGTTGTCGATAATTAAATATAGTGTTATTAGAAATTGAGTACTGAAGTCGATTTGTTAGAGTTATGAAGGGTTGTGTTGGTTTGTTGTTATAGTATTTATGAAAAATGCACATATTGATTTAGCTTTGAGCTTGTGCAATATTATTCCAAATTGTTTATAGAAGAACTGTTATTATTATTTCTAAATTGTTATATATTTTTATAATCATAAAAGACAAAGGCAACTTAAATTATATTTTTGTTGTGCATTTATTATCAAATGTTTATAACCACAAACTCATTGTGGACTGTAATGTCTGCGTCTGTGAAAACTGTTAATTAGGTACAGTATGTTTTTTTATATGCTAATATTGTGAGTCAATTCTAGTAATGTTAATGTTCCCTTTTATTTAGAATAATTTACGTTAATAAACAAATTAATCTAAGATTGCTCAACCAAGATGCAATGCTAACTGCAATGTAGATGTACGGAAAATTTTTTTTATTTGACCTTTATATTATTTATCTGATATTTCAGTTTATTATTTGTGAGTTATGGCAGCGCATGTTAGTCTTACGTTTATTCTTAAGAGAGGCCAAATGTTGACTTGCTTATGTGAGACTGTTTTGCCAAGAATCAGAAAGTATATTATTACCTACATTGTTTTAAAATAAATGCTTTTATATAAAATGCTGTTTTTTTTCTGAATTTATTTTATACATGACAATACATATGACTTGATTGATTGTTTCTTTCTTATGTGGCGGCTATTTCTTCCGTTGTATACAACGTGCATTTTTTCGTTTGACGAATCTTGAAACCACATATTCTGTACTTTATTACTATACGATTTGCAAAATATGAACAAAAAATATTCAGTGGTTTAGAAACAGGTCAATTTTTTGATTTCGTGATTTGCATATCATGTGTAAATGCAGACATTGACCTCAGGCGGCGATCAGCTGTATACGCGGCGCGGTCACAACACATGTTGCCGCTTTTACTACACTCGAATTGAACGAAATATGTTAATTATTGCTTCATCAGGATGAAGGACACGCGTTTTTAATTAGTTGATCCAGTAAGTACAGTCAGTCGGCCCTTAGCCACCGCGAATATCCTGACATGATATTAATTTACGAGGAGCTCCATCAAAACGCACCTTTAGCTTTATGGACAAACCGCGGTATGGAATCAATCGTGTACTCGTATGTCCTACAGAATGCCGAATTTTTGTAAGGATTACGAGACAACCAAAGTACCTACTTTTTCAAGGAGTGGCAGGTACTGCCGGGTCGTTATTAAAAATCGTATTTTTAATAAATTGATTTAAAAAAGCAAGTGAAGTAAGTGATTAGTGGGTAAAGACTGTAAAGTTCGCCGGCTCGTCGCGGCGGCGGCGTCGCTTTAATGTCGCCGATATTGCGATGCTTTCGTCTAAAGGTCAGCGACTCATGTTAACAATGGTGTTATAATTCGGCAATCATTTTATTGTATTTATTTGGTTCTAAGTTTGCATTTCTGTATTTCCGTACTATTTTTTAGATCGAACCGATCGGAGATGTTTTGGGCTATCGACGATTCGAGTCACTCTTCGTTGGATGCAGTCCGGGAAGAAGCTGGTACTGAGGTACCCCTGCATAGAGATAAGAACAGTATTCTATATGCGGCCGGACTTGCGCCCTATAGACTGCAAGGCGGTTGGCCGGAGTGGAATGCTGCCGCGATCTGTTCAGCACACCGAGCTTCTTCGAGGCCTATTTGATCTTACCCTCTAAGTGACCCCGAAATTGGACTTCGCTCGATGTTTAGATACATAGTATTCCGATACTGGCTGAGCCAATTAGGGAGGTGCTTTCAAACGAGGTGATGTGACAAATGGTATTTTTTTTGCAGTGAACGCACAGACCTATGTCTTTTTTGGATGGGACTTAGAATCCAGGTCTATGGAGTGTACCTACACGCACAGTAAAAGCAGTAAATAATACTTCAATAAATGATCAGAGTGGCGCTAGTGTACAAGTACGGGTGTACACTAGCGCCTTTTACTTTTTTCAAAATTTAGACAACTTTTTAGTGGGTAATAAATTCCCGAAAGGCAGTACAAAATGCCTTTAAAGAGTTTGTTGCCTCCCGTTCAGCTGATTTTTACAAGAAGGGCAATCAGGGGCAGAAGGGGAATCAATAAACCGCCAATGCGTTGGCAAAGACGCGTCGATTGCATGGGTGATTACTTCGAATAACAGAAATAAAAAAGTTTGAAAAAATAAGTACTTTCACTTATTGCATACAAAACGGCAATTTTATAGGTAAAGACCTATTACATACATAATTTAATGCCTTTTCAAGGCCACTTCTTACACAGAGATTCTCCTTGTCTCTATCGTCTACATTCAGATCATAGAATTCGCACAAAAAGTCACAATGTCATTTATGTCAAAAAGTTGACAGTTTGATGACATTTAATGGTCATCATTGTCGCGTAACTTTTGGCACCTTAGACACTTTAACTTATAAAGTTGTTATTTATATGGAAAGTAGTAACAAAAATAAATCGTATTTGGTTGTATCTATACTTGTTGCAAAAGTTTTTATGTCTTTGAAGTTAAGCTATATTATTGCAAACAGTTTATTAGATGGCGTTTCCACAGCCTAACGCACAAAGAGGTTAGATGAAACAATAAATCTTTTCTTAATAATTAATTGACTATCAAATTTAATGCAAACATTAGCTTTATGTATAATTAAGTTAAGTAAGTAATTGTTTAACAAAGAAAACATGAAAAATCGAAAATAAACAAACAGTTTAACACGGCTTTTGATTTGATAATTTAAAATACAATAAATATATTTGTTTTGTTATGTTGTTTTGTAGAATTAACTAACAGGAAGATATTAGAAGAACTCCAGTTGAAGAAGCAGATGCTTCTTAAGCAGGGTGCTGTGGCTCCACTGACTGCTACCTCCATATCACTGACGCAGCCTAGCCCGGTCAGCCAGTTGCCTATGTGCTCAATACCTCCTGTGTCGGCCACTGCTGTGAGTTAATAAGTTTTTTTTTTATTTATAATTTAATGTACACAGAGTTAAAGTTTAAAAGTAATTGTTATACGAGCCATCGGGGCTCGTATAACAATTACTTTTAGCAAAATAGTTCGTCTAGTATGGAAAGTAGTGCAAAGCATAAAATATAGAAAGTAAATATTGGTAAAATAGTTAAGAACATTTAATAAAAAGTAAACCACAGTTTGGAAACATTTTAAAGTTTATTTTCTTTCATGACTTTACATCTCATAAAAAATTTAAAAAATATTCTAAAATACATAACGCAAAAGTATTCGTCTACCCTTGTCACTCACGCAAAATAGTTCGTCTACCACTTGTGTCGCCTTTGCTCTCAATGACAGCTTTAATGCGAAGAGGCATGGTTGCAACCAACGCTGCACACTCCTCAGGCGTAATTGACTCCCAGCCAAGAGTTTACTCTTCGATCTTGATGGATTTTTACGGAGAACTTTTTTCATTTTCCATCATAGAGGTTCGATCGGCGAAAGTCCGCCCTGTTAGACGGCCATTCGATTGTAGGGATGCTTTTCGCAAGTAGCCACGTCTTCGTTGTCCTTGCAGTATGGCAGCACCATCCTGTTGGAAAATGAAGGAATCTTGATGCTTAAGTGACAAAATAGAGGGCAGTAAATTCTCTACCAAAAGGTTTTGATACCTTGCAGCATTGATAGAACTGCATACCACCAACACCTTGTGCAGAAATGCAGCCCCATATCATAAGAGACGCTGGAAACTTCACTTTTGCGTTTGAGACAATCGGTATGAAATGCCTCATTTTTGTTCCGAATCATTTTTTTCCTTTTATGGCCGACTGTCACTTCAAATTTGGACTCGTCACTCCAAATGATAATACGCCACTGATCAGAAGTCCAATTTAAATGATCACGAGCAAACTTCAACCTCTTTTTCTTTTGTACAGCAGTCAACAGTGGTTTCTCCTTAGCGGTGTAAAATCCGTAACCCATTCTTTTTAAGACTCTTTTGCAAGGACTCTTTTCCTTCCATTGCACTGTGAGTTCTCCAGCTCGAGCACGACGATTATTTTTGATAATTTTCTTTAGGATTCTGTTTTCTACTGCACTTGTGATGCGTGGTCGACCAGTTTTCTTCAAACAAGAAGTCATTCTATTCTTTTTATAGTGCTGAATGATAGATTGGACTGTAGACCTGGGAAGTATCAAGTCTTTAGATATTTTGTAACTTGATTTGCCAGCATCGACCCCACAAACTATTCGCTTTCGAAGCTCTTCACACACGGGTTTGCCAGAATTACTTTAGCAAATTTAAATTATGCAATATAATTGTACAAAGAAGGAATAATCTTATTGAACTCACCGATAGACAAACTCTTTTGCATCAATTAACAATTAGACGAACTATTTTGCTTATAACTTCTTCGAATTTAAAACAGGATATGTATAAATTTAAAAAGCTAAAATAGTTTATTGGTTCATAATTAAAAAATAGCATAAGTAACGCGACATATGATAGTAGAACAGCTTAATATTTTATGTAGATATACAAAAATAATGAAGTTAGAATAAAACTCACAGAGAAAATTTCACACTAGACGAACTATTTCGCATCAGGGCTCGTAGTACACACTGCATTGTTTAGTGGCACTATTTTTGTTTTAAACACTAAAACTTTAATAAATACTTAAGTAATAAGTGATATACATTTCAGGGTTTTCCCCAACTACCAGAAGCTAACATAGTAAACACGAGTCATAGAGCAGCATTACAACACGCTAACGCCACCTCTTGTGGCTATTTCGTCTCTCAAGACTCTTCATTTGGAAACCAGATTCTTCCAGTTCTTCCTAGATTTGATAACAAGTGAATAAAGAAATCATGTCTGCCATAATGAAGTTAAAGACTCTTCAGGGGCACTTGGAGGACTTAAAAGGGTTTACTAAACCAAAGATTCAATATGAACAGTATGAGACACCAGCACACTTAGCAGCTTCTGCCCTTTACACCATACAGGTGAGTAATCATTGTGAATATACTAATAGACTTTTTTTTAAAGAACTTCTGCTTTAGGAATATATCCTATGTGGTGGAAGACTTTACAAACATACATGAAATGGACACAAAGAACACCCAGAAGCCAGACTCAGATATAAGCAGATATCAGCAGATATAATATAAAGTACCTTATTTAGACAAAAATAATTTACATTTTTGTTGTCCAAGGTGTATAATACTACAACACATGTCAATCAATTGAAATTGCATTTCCTTTCTTAAAAGTAAAAAGAGCCCAAAAAAATTATGTTTTACAAGAAGTAATCGTCATGTTTAATTCTATTTAGTTCAATAGCTAGTTGAAAAAGTATCTAAAAGTTTATGGTTATTTACCGCATTCTTAATCCTTAATAGTGGTTACCTACTCTATAAGTATCTCCGATCTACTATATGTATCTAGATTAATACAGACTTTTAGTGCATTAACACATATTCTTTATTTCAGACCCAATTTGAGTCAATAGAAAACTGTACAGTGTTAGATGCAGGGTGTGGCCCAGGAATATGGGGGATTGGTGCAGCTCTCCTTGGAGCTAGTATTGTGACGGCTGTTGATATTGATGATGATGTACTTCAGATCTTTAAAGAAAATGTAGAAGAAATGGAAATCACAAATATTGATGCTATACAGTGTGATTTTCTTGAATCTAATGTATGCAGGTAAATATTTTAAAAATCTTTAATTTTGCTTTTATATGTTGACTTGTTTCGATACAGAAAGTCAATGTAATCCATTACACAGTATGTTTTGCTGTTAGTTTTATAACCATTAAGACACTTGACTCTGATAACCTATTGTCTTATACAGTGACTGATGGTTGCATGATTTTGACTGCCCCAAATCTGGTTGTTTTGATTTTTAAATTTTTCAATCCCTTCCTTCCCTTCTTGACCTTCAATTAAGACTTTTGAGGGATTCATGATTGCCTCAATAGCAGCTGGTGATATGACTGAATGTTTTATGACTTTATTTTCTGCTTTTTCTATACCTTATTATTATTTTAGGTATTGTTTATAAAACATTTATCTTTGATGCAAAATTAGTTGATCCTTGTTCTCTTACGAATCTTATATCAGCCAATTATTTTTATATTTTTTACTTTTTTTAATGTTGGTTTATGTAATGTAATGTTCGAATTTTTGACCCACTAGGCAATATCTACTCTTTGAACAGGCTCTGTAAAATACATTTCATTGTCTTTATAAAGGTAATATTATTTTGTGGAATAAATACCACTGATCTGACTTAAATCAGAAGGTATCTTTAATATTAGACCTATTCCTGATAGAGTATCTTTGCTACAAAGCCACTAAACACTAATAGATTTTTCCCTTTTCTGGTTATACTGTCCTAAAGGAACAGCAAAAAGTTGTCACTTCCATTGCTGTGTATATTTGCAGATGGGAGAGTTATTTTGACACGGTACTGATGAACCCACCTTTTGGCACCAAGAATAATACTAGTATTGACATGAAGTTCCTACGCATGGGTACACTCCTCAGTTGTGATAGTGTTTACTCATTGCACAAGTCCTCTACAAGGTTTGTATCTTAGAATAATTCTTTTAAGACTGTTTGAACTTACGGGTTTCAGTCCCCACTCAGCATACTACTATCTTCAACCTATTCATTTGGAAAAACCCCCTCGGATCTGGAACCCACTGGGGTTAGCCAACGAGTGGTGTGTCGGACTCGATGCGACGGTGTGCCACTCTGAGTGTGCCACACTGCTCACACTGCCAATCCGAGAACAGCTGTTTTTTAGAAAGCATTTAGGTTATCAGGAGGTGTTTATAACTAGTATTATTTTTTTATGTGTAACGTCTTTCCTCTCGCTTTCCTACCCATGGGAATGATTTTGTGTAAACGTACCAAAATGTTTAACGGTATTTGATTTGACCAAGAAACATGCGCGCGGTGCTAGATGTCAAATGTAACATATCATTAGAGACTGTGTTTTTGTTTAACAGTGATTTTGTTTTACACCATCAGGCCCGCATTGAAATCTTCACCTATCACAACGCAAAAAGCGGTCACCGTAACGATACTCTATCGTAGATGTATTAGAAGCTCACTTCTTTCCTTTTCAACAAGAACAGCCAAATTTCTCAATGATTAGCTCATTAATATAGTGTCTGATCTAACCAAATTAATATTGTCATTAATTTTTCAGGCGTCATATAGAGAAAAAGATAGAGGACTGGGGAATGAAAGGCAGTGTTATAGCCGAAATGAAATTTCTTTTACCGGCAACCTATAGGTTTCATAGAAAGAATTCTATGGATATAGCGGTTGATCTATGGCGGCTACACCACCCTCACTCGTGATAGGAACATTTGCGTAGACTTTTTGAAATATAAGATGATGTACAGTAATATAAGCTTGAAGTATATTTAACGACTTTTGCGTTTACACGAATAAACTTTTAATTAAAAAGTTTAATTTTCGTAACTTTTTTGTAAAAATTGTACGACTATTATCGGTTATAAGAATGAACTTCAGTTACTCGTAAGTTTTACTTTCTTAAATTTAAATTATTCTTGTTCAATCTCCAAAAAAAATGAATTACAATAAATTGTTTCTATTCTTACATATACACCAAAAAGGTATTGTACTCAAACATAGCAATCTTGTATAAAATGATAAACAATGTAAAACAGTGTACTGAATATGGATTGATAAAATAAAATTATGAAAAATTGTTTAGCTTTATTTATTTAATTCAGTCTTACAGTATTATTCAATTCAAAATAATCAAAATATTAACTAAATAAAAATTTTACAATAAGTTTTATGAATCTGTGTATCACCATTTATAGAGCAACATTTTGAATAGTTCCATCTGTTTTTAGAAAAAAAAAAGTATTACGCCCAAGGGAAGGGGATTTTTTTTTTTGATACACTGGCTTAAAATTATTTTAGGCAAAAGATAGTATACTATTAAACTTTTTTGGCTTGCTTGATTAAAATTTGTTTTCTTCCCTTGGTAGCAATACTTTTTTCTGGGTGAAAGGTGACTTCCCTGGGTTAGGGACAACATGAATTCTATATTGATTGGTGATCACATAAACGGTACAGCAGCACATAAACATAAAATACTCACAAACATACATTATATTATGTGGTTGATACAATATATAAAATATTCGATTAATTATTTAATGTGAAGTGTTCTTGAGTACCTAAGTATAAATATGCAATTGCATTCGAATTTCGAACGTGAAAGCAATCCTGAACAAAGCATGGAGTAAAAAAGTAAAAAGCAAAGGAACCGCTACGTTAATTTTCGCCGTAGACAATTCCTTAGCTTTTTTAAATATAGTTTTTTACTCTATTCGTCTCCAAACTTGATGTTTTGTGCCAGTTTTATGGTTCCCGAGTAATTTATGGTAACAGTAGACCGCCTCATGTAATTCTTCCAAGAGTCAGAACCGCACTCCCGACCGCCTCCCGTGGCCTTTTCTCCTCCAAAGGCTCCGCCAACTTCCGCGCCATTTGTAGGGATGTTAACGTTGACAATGCCGCAGTCAGACCCATGAGGACCGATCCACTGAAATTATTAATTATTATACTTTCGAACGCATATAGAACAGCAAATAATCTTCTTAGTCTCAACATCTGCTCTGATGATTTATAAGTCCGTCAGCCAACAAGAGAAAAAGTTCTAACGTGCTCAAACTCTGTAAAATAATAAAAGAGCTCTCACCTTAAACACATCTCCGAGATTCTCAGTAAAAAGACTAGAGGAAAGTCCTTGTTCTACTTCGTTGTTGTACTTAATACCAGTGTCGAGGTCAGGGATCTCAATGCAGTATACGATAGGTGCAAAACATTCTGTTTTGACAAGAGGTGAGTCGTGTGGTAGACCCGTGACAATAGTCGGCTCTACAAAGTAACCTTCGCGGTCCATTACCTAAAAAATAACATAATTCAATCAGTGCATATTCATATTTTTGTTTTAAAAAGACAACTCCCGCATTAGGAATATATCCTGTGTCGCGGGGGACTTTACCAGACTTAGAACAATAATTTGTGAATCACACAAAGTGTCGTCCCGTGTGGGGTCGGACTCACAACACTTAGCGTAGTAGTAAGCGGCGTCCCTACAGAGAATGTTGCCTAATCTAGGGGGTCCGCGGGTCGGGCACGCCGTCATCGCGGCGGTAAGACCCGTTATGGAGGATTGGCTCGAGAGGAGTCACGGAACCCTCTCATACCGACTGACGCAGGTGATCACTGGGAAAGGATGTTTCGGGGATCACCTGTGTCTGATCCGCAAGGAGCCAACGCCTGAGTGCCACCACTGCGATGGCCAGACCGTGGACACGGCTCTCCACACGCTGGCAGAGTGCCCGGTGTGGGTTGAGCAGAGGCGAGACCTCGTGGCGGCCATCGGAGTGGGAGTTCTCTCGCTCGATAGCCTGATTGCGGCTATCGTGCGGAGCGAGAGTGCGTGGAACTCTGCCGTCTCCTTGTGCGAGCAAGTTATGCTCGCGAAGGAGACGGCGGAGCGGGACCGGGAGAGGTTTAGGACTCTCCCGGCCCGCCAGGCCCGGGAACGGGCCAGGTACCGCAGGCGACTCCGTCCTCTATAAGCGCAGGCCTGGGGGTGACAGGTGAGGCCATCTGTCACCCTAGCAGAAGCAGGCCGGGGTGGCGGCGAGCCCGTTGCGAAGCGCGCTCGCTTCCAGGGAGCACAGGGAACATGGGTAGATGACCCGAGGTATGTCGGGGTACCAGGGACTTCCTTTCTAGGGTATACCTGGCTCCCCGGCTATTAGTACCCGAGACGGCGTGCGGTTTTAGTCGGTTCAAGTCCGACATGCCACCGACAGGTGGTATCCGAGGGGATTTCCGCACGGAAAAAAAAAAAGAAAAAAAAAGGGGGTCCGCGGGAGGCATTTCGCCGCCTCTACTGTGCGATGATACAATCCATGGCCCTCTGCGGAGCGCCTATCGGCCTCCTCCCCCTGCCGAGCTAAGTTCTATCAAGCGCAGCGGGTAGCAGCCATTCGGATCGTACGGGGATACCGCACCATTTCGTCGCAGGTGGCGAAAGTCCTGGCACGTTTCCCGCCTTTTGATATCCTGACGGATATGAACGCGAGGGTCTATGACCAGACTCACGCGATCCGCCGGGGTGAGAGCGGGAAAGACCAGGACGTCCTCGAAATGCGGCGGAACGCTCACCGACAGGCACTAGTGCAGTGGGGACCTCTGGTGGCAGATTATCTGCTGCGGTAGGCGATAGGATGGCTGCCTATTATAAGGATTGGGCCTATAGGTGCGCGGCTTCCCCGGGATAGGGCTTTAATAGGCGCGGCATCGATCCGGGAGGACTTGAAATAACATGGTCCGGATCCTCCTCGGAGTAGGGCCCCTAAGTCCGGCCGTCGGGGTGGTTTTAAGTGGAAACACCACCGACTCCTGACTTCTACATCCCCAAGGAGATGCAGATCCGAAGGGATTTCCCACCCCGTCAACAAAAAAAAGGTATATGAATCAATATTACCTTTCCACCAAATTCAATCTTTCCGCCTTGCTTCACAACCTCAGCCACAGTCTTCTTGTAAGCTTCAACTGCAGCCGGTGTGTGTAGAGGACCAATAAGCGTTTCCGAAAGTAGAGGATCGCCAATCTTGCTAATGACACCTGCGTAGGCCTTTTTCAGGCGGGATACCACCGCATTGAATACCTGAAAAACGCATTATTACTTATGCTTTCATATGTATTTCGCTGGTAAATATTGACGTAAGTAAATAGTAGTCATAATGGTTAATTATTTTGTATTTGCCTATTAGTTGTATAATTCGAACATTACAATTTGAAAGATCTCGTATAATAATAGTAATCATATTACACCATAAATTTATCTATAGGTACAATGAGAGATTATTGAGTGGGTACCCCACTAGTGAGTAAAGTCGTATTTGTACTGTGAAATCATACCTTCTTATGAATAAGCAGTCTTCTGGTTGTAGTGCATCGCTGCCCAGCTGTACCGGCACACGCAAACAATGCCGCGTTCAACAGTAGATCAAGATTGGCGTCCTCGTTTACGATAATCGCGTTGTTGCCACCAAGTTCTAAGAGGTGGCGACCAAATCGCTTCTGAACTTCTACGCCCACCTGATAATAAGCAATATTTTGTAATAAAGACAGCATAGGAGTGGCAGCAGCGACGCTACCTTTGTACCCTTAGTCTTACCTACTTCTCATTTCTCAATTATATTATTTTAGTGATTTAAAATCACTCTCACTGCATGGTACGTAGCTACCGTAGTTTATCAAACCAATTGACCCCACGGTCATAATCTCATCTTATCATGCCTTTAAAAGAGTTAACTACTCTATTCATTATATTTTATCATATTTTATTGTAATTCTTGCTGATTCAGAAAAAATATACCTGTTGTCCAACAGCAGTACTGCCAGTGAAAGAGACCAGCTTCATCCTCTCGTCTTTGACCAGTTGAGCACCGATGTCCTTACCACCGACACACAACGCGGCAACAGCCCCGGGGATGTTATTCTTTTGTAACACGCTCTCCACAATCTTAGTGACGGCTACAGAAATCAGAGGTGTAGTTTCCGAAGGCTTCCATACACTGACGTCACCGCAAACCTGGTTATAGATACTGGCATAAATCAAGTAGAAAAAGTATTACTTATTAAGTCAAGAACATTTAAACAACAGAAAGCTGTGCTGCTGCTGTGGATATGCCATAAGTTCATGGTAAATTTAAAACTTCGTCCGTTTATTGGTGGGGCTGCCTCCAGCGGTGTGTCTCAAATCATCACGATAGAGATTTTACACAAGTGATGAGTTTACTTTTGTGAATATGCTAACAATCGGAAAGAAGGAGTAATAAGTATTTGTCACCAAAAACTTTAGCGCATTTTTTGGAAGACTGATCCATTCTCAATATAATTAGAAGATACCTCTAATGCTAAATGATATTATTATTTTAGTAGGGACGGAACACTCCTACACCACGATAACGTGAACGTGTCATTCTCATATAGGTTCAAATGTGTCATTCTCTCTGCAGTCCCGGTGTTCTTTTTAGAGTGCAATAAATTAAATAGATAAAATAAATGCGGCGAAGTTCTGTCGTAAATTTTGTACTTAGGTTTATTTTTATCTATATGGTTACTGTTATTTAGGTAGGTACATCCTAAATACCTACGCATTTATTTTAGTGTCAAGATAAGGATATCAGTTATACAAACATCTTTCATATCAACGAACGTTAAATAAGAACTAATTAGGACATGAATTTTTAGGTCCTTACCTTATCAGAAATGTTTTAGAAATGTATATCATACATACCATAGCAATGGCGCTATTCCAACCGAACACAGCAACGGGGAAGTTGAAGGCTGTGATAATACCGATGGCACCAAGTGGGTTCCATTTTTCAATGAGAACGTGACCTGGTCGCTCGGAGGGAAATATGGTACCGGGTAGTGATCGGGATAAACCAAGAGCCAAATCGCATACATGAATGTATTCTACCACCTCTCCGATCGCTTCAGGCAGAATTTTACCTAAAAGTAGTAATTTATAAATTAGTAAATAATTTATCAGTAGGTACCTACTTATAAGCAGAGTGGCATTCTTTTGTTTAATTTTTCTTATCAGTAATTCTCGTAAGATGTCCTATCATAGAGTATAAGTATAAGTAAGTACAATTCTTCAGTACGGTAAATATTACATAATAATTGTGTAAAATAACGATAATATTTGTATTTTGTAAGGATAAAGATTTATTTGGTAAATCTATATTACACTGCTCTTAAATTTTATAACCATACCCATTTCCAAAGACACTAGCTGTCCTAGTGGTTGTAGTTTCTCTCTCAAGGCATCTCCGATTTGTCTGACGATCTCTCCTCTTGTTGGCGCGGGGAGTTCACCCCACGTATGCCATGCCTCTTGTGCAGCAGCGGCACACGCTTCGTAGTCTGCTGGACTCGCTGCCTGAACTTCAGCTATCACTTTGCCACTGGCTGGGCTGATTGATTGGATAACCTGAGAATTATTGATTATACTTAAGCTCAGAAATGAAAAGTAAGAAATTGCTAATTGCAAAGTTGACTTGTCGACTATTTTATTACTTAATTAAGTGTTATGTGAATTTAATTCAATTCTTACTAATAGATTAAGCTTAAGCTTAGGTACCTATGTAGAAACTAAAATATATTAATTTAGAATACAATACCTCAGTAAAACTTTTAATAACGACTTTTAATATACAAAATACTACAATGTACTACTAATACAATGTGGTGATATGTATTGATGTATATACCTCTAGTATAATAGGTTCTATTAATTGAAAAAGGTGACTGATAAAAAGTGATCTTGTTCCGGGAAGCAAATCTGCCTTACACGCAAAAATAAGTTTCAATCAGTGTTTTTTTTTATTAAGTATAAAATATTTGAATCTAGCCATAGAGATTCAATAAAAATAAATAAAATTAAATACATAAATATTACTAAATATAACTATCCTGACAACGTGCATAATACAACACATGATAATGTTTACGCTCGCCAGGAACCAATCCTGTGACGCGGAGGACCGCATAAACATTTATGAAACGGACACACAGAACACCCAAACTCAGAACAACAATTTGTGTATCACGCAGAGTATTGTCCCATGTGGGGAACGAAGCCACTACCCTAAACGCAGTAGGAACCGCTTAAACCACTACGCCATCCGCGCAGTCATAAATAATAAAAAAATATTTTTAGCGTCTTTATCACATAGATTTTTACTAGTTACTTAAGAAAGTAAGGACGCTTGTCCATCGTTATTTAACTGCATTACAAACATCACAATATTGTAATTACCTAAATATTCAACGAAGAAATAAATGAAGTGTTGAATTCCTCAGTGACTTTAATAATATAATATGTAGGTATATTAAACATGGGTATTATAGTTTACCACCAATAAATTAAATTATTTTTCCGTTAAATCAGTTTAAAGCTCATCTTAATTAAGTTCGATTCTTAGTTTTAATCGCATCGGCAACTTATTACTAATTGACTAAATGAGAAATAAACAAATTCTATTTACAAAGTTAGTGACTAAGTATAGTCATTGTAGTCCCGTAAACTTACCTGACCATTAGCTTCCCATTTCCCGTTGAAGACACCCACATTCTTTTCTTGGAGCCCTAACTCCTTCAAGAAGGAGTATTTAGGATCCTGAATAAGGTAAGACACACTGCGAGCCATTGGTACACGAATGAGGCGCAAGGACAATACACTCTGAAACAACACGCGGCTCATTTGTGCTACTCTCACTCCAGTCGTTGATAAAATACATTTAACGAACAGATATGTCTGTAATGAAATGATATACAGTAAACAAATTTTATCTTGTTTGTGAACAATTAAACGCACTGCTACGTCTTATCTAACTGATATGAAGTCAGTTGCTAGGTCAGGAGTTTATAGCTCTTTGTAAATAGCATTCATGTGGAATATTCAATGAGTAAACAACACTTTTAAGTAATTGTACTAGCTCAACTTAGAATGCAATGCAGTCGGTTCTCATGCGTTATTGGATATAATGGGACTAATCCCACCCACACGCCCACCCCTGTAACTCCTGTACACCAGGATCCACAGCAGTGACCCACGAACACACCGAGTTATGACACTCGGGAAGTCCCAGGAAGAAATTAAACTGTCTTGGAACCCGCAACGAAATTAATCAGAAGAAAATTGGAGGAGTTGGAAATACAGTAAATCCACTTCCCTCCTTAGAAAAGCGGGAGACAAAATGAAGTAAAATGGGCATACACCCTTTTAAACAGGGAAGCACCACGGCCACAAATATTACTGGTCCTACGTGAGCTATGTTTGATTTCTATAATATGTATGGCAGAATCGCCTAAACGCACGGAAATTCACCCTAGTTGACACAAGATCCCCATAGTATACCGCCCCAGATGTCACCTGCAAGCTATTCAGCATTATATTACGTTCATTATACCAAAGACTACATTCCCAGAGGATATGATGAGCAGACTGTTCATAGTGAGAGTTAGGTGTTGAGCATTGACACAATGGTGACTCGACTAATTTAAATGAATAAAGCTTTGGAATAAAGCTTTATTGGATATAGTGGAAAGACGAAGTTACACACTAGCTAGTAGTAGTAGTAGTAGCTAGTTGACTACATTCCTCAATCCATCCATATAAGCAATATCCCTTTCCTACCTTTGCCTTCCCTTCTTATTCAACCTTTCTTTTCAATATTAAATTTTTCTATCCCCAAAGTGCCCGATGGACGGCAATTGCCTTATATCCCCCCAAATACTAAATCGACGGTCGACGAAATCGACACCACATAGCGAACCATCATGTCGGTTTGCTTGCAGTTGCGGTGTGTTTGGTTTGCAGCTGTTTCATTTCAGGCTTACGGCCAGGTGGACGTCGAGCCTAGGGCCAAGGGAGCGCTTGTTCAGGGCAGAGCGTGGCTAGAAGCGCCGCGTGTAATCGAAAAACAGAAGAAATATAGAATTCTTAATAAACAAACATTAATAATACGTTGTTTAAGTTCTATATACTTTGTAACATGTTTTCAATATATAATATAATAATATAATATAATATTGTACCACATTCACACAACGCCATCTAGTCCCAAACTAAGCAGAGCTTGTACTATGGGTACTAGATAACTGATATAAATACATATATACTTTTTTTTTTTTTGTAAATACATACTTATTATACATAGAAACACCCAGACCAAATCAAACATTAAATGTTCATGCACACAAATGTTTGACTTGAGCGGGAATCGAACCCGCGACCTTTGGAATAGCAGTCCGTTACACAAACCACTACGCCATTCGGTCGTCATGAATGTTTTCTTATTTTTTATTTTATTTTACAGTGCAGCAATGACTACATCTTGTAAATACAAGGTAACAAATTCATAGACAGTAGAATCCTCCATCAGAATGTTTTCAACCCTTTACTTCCTCTTGGTCTGACTAGATTGTACTGGGATCGGAAGTCAATCAGACTATGTCCATCATTCATACATGAAAACAAAGGTGTAACCACTGATTCCTGAATGTCTTCTATAGCCTGAATAGGCCCAGAGTGTGTAAAAACAAAATGTGGGAGAATAATAATAACAATAACTTTAAATTCAACAATGCATTTTAATATATCTATTTTAAATAATGCTAAAGCATCGCATATAATATTGTTACATTATTGAACAACTTTTGCTAGCTTCTTCTTGTTTTCCTTCCTTAATTTCTTTGGCTTTTTGTGCAAGGAAACTATTTTCATTTCTTTTTTGCATCCAATCTGGTAAAGGCTTGTCCCAGTCAGTTGGTGGTGAGTCTCGTTTCTTCCAAATGTCATTTCTATAATGCGCTCTGAATCTCTCCATTCTTCGGTTTCTTTCACTTGTAATTAAGGCATCCTGTAAAACATGCATTAGTTAATCGTATTCACTAACTGTGCCTGGTGTAGCTATCCTAGGCAATGTAACAATTGTGTAACCTTTAATTAAAAATAAATGATTATTATTATATAGAATAAGTGGGAGGGGGGGGGGAGGTCAACAGTAGTTCTCCTTTTATTGAAAGGACATAAGCAGGTCAAACACTTTAAAATATGTGCAATTTAATGATTAATAAATATGAGATTTAAAATGCGGAGACAGAGTGGCGGTTTATTCATCCCAGGTGGCAGAAGCCAGCGAGTGGGGCACTTACCAGAGTCACTTCTAGAGAAAACGTGTTTGTATTGTCTCATGGAAAAACAACTGTAAATAAATGTAAGCTACATTCAACCCATGCGAAACTGGGCCAGGTCCTGTGTTATTGATAATGGATACTTACAGCAGCTTTTAAATCTTTACTGCTTCCCCATTTACAACAGTTATCATAGTCTTTCTTCCATTGGTTGCAGTCTAAAGTCTCACCATATATAAAATATTGCTGAAATCTCCCTTTGAGGCTTGTGCACTCTTTATATTCATCATAGTATAAGTCACATTCTCTGATCTGAAAATTTGGATAACAAATATAAAAAATTTAATCCTCAAGAACCATTAATATAAAGCCATTTGAAGAGTCACTAACCCAGGCCTTTAATTATAATCAATAGGTCTGGCCTGGTGGTTCTTCATTTTGATGCACTATTCCTATACATAAAAGCTAAAGTAGTAAAAGTAACAGTAAAATTCCTAATACAAAAGCAATTACTATATATAAGGTATTATAATTCAAGATTGTAAAACAATGGTACTAATAATGGTCAACACTCAGCACAGTAAGTTTTTTTACCAACGAAAGAGTGAAATCATGGGGCGCCAATGGGAGAAGCCTAATAGGTCAATAACTGGTCACCATTGAACCGTCAAAATTACACTAATCAATTGCTTACTAGCCATCTATCTTCTTCAATTCTGGATTGAAGATTTTCTTGTGTCCCGGGTGTCTCTTTATCATCAGTTGCGGCAGTGGCAGTTTCTGCCATCATCTTTGCTGTTACACAGATTACAATACAGTAGAATACTTAAATCTTTCGACTAGATCACATAATACCCAACTCCTGTACGCTTACATAACCTCTTAAGTTTGTATATGGGTTTCATGAAATAAAATTGTGCGTATCTAACTTTTATTTAACATAATTGTTATGATAAAAAGGTTATACGCCACGGGCGTTAACTATTAAATAAGCTTCAGTAAATTTAGAAAAATAAAAATTATTGTGTTAAAATATGTTCTTTAACAATTATTTGACAGTTTGACACCAACATCAATCACATGTCACAACATTCGAAGCATTGCACTGAAGAACGTTGACAGAATTTTTATAGAAAAACTTTAATTATGTAGTTGTTACCTTATTACCAAGCAGGTAGCGCTAAAACTGTTTAACTCTATCTACTACACGTCGGGGTCGTCGTCGAATCGGAAAAATTCTGTGTTGATTGAATATTAAAAATACCTTTTTTTTTCTTTTTCTGCGAGGAAATCCCTTCAGATACTACCCACCGGTGGTTATGTCGGACTCAAACCGACCAAAAACCGCACGCCGTCTCAGGAACCAGGTGTACCCTAGGAAGGAAATCCCTGATACCCCGACGTACCTGGAAATGACTCCCTTCTGTGTGGGAACCCCTATGTCCCCTTTGTGCTCCCGAAAGGGTGCGCGCGCTCTGCAGCGCGTTTCGCCACCACCCTGGCCTGCTTCTGCTAGGGTGACAGATGGCCTCACCTACCACCCCAGGCCGGCGATTATGGAGGATGGAGGTCATTCTGCGACCTCCGGCGCCTGAGTCATCTGCGGTACCTGGCCCGTTTCCGGGCCTGGCAATCCGGGAGAGTTGTAAACCTCTCCCGCCATCTCCTTTGCAAGCATAACTTGGTCGCAGAAGGACACCGCGGAGTTCCACGAACTTTTGCTCCGTATCATGGCGGCAATCATATTACCGAGCGAGAGAATTCCCAAGCGCTGTGTCAACGGTCCGGCCGTCGCAGTGGTAGCACTCAGGCGTTGGCTCGGTGATCTCCGAAGCATCTTTTCCCGGTGATCACTTTGCATCGGTTGACGCTGGCCTCTCATACGACCGGTATGAGAGGGTTTCGTGATGCCTCTCGAGCTAATCCTCTATAACGGGTCTTACCGCCGCGATAACAGCGTGCCCAAATATTAAAAATAATTTGTGAGGTAAATCGACAACAAAATAGCGGGCAGAATTCCGGGTGCAGTTATATCGCATCGTACTAATTACTATTAATTATATTTACGCTATTTACAATCCATTCCTGGCTAATGTTATAAATTCAAAAGTAAGTTCGTTTATTTATGATTTCACCTTTTAATATACTCAGTCAATCTTGAATTCAAGCGGGGGTTAGTCATTTACCATCACTACATACAACTCAATAATCATAAGTGATTGCCACTCTTTGAGTCCCCTCTAAAATTCATTATCGATTTTGATATATTACTCAGCGGACTTTTGACTCTATTTAAAAAAAATTAAGTATACATTATGATTCAATTATTTATCACAATATTACAGACAATTTTTTTCTTTTTCTAAATTTAATTAACTTCTTATAAAGAGCTAACGAGAGATTTTTACATATTAGTTTTATTGTTTTACACTGGATTAGTAATATTCAATTCTTTTTCTTAAACAATTTTTTTATCGCTACGCTACCTCTACAATCCTTTCGTTTTAATATAAAATCTAAGTTAACAATTTTGACAGTTGTGAAAACGACAGGTTGTCAATGTCAACAATTTTGTTTTGACTTTGCCTAACTAAACCGTGCCAAGAATGAACTTTGTACAGATTAAGTTATAACAAAAGTTCCAAGTTAATGTGTCGGTTACAGCCTATATAATACCATTCTCATCTTAACTTCTGCTAAATACATTGTTGAGTATTGTGAAAATGTCACTTAATAAGCTCGTTGGTGGTGATTGTGGGGGCAACAACTCTTTAGTCCAATTATCAAATATTGTGCGTCGCGATGCGGTTGTTCCCCCGCCACTATCAGATTCCGACAGATTTGTCCAAGAATTTATTGGCCAAAACTCCCAGATTCCACAAACATTCAACATGAACGCGTTACTTAACAATCTACCAACGTCCAGTGCACAGAAGAGTACTACTACTCCTATCAGATCTCAAATGTCTGATCCAAGTGTTCATATGAACAGACAGTGGGCTGCTGGACCATCTACTTCATTTATTCCACAACAACCCATGATGGCAGGATATTTCAGACCACAGCAACCTATTTTACATTCCTATCCAAAATCAAATGTTCAAATAGAATATGTAAATGAGGCAGACCTGAACGTAACTACAAATGCTGATGTGAAAGCTAAAGCTGAAGAATATGTCAATAGCTTTAAAGATGATGATGATCTTGCTTATAATCAATTTATGAGTTTTATGAAAAAAATCAGTGCAGGCGAACTGACTCATTTAGATGATGCTAATGAAAATACAATACATAAAAATATGAGTAGAGAAGAGATTTTAGATGAAATGGCTGTGAAATATAAAGAAGAGTGGGATAAACTCAGCAATGTCACTGACTACTGGGATACAGAAGCAGCAAACGGCATTTCTAATGAATATACATTCACCGAGGGCAATGTTATGTTGGAAAATAGAAGTGCTCTTGAACTGGGAAAAGAGAGGCTAAAGATGGGTGATGTACCTGGTGCAGTGTTATGTTTTGAAGCAGCTGCACAACAACACCCAGATTCTGCTGAAGCCTGGTTCCTTCTAGGAAGTACTCAAGCTGAAAATGAGCAAGATCCCTTGGCAATTACTGCTTTAAAAAAGTCTCTAGCAATTGATCCAACACAGTTAGAAGGTTACATTACATTAGCTGCAGCATATACAAATGAGAATATGTCTAAATATGCATACATTTCTTTATTAGACTGGTTAAGAGCCAGTCCTAAGTATAATGATTTATTTCCTCAAGATGTAGACCTTAAGAATCTCGATGTTAAAGAATTAGAGATTCATGTTAAGACTTTATATTTAAGAGCTGTACATCTAAACCCCAATCAAATTGACCCTGATGTTCAAAATGCTCTGGGAGTTGTTTTCAACATAAGTCAAGAATATGACAAAGCAGTGGATTGTTTCAAGACTGCTTTGATGGTGGCAGATAACAATGCAAAGCTTTGGAATCGATTGGGAGCTACATTGGCTAATAGTGACAAATCCGAACAAGCTGTGGAAGCATATCATCAAGCTTTGAATTTAGAACCAGGATTTATAAGAGCCAGATACAATGTTGGCATCACATGTATGAACTTAGGGGCACACAGGCAGGCTGCAGAGCATTTCTTGGTAGCTTTGAATCAACAGCATAAAGCTAAGGACATCTTTCCAGACTCTTCAACCAGTGATACAAGTTCCTCTACTATTTGGACAACATTTAGGATGGTCTGTTCATTTATGGGAGAACATGATGTTGCCAAATTGGTGGATGATAGAAATCTTGCAGAACTGAATAAGTTCTTTGAAATTGAATAGGCTTTGTAAATAGTTAGGTAAAAACTGGGTTGTAAATATGTCTAATTTCGAATAATGATTATTAGAATAAAACAGGTTATATGTATGATATCTTGCATTGATCCTAACAGAATTTCTACTATTAATAATTTTTATATTACATATCTGCTGTAATGCCAATACTCATCAATGAAAAGATTGTAATTATTTGGGAGTCCAAATAAAGGAATAAAATATTCTTATATCTTTTATATTTTACTCTATATCAACTTTTGACATGTATGAAACTGCAGTCTGCATCAGCCAAAGGGCAACCTTGTGGATGATTTTGGTAGAACCAACAAGGTTTCTGTTTTATCTTTATGGTAGATTGAGTTGGTTTTCTTTTCTTAGTATTAATATTGATTTCTTCAATAGTTTTTGGATACCTCAATTGCACTTTCCCACTTTGAACCTTAAATATATTGTGATTATTCTTGAGGAGTGTTTGAAGTCCACCACATTCAGATTTTAGAACATTGAGTTGTTCCTTTGATATTAGAGGGATTAATTCATTGATATCTGCAGTATTTCCTGTGGACCAGGTGGTGTCTGTTTCTGAGCATCCTTGTAACAGATACTTTGTTATACTGTCTACTATTGAGCTTACAATATTCTTGTCTATTTGTGTACAGTTTCTTACTTTTTCAACTTGTACTCTGGCTTTAAAGTTTGATTGTGTATCTTGATTTGTGTTTAATCTATAATGTACAATACTATCTATTTTTTTACAGTACTCCTCATATTGTTCGTCAGTGTACATTCTACCAGTGCTAACTAAGCATATTCTTTTAGTACTTGGAATCTTCAACCTATCTATGTCTGTCTTGAAACCACAGTGCTCGCATAATTGCTTTATATATCCTAAATAGTCAACATACTGACTATTTTTAGAATTTTTTCTTTGATATTTGCTGCCATCAAAATTATAAGCACAGCATGGTAATAAGAAGAAGTTACACCTGTAAGAGATGTTAGCTGATATGACTGGTATCCAAGGTGTAAGTTCATCTGAGTGGTTTCCAATAACCCAATCTACATCAGGGAAAATAGATATATCGGATGGTGTGATCGTCTTCTCCTGAAAAATGGCCCAAGCATTCAATTATTATATTTGCTTATGTTCAAGCACCATATTAATAATTAAACCTACAGGTTACATACTTTTAATATAACATCAGGAGGGTACATGTCCCAAATATTCCTTTTTCGAACATCTAATCCAACTCCACTGTGGCCCTCTTTAGTTAGTATGTAAACTAGTAAACCATTACCACATCCTAGATCTATGAATGTTTTCTTGTCCTTGCTGTCATCTTGTTCCCAAAGCAGTAATAGGTATGCTGTTATAGCTATATCCTCATAAACAAATTTTGAAGCATCTGTACACTCAGGCCATATCTGTAATATGTTAAAATGTACAACAGTGCCTGAAGTGAACTGTAAATGAAGGCCAATAAATACTAAAACCACATATGATATTGTGTGGTTTTAGATAACAAATTGTAATCTCTTATAATCAGGTTAATCCTGATTAGCTATACCTATCAATTTATATTTTTTTATACATTCAATAAAGAATTTATAACTGATCAATATCACTTTATGTTACCTTAACCATTTCTTTTCCATATTTCAATTTTAAATAATTATATTTTTCATAATATTCCATTTTTGAAACGAGTGCTAAAGATTCAGCACAAATAATTGGTTTGGATTTATTCTGTACTGATTCTGTCCCCCATTTAATAATCTGAGGTAGTAGTGTGTTAATTAGCCATTGACAGGTAGTGGCTTTTTCATCTGAAAAGATATCAACATTGTATTCATAATTCTCATAGAAGTTCACAAGACATATATATTTGAGCAGTACATACAACAAACTAACCTGCAAATGCAACTAAGACTAACTCATTTTGACCAGACAGCTGTATAGAGTAAGAAAAGTCAGGGGCTATGTTCTGGGCCCATTTAATTGGTGTAACATTGAAAAATGTCACTGTTGATTTATTTTTTTGGAGGAAGACCAGTTGATATGCTCGTTTATCCGTATATGTCTTCGAAAGTAGCTCAATCAATGCAACTTCACAGATATCTTGAGCATTGTTACCCTTATCACGACTTATTTCTAGTTCATTAAAAATATCAGTTACGTGCTTTTCAACATTCTCATTTGTGATGGATTCTTCCAAACGACTACAATTTGTTGGCAATTTCCAAATAGGACTATTGGCTTTACACTCATATTTAAACCATATTTTACTGCCCCATAATCTCTTATTAATAACATGAGGTTTTGTTAACAAAATACGAACTGATTCCCAAAATGAATCTACTGTCAAATCTGTAAAGAACATTTTAGCAAAACTCATGTCTGTACGTTTTCTAATTCGCAAATTATATTCTATTTTATATTATTATTGGGTATTTTGCAATACGCTTTCAAATGTTTGACTGACTAATTTAACAAATTAGTCAAAGTTGCTGAATTAATTAGCAATTTTTTTGTAAGACAGTGTAGAGGTGCACCACTAAAATCTAAAATCAACAAACTTGAATTAGTCGATAATTCGTTAGTAACCATCTAAGCAACAAAATTTATCCTTCTTTACAGTACATGCCGCACTTAGGAGGTTTTAAATATTAAACAAGATACGTGAACCAAAGAGCGTATAAATGTTAGAGGAAGTGAACTAGGTACTGTCGCATAAGGTTGGTGAGAGAGAAAGAAGATTGCTTTGGTCATGCACCTCACTCTGTTTGTCTACCGGCCGTATGCTACTACTTACAGAGGAATATACAATTCACCTGTTTTAGGAGCTGGATGCGAGAAGCCCAAAATCGATCTAAGTGGCGTGCAATGGGAGAGGCCTATGTCCAGCAGTGGACTGCGATAGGCTGATGATGATGATGATGATACAATTCGCTGCTTCCTCTATTTATATTATCACTATGACGTCAACACGGGTCGTCAATCATATTTTGAATCCGTGCACTTTGGAAATAAATAGAAATCAAAACAAATTTGTTCCAAACTGTTTTGATTTTTGAAAGAGCCAGAAACGTCGCTCTGAACTTGTGTTGTGGTAGAATTTAAAAATAAAAATTTATTCCTTTAAATTAAATGCGCAAGGCGAGGCCGTGGTCTATGAGAAAAATCTCGAGAATGTTCCTTAACCTAGATAAAATCTATATTCATATTACGCATATTTGTAAGACCCCTTAAATCTCGTTAACCCTGCTCTGAGGAAAGTTGTGACCATACTTTCATGGGTCAAGTAGTTTAGAAATGAAAATGAAAATTAGAAAATTCTTCCGAGATTTCGTGTTCTATCGGTAAATAAATGGGTAATGAATGTCCTTTATGATCTTTAATTCCCTCTTTTGAAACCTTCAAGGCATAACTTCGTTACAACAAATTAAAATCTAAATTATATTACACTAAAATACCGATATGGGTCACCAGCCGGTTCAAAAGTTTATTTACTTATGAATAGCATCGATAATATTTGATAAAAATAAACCATAAATTAGTAAAAAGGCACAAAATGTTTAATTAAACGCATTTAGCATTGTAAATTACAAAAATTATTCTATCAGTCAATTCTAGCTTTCATAGTACAAGCTCTGCTTAGTTTGAAATTAGATGGCGTTGTGTGTAAGATATCCGAAAATGTTCATCACATCACATCAACATCCTTTACCAGTCCACTGCTGGACACAGGCCTCTCCCCAGAAAGGAGGCCATATACCACGCTGGCCAGACGGGTTGGTTTAGTATTTGTGTCAAGTTTTCCTTCTCTTTGCAGTGCTGTTTTCCTGCGAAGTTTGCTCCCTAAGTCGGCTTATACGACACTCACAGGATGAATAGGGGTGGTGACACTCTGTATTCTTAATCGGTCACCATACGGGTGAAATATTATTAATATTAATTTTACCCATATATTTAATTATATAACACTGTGATCATATACACAAAGAGAAATATAAATATTTACATGAGAATCATATACTGAAATAGTGTTGAATTCGATTTACAATTTTATGTGGGTTTAAACTAAAATCAGAAAATTGTTAAGCTCTAATGGTGTATTTTACAATATTTTTTTTGTTTAATTTTCAGTAAAACACATTACAATTTTCGTAAAATTTACATAAATATTACATTTTAAATATATTTATGTACAAAAAAAATTGCATTGAAAAATAGTGTCCCATCGGTATCGGGTATAGGGATATCGGTGGTTAGGACTTCAGAGACAGAAACCTCCTTAAAATACGTGCTGTATCGAGAAGAACTGCTTTCTGCATCAGGCCCTTAATCATACTGCCTAACGTGAGCCTCTGAAGATGTTGGTCGAGGCTCTTAGCAATTATATCCATGGGCGGATATGACTATCGGTACAATAATTGCCGAATCAACATCCCACATGTCGACAATCTCGTACGCCAAATCCAAATACTTTTTATCTTTTTTAGCTTTCAGGAGATTGTCTTCATGTGGAATAGTAACATTAAAAATCATTGCTCATCGCTCTAATCGGTCTATTACCACTGTATCCGGTTTATTGGCAACAATAGTCCTGTCAGTGATCGCCCTATTGGGCGATCCCAGTACAACGTTGCGCGACCATTTTTAAGAACTGGGTCGGTCACATATTTGTAGTACGGTAACTCTACGGTACGGTAAGTTGGTGATGGACTATCCTGGCCACTTGGTTGTGTCTATGCAAGTACTCGCCGTTGGCAAGACGAGAACAACCTTGAATTATATGTCTGAGGCTTTCACTAATTACATGCCCGACAAATGTCTATTATTCAAACAAATGTCCTTCAGGGTCCATACTTCCGATAATTAATCGTCATAATAACTTCATCAGTAATTGCAGACAATATCTTCAGTTTCTCCGAAGAGGTCACCTAATCGTAGTTGGTTGGTCTACCTCAGGCCTGTTCAAGGCCCGATAAAAACGTAAATGCAATTCTTTGCCCTTCCATATCTCCTTACGATCAGTAATGTTGAGTACTGCAACTAGAGTACTGGTCTAGGTAAGTTCTCTTTACCTAGACCAAGCGGAGTAAGTTCGTTATCAACTGTTACTACATCCCGATGCATATCCACATTAACATTTATTATTATTACGAAAGTTAAAAAATATTTTCTAATTTCACAGTACAACTTTAGGTTACACCTGTTTTGTTTATATCAAAGAATTTGAACACAAAATATATATTTTAATATACAACCACTAAAGATTTAAATTATTTCTAAATTAGTCAAACTATACAAAATTCTGTCATATTTAATAACTGGTAAAACGAAATCCTAGAATGACTGATCAAAACGCTAAACGCCATATTTCTAATTTCCAAATTAAGCTGAATTTTAAGCAATAATTTAGTTTTTTTATTTTCGTTTATTATAACCTGTGGAGGTCTAGGGATGTACGTTTTCGAAAAAAATGGTTGGCATATATTTGAACTTGTAATCTAAAATCGGTAACCAAAATCATTTTTTTAAAAAAATACTAAAAATAAAAAATCAACTACCCATACCAGTTTTTTTGTTTACTAAATTATGTGAAACGTGCTACGATCCTTTTAAAATGAGGAATTCTGGATAAATCAATTCTAGACAATAATGACAATGAATCCAAACTTTCATTAAAATAACCGTGAAATTTGTTTATGAAAATCGATTAAATCGATCGATTAAAATCTAAGTTTAATGAATGTCGACCCTCCCTATCGAGGTCATATTTTTGAAAATATTTTTGTATTTTTGTTTTAGTTAAATATTAATATATTGTTTTCAAGAAAACGTTTTTAAGTTAATATTTCTTGATGATATTAATAACTAACCGTTTAAATAAAAACGGACAGGTGTCTGTAGGTAATGTCATACACTGAGCTGGAACATGGCTATCAAGGGTTGCGGCAAGCTACTCAGCCTCAATTTTATGTCGGTGATGACGGAAATCTCGTACCAATAAGATCATCAGTAAGTCAATTAATTCCTGTTATCACATAATAAAGAACATTGCCGTGTGCAAGTGAATAGAAAACTGCTACTCGCACAACTTTAATCGCCAAGATTGTGGATTTAAATTTAATGGGAACGATTATATATTTAACTAAAACAGGAACAGTGTGCTATCTTAACAGTATTACAGTAGTTTCATTACTAGGTTTACTTTATGAAACGCAGGCTGAACCAATATTATGTTAACAAATATTATCTCTACAAATTGTCTACATTATTATGGACACTGATAGTGGTGTTTAGACACTTGTTACAAGTTGAAAATACAGTCTAAGACTGACACGACGCCTATAATTATCTTATATTACATGAACGAAATAGATTATTTTATTTATAGCTATACTAGTACATGTTGCTGACAATGACAAGTGAGGTAATGTTGAATGTTAATTTATGTCAAGTTTATCTTGGTTATCAAGTGCAAAGCAGTGACAACCAATGGCTAGCAAGGTTGTCTGTATGGCTTATCATAATAGTGTGTTTTGATGTAATACAAGTGATACATTGATAGTGTTTGGTGATGGAGTGGCAGTGGCTTAAGGATTGGTGGCGTCTTAAAAGATGGAGAAGCAAGGATAAGAAGGACCAGAATGATGATGATATTTGTTATTGTGATGACTGTTTACCAGATGTAAGAGGGTGATTTGTCATGTCAATCATTAATTTAATTTTTAATTATTATTTACAATGCATTTAGATGTCATGTTCTAATATTATGATAATGATATGGTAATGTGGTTTCGATAATAGAATTAAAATCAAATATATTCAATGTGTGTAGCCTATACTATGCCATTTGCTATAAAACATGTTTACAATATAAATAAGTGTTTTATAATATAATGTAGTTGGGATTTTGACTATAGTATTATAATAGAATGAATTTGACCTTCTTGCAAGTTAGTTGACCATGAAGTGTAGATATAAATGAATTAGTCACATAGTTTTAAATGGTATGCAAATAACTTTAACATTTATTTATAATTTGGAATCTTAAAACATTGAAGAAACTTTACTTGTAGACTGTTTGTGTAAATGTTATAAGTCTCTGATTACACTGTTTTGGGGGTTTTTTAATGGATAGTTGATTTAAAAACCAATTTTACTAATTGTTTAAGTTTATTTGTTCCTGCATCATTTAAATATTATAAGGTTTCTAATCCATACATCCAACATAGTATAACAGACATAATCATAGTTACCTGTATGACGAGTTATCTGGACTACTTTTCAGAATAATATGCTATTCTTGCACCAATTATTATTCAGGAATTACTTTCAGTGTTAACAACCTTAATACAATTATACACACAACAACTATATCCACAAATTTACTGACAATTATTTAGTCCTAATGATGTTATACTAGCCTTTGTACTCGCGGCTTCACTTGCAAGTATGTCAGTTGTCAATGTAAAAAGTAGCCTAGGTTACTCGCTCATACTGTAGCTTTTTATTGATGAAATATTTTTTAAAGCGCTTTTGTGGTTTAGGTGTGAAAGCATCACATCATCACATCAACAGCCTTTAAATAGTCCACTGTTGAACATAGGCCTCTTCTTGGGAAAGAGGTTTTGGCCTACTACACCACGCTGGCCAGACGGGTTGGTATATGATTTGTGTCAAGTTTTTCTTTTCTTTGCAGGGCTGTTGTCCAAAAAACAAACTCACTTTCACATTTATAATATACCAATCTGCCCCAGCTTCGCACTGGTGCAATGTAGGTACTACTAATGCGGTGTTAGTGTTGAGTAACTGATTATACTATTATTACACCTTATTATTACACCTTATTATTAGGACACCTTTAAATGCAATATTTATAGGTGCGCTTCAATCCTGCCGACCGCTGCCACCCGGGATAGACGTATGGCTCGACGGTCGTTGGGCCCTCGAATTTTAAACCTCCAGTATCTTCTAAAATATTCATTGTAATGATATGCTGTAAAGAGCAATTTTAGTCTACATTGAATGCACAACGTATCTCACGTATTTAATTGGATAAGGAATAATAACGTATTGTTTAAAATAGCTTCGTAAATAACCCATAATTTTTTTGTAATATTTAAAAGCTGAAACTGGATACTGTGGGTTACCGTTAGCAAATAGACATATACCATTGCAGTCTTTTTTGTACATTTTATTAAAATATACAATTTCGTACTACATTATTTTGCCAGATTAGCCAGCGTTTGCAATGAATGCGCTCAAAACCATGTTTTTTAAGACAAATCTTTGAAATTCTCTGATTTTGTCCATATATATAAAACTTGCCCTTAAATCACTCTCTCTAATGGTAAAAACCGCATTAAAATCTGTTGCTTAGTTTAAAAGATCTAAGTGTACAGCACAAAACCGCGATTTTATTTTATACCATATACTTTATTTAAAACCAGGCACTTGGATGTGAAAAGTTAGAAGTAAAATAAAAAGAAAGAAACATATGTAACATTAAGGGTTATAAGCCTCTCCTTAGAAAGGAAGTCCCCTCTACCTTCATTATTACCAATTTATCATGATTTGTGAGTATCTGAATCTTCAGCATTACTAACTTATCATGATTATATTCACCATTTCTTTTGTCAAATTGCTAGTTCTTTAATCCTATCCCTACTTAATGGTAGTCAAAATAATAAAGGTAAAATTATAGTTTATCTCTGTTATATCAGTTTTTCAGGAAACTAATCAGTTTCTATGAGACAATATAAGTAGGTTTTTGTAGATAAACTCTTGACTAAGTGTTAACCAAGAAACATCCCAAGCTAGGATTGCTTATCTTTGCAGTGGCAAAGTTGTGATTCATAAAGGCTTATATATCCTGACGTGTAACCAAACCATAACGCGATCTAATTCGCTCCCAACACCATCTATTGACGAAATTACAAACAACTATATTAACTGAATGTGCGGGAGGCTTATAGATATGAACACACATTGTGAGGGGTCTCAATGTGTGTTCATATCTATAACACACCGCACATTCGTGCCTCGGAGAGCACATAAAGCCTTGTTCACACAGACTATGTCCCTGTCTACCAATCTATTACTACTAACAAAAATTATAATTAACACAATGATCTTAGAATGTCTAAGTCAGAATATATCACTTAGTAGAAGTTTTAATTGTAAAAGTTGATTAATCAAGGCCATTAGGTCCTACACATTTCTTTATGTCAATATAACTATTTAAATATTTCCTAATATAAGCTCAGATAGCTCGAATAACTAGCTAGCTAGCTCAAATAGCTCAAACCCCACATGGGACGACACTTTGTGTTTCATAAAATGTTGATCTGAGTCTGGGTGTTTGTGGTCATTTCATGTATGTTTATAAAGTCCCCTGCGACACAGGATATATTTCTAATATTTCTAAAAAAACTTAAGAGAAATGTTTAAATATCGTAATAATCTTGTTTAAATCTAGGGCGAGTTGGACCTGTGCGATTCGTTGGACCCACACTGCGATGGCGGCGGCAAGAAGGTGGTGGTCGGCGTATGCGCCATGGCCAAGAAGTCGCAGTCTAAACCAATGAAGGAGATCCTCACACGTCTCGACGAGTTCGAGTACATCAAGATGCTTGTGTTCCCTGAGGAGGTTATCCTTAAGGTTCTCCACATTGTCTAACATGTCTAGTGGAACAAAATATGGAACAGCTGATGAGTATACAGCCTCTAAGATATATCTTATAATTTTTTTATTAATAGCTGAAGTAGTATGAAGCCTAGTAATTCATGAACCTGGTGATAATTACCGGCTAAACCAAAATTAAGCTTAATTAAGTTTTAAGCTTTGTTTGGCCTCATTCTTGTGAGCTAATCAAACGTGTCTAATCAAGTTACCTCATTGGTACTGTAAGGTTTTTATCATTAAGGTATTTTATTACCTCTTAATGAATGGTACATTGAAAACTAATGTGGATCTTATTAAATGGTGTGTGTAAATTAAGTTAGAGTTTTTACATAGCAGATCTTCTCACTAAATAAAATTTGTCCACTACATCTATCGTGACCTGAGGCATGACAGAGACTTTTTTTTTCATGTACTTTGAACCGTTTGTACAAAAGGATGTTCAATAGATGAGTAATTAGAACAGTACATTATTATATGTATACGTATATGCCCCGATAACTTAGACATATTTTGTTTTACTATTCGGTTTATATCATAACTAACATTTGTTGGGTACATGCATGCATCTAACACACACAACGGTAACGACGTATGTAAACGTAACTGTGCATCACATACTAATATACTTGTATTCTGTTTCCATTGAATAGCTGTATGTACTTGCTTTGTTGGAACGGTGTCGTATTACCAAATAGGCGGTAATTGATCAGTCTTCTGTGCTCATACATTAAAGCATTGAATGAAGTGAAGCACGAAAGAACGTTGGGTCCGCGAAATATTGCTTTAGTTATATACTACTTAAATTTTATTACCTGATTATTTAAAATATATCTCTATTTATTTTTCTCGTAGAAGGCAGTGGAGGAATGGCCTATCTGTGACTGTTTAATTTCGTTTCATTCAAAAGGCTTCCCGCTTGACAAGGCCATACAGTACGAGAAATTACGGAAGCCCTATGTTATCAACAATCTTCACATGCAGTATGATATACAGGTATATATATATATATATATATATTTACGATACATTGTATATATCGCAGTCCCCGACGAACACTATGGTAATCGCTATTACGATAGAATCGGGTTTATTAGATATTCGTTATCTACACACCCTATTACAATCATTGAATTTTTTTTATGATCGGGCGATGAATACTTTTGGATTTATCCATTCCATAATGATCTTTATGTTTTTGTTCAACGTAATTTACACGATCAATAACGCAAAAACCTATTACCAAATCTCAAGAGTCAACATTTTAGAGTAAGCGGCTATTACCATATTGTTCGAGGGAAAAATGACAGAATCAGAATCAGAATTTATACATAGGTACCGAAATGGTTATAACACCTTAAAATGATCATCGAATAAGCATGTAATTTATGTTTACCGTAATATTAAAGTCAGTTATATCATTGAATACGATTGCAATGTCATTTTACGAATATAAAGTATATTCATATTTACCATAGAACAATATCATAATGAACGATTACTACAGCAACACCGATTTGTGATTATAGTCGAACACTATCGTAAAGTTAGTTTGCGTTAATTTTTTCCATAGCTTATTTCAGTAATGGACATTTTCACAATTTTCTTACTGATAAAGAAAATTTATGATAAAAATTTAGTAAAAATCTAGTGCAAAAAAATTTTTCCTTATTTTTGATAAAAGAATCTTCTTTTTAGTCTTGATAGTATTCAAGATATTCAGGTTTTATTTGCTCCTGTAAAATTGTTATTTTCCTATTACGATTTTGTTCGTCGATGACTGCGATATAGTTTATTTAATTTCCTTTTTACTTAGATAAAGTGACTTGTTATTGTTGACAGGATCGCAGAAAAGTATATTCGATATTAGAAGGGGAAGGTATAGAAATACCGAGGTATGCAGTTTTGGACAGAGATTCACCGGATCCGAAACGTGAGTTCTTACATCTGTAGTAAATTTATTTATTTCTAGCTTCATCCTGCCGGGCTTCGCCGTAGCACATTGTAGTTAAATTGATGAGAAATGAGGAACAGAATTGACGCGAAACATCTTTGTAGTGGTAGGTATGTATATCGTGCCAAGATTTGAGCTCAATTGATGCAGAACCTTTTGAGTTTTTGAAGCGTACCCAAACCAACTTAACATCTAATATATAAAATTCTCGTGTCACGGTGTGCGTAGTTGAACTCCTCCGAAACGGCTAGACCGTTTTTTTTGAAATTTTGTGTGCATATCGGGTAGGTTTGAGAATCGGCCAACATCTATTTTTCATATCCCAAATTTTTTTTTCGACAATTTTTTCTGAAATAATGTATATGGCAAAACAACGCTTGCCGGTTCAGCTAGTTTTTATATATTTACTGATAATATCTTACGTATAGAAATTACCCGAGGCGGTAGGTAGTGCCTTCTTAGACAGACCACTTTTTGCCAACTATAATTTGTGTCCCAATTCGCAATTTGCCTATTGTTGTCAAATTGTAGAAATGGGAAATAAATTGGGAGTACAATGAAAGGGAAGCTACGGAGAAAAGGAAGGTACCTAATGATAAGAAGGGATGTTACTTTTACTGATTTATTGGGATGTTTTATTGATTTTTATTTTTAATTGGATTGATGCACCCCCAAATTAACATTAATGATCCGTTGATATAGGATTCAATTTGCAGCAAATACATGATCCCACTATAAGTACAAAAGCGTCATAACCTACTACTACCTAGTATTGTTGGCGTAGTTCAGTGGTTTCATGTTCAATAAAATTACAGGGAAGTCTCAGTCAACAACATTTCTATGGAATTCAATTGAACTTGCAGTGTGCGCTTTTACATGGCCATATTTATTGCTTTTTCTACAGTTGTATCTTACTCTTAAATTATAATTGTAGACCACGAGTTGGTAGAGTCTGAAGACCACGTCGAGGTGAATGGTGTAGTGTTCAACAAGCCCTTTGTTGAGAAACCCGTGTCGGCCGAGGATCATAACATATATATTTATTATCCAACATCCGCGGGAGGAGGCAGCCAGCGATTGTTTAGAAAGGTATTTTAATTTTCGTGTATATACACAGTTACATGAATAAATATTTTGATTTTACTTAACGTTTGTGGCCAAGATAATATCTAGCATATAAATAATTAGGTTTGTTATAGCGTATTAGAGTTGATATCAATGTTTAAATTTTATTTTTGTAGATAGGAAGCCGCAGTAGTATATATTCGCCAGAATCTAGGGTGAGAAAAACGGGATCTTTCATTTATGAAGATTTTATGCCAACTGATGGTGAGTATTGATAGCATACCATACGATACATTTTTCCATAGCAAAATAATGATTTCACAGACTTGGCAGGAAACGACGTTGAGGCCTGTCCAAGTATTCATAGTATATCCGTATTAATTCCAGCTATAAATAGTTTGAAGACGTTGCCATTTCATGTTTACAAAGAAAATAATACGAGTTAATTCAGTGTTGTAAATCATGTATGTTTGGTTTTGTATCAGAAATAGCGATAAGCTTGTTATACGTGTACATCGAAAAATATCGCTGTTTATGGTTGTCTTTAGTATCGATGTTGTAACAACTGTGCAAACGCTGCATTATGTATGTCGAAGTGCACTTTATTATATTATTCAAGGCTAATTAAAGTGTTTTAACTTATAAAAACAAAATTATATGCCCATCGAGAATTAGATTGCTTCGATTGTCATCAATGGCTTAACAGCTATTATAAACTAACAAAACAATATTTTTTTAAACGAACGTACTTTTTCTTTAAATATCCTCTATCATTGCCCAAAAATCAATTTAAAAAATACGCTGATTTGACACGCTAATAGGTTTCTAGGTAGAGGAAAGACAAAACCTACTACTATTTCGTATTTATAACATTAAAATTTTAGAAGTGTATTCTCCCCTACTGGAAAACGCTCGTGCAGCCCAACTACATACAGCTGACTACCCTTTAATGCTGTTGTGTGTGAGAAAAATTTAAAACAATTATTATGTCTATCAGGTACCGACGTCAAAGTTTACACGGTAGGTCCAGATTACGCTCACGCGGAGGCTCGGAAAAGCCCGGCACTAGACGGTAAAGTAGAGAGAGATTCCGAAGGGAAAGAGATAAGATACCCCGTTATATTGTCTAACCAAGAGAAGCTTATATCTAGGAAAGTGTGTCTTGCATTCAAACAGACTGTGTGCGGATTTGATTTGCTCAGGTGAGTTCTTTTGAAGTCTATGTGCAACGTTTTTTTTTTCGTTAAAGTACTTTTGTACGCATCGGATTCATTGTGATTCAGTGACCTTGCTACTAAGCCGCGCCGAGTATTGTGGGCTTGAAACACACGGGACAAAAATATGTGTGATCCATAAATGTTGTCATAAGTCTGGGAGTTCTTTTTTCTGTCAGCCAGTATCAATGTTTGTAAAGATCCCCAAGACACACAAAGTTGTTGTTATCCAGGTTTAAAAAAAGTATAGAGTGACTAATTCAGCATATGTTCTTAGGATGCAAAAACAAAATGTTGATGTGAAGGGCTGCTAGAATATTACAAGTCTTGACAAACATAGGTATATACACGCAGAGGCGTATGAAATGTAATTACGTACTAGTGAGCAAGCCTCTTGCAATCGACCGAACACTAACAATTAGATGGGAAAATTGGAAGTATGTTTTGTAAAGGAAAGGTAGATATGAAGGGAAGGCAATGGTAGGGGAAAGTACATGCTTTCCCGAACCATTGCACATTTACATTATGTTAATTTTTATTTGTTACATTATACTCTTTAATGAACTCACCGACTGCAACCTTTATTTCATTATCTATTTTTATAAATATCTCTAATGTCCACAGAGCAAACGGCAAGTCATTTGTCTGTGACGTAAACGGGTTCTCATTCGTGAAGAATTCTAACAAGTATTATGATGATTGCGCCAAAATTCTTGGCAACATGATTCTTAGAGAACTGGCCCCGACGTTGCACATTCCGTGGTCAGTTCCGTTCCAGCTGGACGATCCACCCATTGTGCCAACCACGTTTGGCAAAATGATGGAATTGAGATGTGTGGTGGCGGTTATTAGACACGGGGATAGAACACCTAAGCAGAAGATGAAAGTAGAAGTAAGACATCAGAGGTATGTTTAAAAAAGAAATTTGACCTTTTTGTGTCTGTATGCGCTAGCCAAAGTGCTCTTGGCATGACTGCACTGGTTCTTCCGGAAGAAATCTTACAAAACATTACATTACAAGACAATTCGAACTAAGAATACAAATATTTTATGTTTATCAGTTTTTTTTATGCCTTGATATTCTTTCTTGCAGGTTCTTTGAAATATTCGAAAAGTATGACGGCTTTAAGCGGGGACATGTAAAGTTAAAACGGCCTAAACAACTACAAGAAATTTTAGATATTGCACGTGCGCTATTATCTGACATACAGACGAGGCACGCTGACCCAGAGATTGAAGAGAAGCAAGGGAAACTTGAACAGCTGAAGAGTGTTTTAGAAATGTAAGCTAACATTAAAAAGTTTTTAACTGTTATTTCTAAAGATGTTATATCACAGTTGAAGGTCAGTGAATATAATCTTTTTTCGAACATAATAATAGTCTTCTTCATATCTCTTTTTATGCTCTTTGGATTATATAAATTCATCACTTCAAATCAATATTAGCAGTTGTAAAATTAAGACGCGATTCTACACTGACCTTGCAGGCTGACTTTTTAGTTTAGGCTACAATTAGTGAGACAGCGTCCCAACGTGTTCTGCGCGCGCCGTTCATCTGGAGATTGGTTGTAGTCGGTTCGAGATCGCGATACCACTTCATCCTCGGCTTCAGTGGATGTGTTTTCAAATATCCTTGAAGTGGATGACCCCTGATGGTTACCACATTACAACAAAAAGCGGCCAAGTGCGAGTCGGACTCGCCCATGAAGGGTTCCGAGCAGCAAGTAACATAAAAGTTCTTGTTGTTCGTTGTAACTTTGATCGATGTTTCAATTATAGTGTATTTTTTTTTAAATTAAGTTATTGATTTATGACGTATTAAAAAAATAAAACTACTTACTAGATCTCGTTCAAACCAATTTTCGGTGGAAGTTTGCATGGTAATGTACATCATATTTTTTTTAAGTTTTATCATTCTCTTATTTTAGAAGTTACAGGGGGGAGGCCACAGATTTTACCACTTTGGAAGTGTCTCTCGCGCAAACTATTCAGTTTAGAAAAAAATGATTTTAGACATTCCCTTCAGGGTTTCGTTTTTTGCCATTTAGCTACGGAACCCTAACCCTAGGCTAAAGTTATCTAATTTAAATACGTGGTCAATTTAGTTCATCTGTAACTTAAATATTTGTGATCTTATGTATATTTACAGTATTTTTTTAATTTGCCAGGTACGGCCACTTCTCGGGTATTAACCGTAAGGTCCAGATGAAATATCAGCCGAGGGGCCGGCCGCGCGGTTCCAGCTCTGACGACGGTAACGCGCCCCAGTGTCTCGACGACGGTCCGCTTTGCACTTTATTTATTATTGCATTATTCACCTGCCCTATGCGCTGTGACTGATCCTTTATTTGTAAGTTTCAACGAGCTTTTGCCCACGGCTTCCGATTTTATCAATAATTTTTTTTTCTGAATTAAAATATACGATAGACCTACGTGTCAATTTAGACGATAATCTACTTCTATGCCAAATTTTAGCCAGATCCCTTCAGTCTTTTGGACGTGATTGAATAACAAGGTATCCATGCAAACTCAGTCAGCCAGTCTCAGTTTTGACAACTGCATTTTTTTTTTATCATTGCAGTCAGGATGGATTCTAGACGAAACGGGTTGATGGATTTTGGCGTTCGGGGTATCGTTAGATTTGTCTTACCTGTGAGAGTGACACTCGGTATATGAAAATTATAAAATTAAAAAGTCAGTTTGTAAATTTTAAGTATACATTTTCAATCGAGTCTGGTTTTTTTTAATAATTAGCTTGTTAAAATGCTTTTTAACAATTAATTGTTTTAAATTTTATTTGTGTTTGATTACTGTAGTATAAGGGTAGCTGTGGGCAAAGTGTTTACAAAATTTGTTTGCTCGTTTAAGTTGTTAGGGTAATCGCAACCATACAAATGTTGTTGAATTGTCTTATATAATTGATTTAAATATTTATTTTTTTAAACCACTCACAGTGTATAGCGCGGGTTATTTTTTAGTTATTCGCTTAAGTACAAGTTATAAAATCGAATGCCTTTTGTACACGTTTGAGGTTTGTTTAGTATTGAAACACTTTTTGACGCAGGTACGTAACTTACAAACACCTTTAATAAGGTTGTATAACTGCACTATGATTGACTGGTTTGTGTTTTACTGGCCCCACCCACACAGAACACACCTCTGATTTCAAAATTTAAACGCTTAACGATAAATAAAGAGATTCCTGCTAGTGCTAAAAATATAAAGATCAAAAAGGTTTTATGACTTAAAATGAAGGGAGAAGCTTTTCAAGATATTCTCTATTACCCCGTTAAGTTATTGTTTTAGATTTGTTAATTTAAAAAATGCTTCCTTGTAACGCGTAATGTATGCATTTCCAGAATCCAATTCGTACTTATTCTACCCATCATTTAGTTACAAAAGGTCGTTGTTGTAAGATGTTTAAAATGTTATATGTTAGTGATGATTTTTTTACGAAAATATTTTCCAAATTATCTGGTTTATCCGTGATTGATTCGTTTGTACGTTAATAACTCAAAACTTAATGACTTTAAACTTAGTACTTATTTACTTGATAAGAAGGTACTTAACTATCGACTCGAAGGTAAACCCTTACTTTGACGTAGTTAGTGCTTAGCTTCTAATAATCCACAAAGAAAACAAATATTAAGCCGCTCCACAAAGAAAACAAATATTAAGCCGCCACGCCAAGCCATTGCTTAAGAAATTACTACAAGATTACAGCACTTTTTTAAAAGTGATACAAAATCAAGCTTCAGTATCACTATTTCAGAGCCCAATCAAACGATTCTTAAGCCAGAATGTATCTGCGCCATTATATTCTGTTATCTCTTTTGTTATGCCAGCTTATCTTGAAATCCTCACCAGTGGGAATACTACTAAAGGGATTTGCTTTGTTTACACGGTGCTAAAACAAACTAGTTACTTATAACAATTTTTATAGCATAGCGAATAGTACTTTAATCCGTAGATATTACTTCAAACATACACAGTTTCTTGTAATAATGCAGCGTTCGCATTATATATCTAAGATAAAAAATTACCGCGTCCATTGTCCTTGTATTTAATGGTTTAAATTATGATGTATTGTTTGAATACTACGTCTTTTACTTAAAGTTCATAAATCATGGGTGGTCTCATTCATTAATTTAAAAGAGTTTTTATTCATGATATACAAATAAATGACATGTTTTAATGAAGAAGTTAGAGCTGTATACACAGTATACATATAGAAAAGTCTACCAAGAATTCAAGTCCAAGAAAATATACTTAAATTTATTATCGATTCAGTATACATTAACCGTTGTCCGTGTAGTGATGGATTAAGAATACGGAATGTCACTACTCCAATTCATCCCGTGGGTGTCGTAAGAGGCGACTAAGGGCCAAAACAACGCAGGACACCAGCACTGCAAAAAGAAGGAAAACTTGATACAATCCCTATACCAACCCGTCTGGCCACCGTGGTATAGTAGGCCAAAACCTCCTTTGTAAGGAGGGGCCTATGTCAAGCAGTGCACTATTAAAGGCTGTTGATGATACATTAACAGTACTCAATTGGTTCTAATTTAAAATTAAATTCTGTCTAGTTAGATGACACGGTTCAAGTAAGGGTCTTAAATCGAATGCCGTCTATTTTTTAAAGGTTCTTAATCATGTAGGTTAGAGGAATTGAATTTCTTTACTAAAAACTATTTAAGTTTATAAAGGACCTTAAATTTTTAGATGCGTCATGTTTTGTTATAAACGCTGTATTTAGTGGGTATATATAATAGTAAATATGAGATATGTATTCTATAGTCAAAACGTTGTCCACGTGTTTGTTGTTTTGATGTGCAGTAAGTGGCGGGGGCGAGCCATCGCTTGTGCTGATACTGAAGTGGGGCGGCGAGCTGACCCCCGCGGGGCGAATACAGGCCGAGGAGCTGGGCCGGATGTTCCGTTGTATGTACCCGGGCGGTCAGGGCCGACATATACCTGGTCAGTATGTTTTATATAATATTCTTAAAGTGGAAATATACAAATGGTCCGTTTCAGTACGGCAATTAATTATTATTAGTATTAAATTGTTTAGTCTATGAGGATGTCTAAAATGATTTCAGGTGGGTAAATTTAGATGCTGAAAAATATTTTTTTTCTTTTTATGTTAGTACCTACATTTCTAAATTGTAAATAAACTAAATCATAATGCTAAAATTTGTAAATAGTCAATAGAGTGTATACTCTATTGAGTTTTTACAAATTGGCTTAAGTCAAGGGTATGAAAAATGATTATATTATTTGATTGCTTTTTATATTTTAGGCGAGGGCGGTACCCAAGGTCTTGGTCTCTTGCGCCTTCACTCAACATTCCGTCACGACCTTAAGATCTATGCATCAGACGAAGGTCGCGTACAGATGACTGCGGCCGCCTTCGCCAAGGGGCTGCTTGCTTTAGAAGGGGAACTCACACCTATACTGGTCCAAATGGTAAAATCCGCTAATACCAACGGATTACTTGATAACGACTGTGATTCATCGAAGGTTCAGAACATGTAAGTGTGAATTGTTCTATTTCTTATGATACCCTAGTCTTTTTAAATACAGAAATATTAAAGAGAAGACAAGAATAATAATAAAATTAAGGATATGTACTTTAATTCGTGATATATAATCTTAATTTATTTTTCGTAAATTGTTGTAGTGGTAGACAATAATTGCGATTTTAATAATATCTAAATGAGTTATTGCTTCATTGCATATGACGTAGCAGAACAGTATATGAAAAGAGATCCTGTGGCTAAACCACTGAATACCTTTTTTAGATTAACTAAGAAAAACTATTATATTATAACGTGGTACGAGTTAATTTGATAACCTTCGCGCCACTCTGTACATGCTCTGCCGCACACAAGCAACCATACTCAAAAATTGGAATCTATACGATAATTTTTGCATGCAGTGAGTATACTTATACATAAAATAGTTTTGAAGTAATTATTATAATGTTAAAGGGCCAAAGCTCGTCTCCACGAAGCGATGCAAGTTGACCGCGAATTTACAGAAGAAGACCGCGCTCGCATCAATCCTTGCGAGTCTGTGAGCATTAACACTGCGATGGATTTTGTGAAGAACCCGGTGCGGTGCTGTGCGCATGTTCACACGCTCATACAGCACCTCGTTCATATCGTGCTCACGAAGAAAGACGACCCTAAGACTAAAGGTGAGATAATAATATATACAGAAAATAGTAAACAGAGGGCCTGGTGTGAGTTTATTACACATCGACTGGATCATCACGGTAACCGCGTTCGGCGTTGCGAAATGGTGAAAAATTTTCACCAATCGCAACGCCAAATCTGCTCGCCGTCAGATCTATGTAAATCTCATAGTATCTAGGTATATAGAGATAGTAAGTAAATGTTTTCAAAACCCCCATAATTATTGTAAAGCAGTGTTAATGCTTAGTTTTTTACTTTTGACACATTGAAACCACTCAGAAAAAAGCCTGATCGCTTTTAGTTTTCTTTTTATTGCTGTGTAAACTTAAGTTTTGTCTTTAGATGTGTTCAGTATAAATTTTACTTTAGTTGTAACTTTCCATAAAAATGTAAGTTAATTAGGTATGTGCTGGTGATGTTATTTGTAAGTTAACTTTAAAGGCAAGTAAAACTCTCAATTTTGCCAAATCAATGTGTCGAATGACACACAAAAGTTTGCGCTAAGCTATGAAATTTTTATTTTGTAGATACAATTTTGTACCATGGTGAGACTTGGGAACTGATGGGACGTCGTTGGGGCAAGATTGAAAAGGACTTCTGCACAAAGAACAAATCCTACGATATATCAAAGATTCCCGACATATACGACTGCATCAAATACGATTTGCAACACAACCAACATACACTACAATTCGACCTCGCAGAAGAACTGTATATTTATGCGAAATATTTAGCTGATATTGTTATACCACAGGTTAGTGTCTTTTGTTCATCGTCGATATATCAATATCTTTATGACTTACCTATCGACATCGACAACATTAAACAATCGACTCTGAGATCTTTGCCAGACTGTGTTTAACTTCAAAATTAACTATGTTACTAATACTAATAGCTTCATATGACTTCAGAAATTTTTGGCTAGAATTATTTTTTTGTTCCTTTTAGGGTTCCGTACCTCACAAGGAAAAAACGGAACTCTTATAGGATCACTTTGTTATCCGTATGTCAAAGTTAACATGAAAAAAATACGGCCGTTTATACCGCTAGAAACGCATATTTCAATACCCTCCACGATCTCAAAATTTATAGGGTACTTGCCGTTGAACTAGAACTGTGAAATTTGGCAAGTAACTCTATATTCTTAATCCGTGACCACACAGAACAAATGATAACACAAAATTAAAATCATTTATGTTTACCAAAATCAATTGAGTTATCAATAGATTCTTGAGGATAAATAAGAAGAAAGAAGAGGAAAAAAAATAAATGGTTTGCTACCGCTGTATACGCATATTGGGATTTACTTTTACTCCAATATACTTGTATGGCAGATTTTCGAAAATACGTTTTTCATGGATAATAATTTAATAAATATAAATAATGTAAAATGTATGTTGTTAAAGGAATACGGATTGACGATGCAAGAAAAGCTGACTATAGGACAAGGTATATGTACACCACTGCTCAAGAAAATAAGAGCGGACCTTCAAAGGAATATAGAGGAATCAGGGGAGGAGACTGTGAATAGACTTAACCCGAGGTGAGATTAACCGTGGGATTTTTATTTAACAATTATTTTTATATAAAACGTCCCAGTTAGAATTACATCGCGCAGGCGCGCGCAAGCTCGGACAGTTGCTGATGGAAATTTTGACGACTATTATGTTATTTATTTGAGGAAATATATTATTTTAACGGAATTAATCGTTATTAATTATTACTGCTAATTATGCGCGTTATAGTCACATACCCCTATATCGACTTAACTGACAGTTTAAGTCACTTACAATTTCATTTATTTATAAAGTAAAGAAGAGATTACATCTGTCTGAATTTGTCAGCTATGTAATTTAAATCATAATTGTATTGAAGTCCGAACATTTTAGGTACAGCCACGGAGTATCAAGTCCGGGCCGGCACGTGCGCACAAGACTGTATTTTACGAGCGAGAGCCACGTGCACTCGCTACTGACAGTACTTCGATTTGGTGGATTATTAGATGTAAGTATCGCTTACATACTTGAATTAGCAATGTTACAAATGTCTCTGCTAGTTTTGTCACAATAAAATCAGTTATGAAGCAATAGATTTGAATGTTTTTAAATAACACAAATATTGTAACTGGAAGGTACTAAAAGACGAGCAATGGCGTCGAGCGATGGAGTACGTATCGACAGTCTCAGAGCTCAACTACATGTCACAAATAGTCGTCATGCTCTACGAGGATCCCACCAAAGATCCTTATTCTGAAGAAAGGTAAGCTACAGCCATTCATGCATTTCCATTTCCACATTTTAATTGAACCGTTTGCGTAGAAACGACTCAAAGCACAAAAGTGCTAATGTCAATCAACAATTTTAAAAAATCTATTTTGTAAAAAAAATATTTACGTAGTTGTTGGAAAAAGAATTTAATTCATTACAATGAAAATGTGTTTTTCTAAAAAAACATCATAAATACAGATCATGTTTTATAGTTTAGTAGGTATCAGTACCTAACTAGATAATTTCTCCCTGCACTTTCCGAATATTCGTTTTAATTATAAAATGTCCTCAGATCTGATTGTTGCCAGAAGGGATAAAGTTTTATACATTTCATTTTGACAGATTCCATGTAGAACTACACTTCAGTCCGGGCGTGAACTGTTGCGTCCAGAAGAATCTACCTCCAGGGCCCGGCTTCCGACCACACAGCCGCAACCACTCCACAACGAACAATTCGGTACGGGTGCACAATTTTATTTCTATTGTACCAAGTTCCCCCTGATACTCGACATTATCTATCACACGCTTCAATGACAAAAAGTAAGACCTAGCAAAAAAATGGCAGATGGAACTCAATGTATGAATGCCGTATCATTTTGACCATCTTTCTTATGACGCACGAACGCTTGGTAATAAAATAAACGCTTTTATTCGGTATGAAATATCGAGTAAATATATGTTCCAAAATGTTTTCTTATTTTCTTAAATAAAAAACAACGTAATTATCTAGTACAACCTTTAATGATTTTTATTGTGTTACTTTCAAGAGTTCCTAAAAAAAAAGAGAGATACCAACTGTAAGAATCGAGATATACTTTATGAAAGACTAGCTGGTGCCCGCGACTTGTTCGCGTGGAATTTGAAAATGTCGCTGCCTGCCTGGGTTCGATTTCCGGACCCCTCAAAATTTTATAGGGATTTTTCTGAAAGAAAAAATAGGTTAAGTTACTCCTTATATAGACAGCTGCCTGGTAGAAAAATAGAAAAATCTATCCAGCCGTTATGAAGATTACCGTGAACAAACAGACAGACATAAATATTTAAATTTATTTTTAGGCATAGGTATCGTGTAAATAACCGTATGAGCATGAAAAAACCTATATTTTGACATGACAAACAGACACTTCAATTTTATTTATTTGTATAGATTGAGGCCCGTGGTTCTTCTTTTTTGATTTACTTATGAATCTTATACATATATATTCTTCTCTCCCAAACAAACTGTGCTGCGCCCGTGAGGGTCCATAATTGTTACTATATTTAAATTGATATCACCTATGCATTTACATTGTGGAAGCAATAAAGTATTGAGTATTGAGTATAGGTGGATAGTATTATAACTTTGTATACATTTGATCTTGCTTACAGCAGAGTTCCTCTGACGAAGTTAAATGTATAGAGGAAGAAGGCGAAGACGATAATATGGCCAGCCAAGAAACATTGCAACCGGTAAGTCATCAAACGGCCTCATAACAAATGGTATTTTATGGACCTAATATCGATTTATGGTTTATAATAAAAATGTACCCTTCACAGGATGCCGACGAACTTGATAATACATTCTCACCAAAAAAGTCGTCGAAGTCGAAAATAAGGCCTTCCGATCCCATACCAATTTGGTAAGTTTCTCACATTTAGTGTTAATTTTTCAATAATGTTTTCAAATAAAAGAACAGCTTTAAATTTAGCGTGCTAAGGGAGAGGCCTATGTCCAGCAGTGGACTGCGATAGGCTGATGATGATGAAATTTTTACTCCTAAACCTCCTAATTTAAATATACAAAGATATGCAAATATATAAACATCAATCTATTCATGTCTTCTTGTTTGAAATAAACCGTTCGGAACTTGGTAGTGTTATATACGTCTATTTGATATTAAACCCGTAGGCGTTTCACAGGGTTTCTGATTAACTTTAGGGTACCTAGTAAATGTAACCGTTGTAAATGGCAAGTGTTGGTGATTGTTAACGAACAGTGAAGTGACAATTACAGTAACTTGCACTACACGGTGAGCGGGCACGAGGCCTCGACGCTGGCGGCGCGGCTCAACGCAGAGCTGCGCGCCAGGAGCCACGTGGACTCCGACCACAGGGACCACGCGCAGGTAAACAACCTACAAGGGTTTGAACCCTGTACTGAAATCCCCTCGGATACCACCCACGGGGTGGGATGATTATGTCGGACTCGGGACGACTAAAAAAAGCTCACCGTCTCGGGTACCAGTAGCCGGGGAACCAGGTGTATGTACCCTAGAAAGAAATTCCTGGTACCCTGACAGAGATTTGAACCCTATTCGTTTACGTCGTTGTTATCACGTAAGTATGACAATTAATAACAAAATTTATACTAAAAAATACAAACATTTTACAACAATCTTAAATCAATATTTTGTTATTCTTTTTTGTTTTTATAGACCGAAGTAGGGACATGGTTGGAGAATTTACGTACGCTACAGATTTTTGACATTTAAAATTCAATTTTATCATAGTTTTATCTTTCGGTAGACGTTTAAGATCTATGCTTCGGTAGGTTAGGTAGGTCCTTCCTCTACCCTAGTTTTCAGGGGTAGGAATGTCACTCAAACGGCAACTTATGTCCCTTGAGCTGAGGTGTCAACAGGCGGAGGTAGTCACTTAACTTCAGGTAACCTGTCTGCACGTTAGTCCCCTGTTCTATAAATAATTGTAATATCTTTTGAAAACTGAAATTAATTTGTTACTTTCCTATTTCAAGGGCGACGAAAAAGAGCCTAAAGACGTCGAAGAAGCCCCACCCCGTGCCCGCAGCTACGACCAGCACAAACAGAGCCACGACAACGGTAAGTATGTTCGCGATGGGCTGTCTCGCATGTGTGGACACTAATGCCTTGCCGCTAATAGCAAGATCTGTGTAGAATGACCCTTTTGTTGTGTACCTTGTACACCTGACCTCTGTATATTACTTATATGTGACATGTAACTCAGAATCAGAGTTATGCTTAGCTAACAGGACAAACAAAAAAGGTTCATCAAATGTTTGAAAATATTCAACTATGTTAGAGTATAGCTAGTTAATGCTTAAATAAATACAATGGTAGACTGTACAAATCAGTTCTTCTCTATTTAATGTCGAAACAATACGTTTTTTAGAACTCGTATGAAATAAGAGTTTATGGTGCCGTACTCCGCCATTTGTAATATTTTTAAAATGAAAAAATAAAGTTCGCAAGAATCCCAGTTTTTTAAGGTTTACATAGTAACTAATGTCCTGGGGAGTGTTATATAATTAATATTAAAAGTAGCTACCTGTGGATAAAACTCTATTGTCTTTTTTGTGCAGTTGTATGGCATCAATATTGGATATCGTGCTAAGTTAAGAAACTAAATTGACAATCGTGATTAACATTTAGTAGGGTGTTCCCATAAGTCTGATTATTTTGATTTTATTTTTTCTCAGCGTAGTATGAGAATGTAGTTGATCTAGTTTACCATATATCAATGTACTATCTTATAAACTGTAGTTAACTGGGCAATTAGTTTACTCCTTAAGTTTGCTTCGTACACGGATTGCAATGAAATACTAAAATTAATGGCCGTTTAAGAAGAGAAATAGAGACTTTAAAAGTCCCATTCAAAACATTGTAAATTCGTATGTTGTCATAATAATTAAGAACTTGTTATTGCTATTAATTTATAAGTATTTGTTTTATGGTGTTACCTATTTGAAAGGCGGACCCATTGACTCTAAAACTCAATGCACTGTCAATTACTATGCAAAAATATCGGTAATTGTTAAAATATGTGATATAAAATAATATTAAATAACATTTCACATTATTTCTTGCGAAATAATGGGTGATTACACATATGCATATTATATTGATATCGTTCAGCTTTATAAAAAATTGATATACAATTTTATGATGAGACAAAAGCTCTACAATGTGAGTGTAGTATTTAATTGAAATCCGTGGTAAAGACATAGCAAGATTCAGTTTGAGGTGTGTGTAAGGCAGTATGTGAGGCGGTGTCGCGCGTGAGTAGCCAGCCGCTGGCGGACGCCGTGGGCGCGCGCTACCAGAGCCTGCAGGCGGTCGACCACACAGGTCAGCGCATACAATATAATCCGCCAAACAGAATTAGCCAGAAACTCAGAACAAGCTGCTTGATGCTGGTTGCTCACTTAGCCAACGACGTAAAGGCTATCATTCCTATGGAATACCCACTTCTACGACTTTTTAGAGCTCTTTCTTTTTTAATTAGTAACATAACTTATTTAAAGAAAATGTTGTTATAAAAAAATATGTAATATAAACTTATGTCATAATTTGAAGTGTAGAAAAAATTAAATTTGACTGTGAGGTATAAAATTATGATAAAACAGCCCAGTGAGTACGCAGTACTACTCAGTAAAACCTTCATTAGATAGCTTTAAAAGTTTTTGCGGCCCTAACGATAATACTTTGCTCCCGTTCTTGGGTGTATACAATTTTATTGTTAATTAAAAACCTGAAACCGACTTATAACCAACAAAATTAGTAAGTAAAGCAATTAGGAGTTATAAAAGATGTTAAATAACTTCTGGTTCCTGGTTAATTCTGTTACACCATGTATACCATACGTTGTACGTGATGTCTAACATGTGCAAGTCCCAGGTTTAGGGTACCGATCATTTTGGTCTGATTGTAGATAAAATCGTCCCAGGTAAGCAGCATGCTCGCATGTCTGGCTACATATTTCGTCATCATTTAGTAACTGTATCCTGTTGGTTCTAAATTAAACGATTATTTTGACTAAATACGTTTATGGCACGCTCGTTTGTCGTGTCCGTGTGTGATATAATTTATTGGATTGCTTTGGAGTTGTAGAGCGACGGACGCCCCGCGTCGCTGTTGTTGAGCTCACTCTGGCCGGCGATCTTGTGTGTGTTTGCGCTGTCTTCTCGCTCCTCACGTGTGTGCGCACGTTTTACTATCGTTTGGCACCTGCATGCATCGGTGTTCTCACTTAACACACTAACGTTTACTTATTGCGGCAAATGCTATCGAATGTGTTTTAAATTATGCCGACGTAAGTCCCCGGTCTCTACCTCCTCTTTCGATCACACGTTGGTGTGAGCGAGCGAGGAGATCGATGACATCGAGGCTCACGTCACACGGTGTCCACGAACGATCGTCAAACGACTGCGTAGGTTGGGTTCCTAGGTATTTATGTAGTGTGATGTCAAACGCGAATCGATATGGAGCACGCTTCGACAAGTATCTATTTATATATTTATTTTCTTATCTATCTATATTAATCACTAATTTATTTTTCTCTTCTTTATCACCGCCCCGTCTACTAACGTTCGCATATTCCATGTAACCTTGCCCGTCGTAACACCCTACTAAAATTCGATGCCATACACGGCAGCCGAACGTTCGGCCGCGCTCCCCGCACTAACCGCGCCGACGCCGTCCGGCCGGCCCTCCGGGGACGAGCCGCTAACCCCTCTCATTAACGTGGACGGCGTCGAGTCCTCGACTAACGAGCTCCCGCTATCGGCTATCACGTTCGGGGCGCGCGGCGACTCGTGGCCGCGACTGGCGGGCTGTAGCGTGTGGGGGGATGCAGGGCGCCGCCAGCGGCACAGCATCGCCGGCCAGATGAGCTACCTCAAGATGCTGGGGCTGGGCGCGCGCGGCAAGCTCTCCGCCGCCGGCCTCTTCAGCACCGCCGTCATCTCCGGCTCCAGCTCTGCGCCCAATCTACGCGTCATGATTCCGGCCTCCAACGCCAGTAACGGTGAGTGATCAGCTCGAACCCGGAGTTCGTCGCACCGCGCGAGCGACGTTCTCCACGTTGGGTTGCAAAGCGGGCTCCGTCCTCAGTAGGGGTCTACTATCCTTACTTATTTATTTGACTTTATCGACGACACTTAACATAATTAAAAAATATACTTTTTTGTTGAACAATTTGAGTACTAACAATGTTACAGTAATAATAAACTGACAATATTTGATCTTCATAAAACTTCATAGGTATGTCTCTTACGTTTATCCGACGAGTTCTAAGTATAGGTTCAAATAGTGTGACACGTAGAGTTTACTGTGCTCAGCGGCGGTGGAGGGTTTCGGCGGCGTGCCGGCGATACGTCCGCTGGAGACGTTGCACAACGCGCTGTCGCTGCGCCAGCTGGACGCGTTCCTGGAGCGCGTGACGGCCGCGCCGGTGCTGCTGGGCACGCCGCCCGCGCACCCGCCCCAAGCACACAAGCAACCCTCTCCTACCAACAGTGAGTGAACATTACATTACTTACAGGTAGTCTTGGGTAGTACACGTACGCTGTACTGATAGGTACTATAGTAAAACCGCCGTAAGCTTGGCCCTCCTGATGGTTTGGGGGACGCGGGGCGGGGGTGCATTCAACCAATTAGCTAGTGCGTCGCTGTCCGCCGGCAGTGACTGACGTGAAAGCATGGCTGTACGTGTCATTTTTCTTAAGACTGCTACACACGGTATTATTTTGCAACATGGATAATCTGCCGACTCTGCGTCACAATAAGATTTAAAAACTTGAAGTTCGGCTTACAGAGGTTCTACTGTTAAAGTTCTAATAAAGAATATTTATTATGTTACTTAATTTTTAAATTGTATCTGAATATAATTTACATGATGAAGATAAGGTGATTTTATTAAAATTATTTTACAGTATTAAATTTTACAATTAATCATAAAAACTTACAATACACCGACATTATAATACATGGAAATAAATTCGATTTTTATTACATCGTGTGTAGATTAAATCTCAAACAAATAAATCTGAAGATATCGATTTAGTACATCGTGTCATGTATAGCCGAGCGCATCACCCGCCCCGCGTCCCGCAAACCATCAGGAGGGCCAAGCTTACGGCGGTTTAACTATAGTACTGGGTGTTGTACTAAAAGTAATGTTTCCGAAAGGCAGCTGTTAATCGGACATTTTGCACTATTAGTACACAGTGTCAACTTCAAGCCAGTACTAAAACTATCTATTGTTTACTCTGTCTACTAGTGTCTACGTTCGTTCGCTGTGCGACGTACTATTAATGCTCCGCTTTATTGTTCCGTATTGGTAAACAGTGTGAGAGTAAAAGGGACAGCGATACAGGATGTACTACAATACGTTGGGTTGTAAAGTATGAAGGCAAATCAAATAGAATGCTTAAAAATTGAGTGTAAAGTAATCTAAAAAATCGTATTTAAAAGTCAAACTGTTAGGGTTTATGGGATTCAGAAAGGGATAACACATTAAAAATAATCAAGAACTGTGTAATTATTTCTATACTGAAGAAAAGTAACTGCCTAATACAAAGCCATCTATATTATAAAAATTAAAATTAAACTATATAAAAAAAAAACTATAACACTTTTTTTTAATTACGTATTTTAATTTATTTAATTATTAGTATTCCGTTTCATTAATGTTGGTAATATCAATACAAACGCTTAAGTTTTCTACTTCTACTAAAACTGTACTAATAGTACTATTACGGTGTGCTAGTACGTTGTACGAATTGTACTAGTACGGTGCGAACCTGCAGATGTCCGATTAAGCGCAAGACTACTTACAGGGTTTATAGACCATTGTTGAAAAAAAAAAAAACATTTGCGAGATATATGTTTCCACTTTAAGCGTTCTTGTATTGTAAAGTGTAATTCCGATTGTTTGGTTGAACACGCTAATCGCACGAACTACTCATTCGAATTTAAAAAAAAAGTTTAATCGGTGCAGAAGTATTTGAGTTTTTGAAACGTACGCAAACTAGTTATTTTTTTTATTATGTAGATATATAAATCGCTTTAAAACGAATCTATTTTTTTCTGTATCTAATTGTTGTGATTAACAAAACTAATGATACCTGAAATAGGTACGCTTGACTTGTTAGTTAGTTGTTATTATTATTATTCATTATAAATTATTTTATGTTGTTCTCCTAAAAGTTTTACGATAGAACAAAATAGCAAAAATCTCCAGGCAGATATTTATAAAAATTAAGTATTTTTGTTAATATTGTGTATCCAGGTGTGGGTTGGAGCGGACCGTCCTCTCTGATGTCGTCATCGGGGGAGCTGCCCAGTGGACTATCATCAGCCGGGCCCTCGTCGCCCAACTCTAACTATGCGTCCAACTCTGAACATAAAACAACTTCGACAGAGAGGTATATAGAGTCAAACTATTTAACTGGGGATCTGTTAGTTAATTTTATGTGTTCATTAAAATAGAGAGAGTTCCTTACTCAGCTTGAATGCGTTTACCCAACATTTTAACTCGTCCTAAAATTATCTTTTCCTGATTTGTTACTTCGATACTGAACAAGAATGAATCTTCGGAAGATGCTTATAATAACTCTCGTTGGCATCGTTCTCACTTGACTAGATTTGTATTATATACACCATTGATATACAATAGGCTGTCTGTCTACAATAAGCTGTCGATTAAAAAGCACATAATATAAATTGAATAATATATTATGTGCTTTTTAATCGACATCTTAAGGTTGAAATTTGAACAACCAAGAATGCACATAATGTATATTGTTACAGTATTAGTATACGGTAAAGGTAGTTACAATTTTAAATGTAAGCAGTGAAGTAGGTATTTCTGTACAGTATTTTTTCTATTCTGGTATGTTTATTGTATATCAATGATAAAAACCTATCTGCTAATGTTGCTTGATGTTAGTTTTCTTTTCTGTTTCATGTTGTTTGATTGTTGATTTATTTAAAAAGGAGGTTACTCGCCGACTAAAAGTCGATCTTTCTCTGTACTACAAGTGGGTACTTTGTTTAACCACTTGTGGAATTGTTTCGATATCACCTAGCCCTTAACATGTGTGCTATAGTCATTGCGATCATACAATTCACGCTTGCATCATCCACTGAGGGGATCTCTCGGGGTGTTAAGCTAAACCATGGGCACAGCCGACGGCTGGTAAACTAAACATTATGGATTCCAGTAGCAATTGGAGTAAAAATGTGCCGAGCAAGCTCCCCCAGTGGGACGGCGAGGCGTCGACGTTGTGCGCGTTCGAGTCGAGCCTGCACCCTTACGTGCCGCACTCCAACGTAGCAGGTACTACACGCAGCATACTACCCGCGCCGGCCCGAACACGACGCGGGGTCGTGCACGCGTACTCACCGCCAGCCCTACACTACTGGGGACTGTTTACACTTCTAACATTATAGAGGCCAGATCTTAGAATTGATCACTTCATGTTATAGCTATAAAACCACTGTACACACAGACACACACACGCACACAACACACACCCACACGCACTTTATTTTATTTGTATTCTTTAATAACATAAATACTTTGTTCGCCCACTGCATGTAACAATTTTTGTAACCGATATAAGACATTATAAATGGATACTCTTTCTTAAGATACGGAGGATTTTCTTAGTTTAGGAAAGAAAGTCCTATGACCTATTGTATATATGTTTTACTGGTTTTACCTTTAAATTTAGGCATATAAGAAAACTGAATGCCATGTACAAAAATTTATTATTAACTGACCGTATCGTTTAAACGTCAACGGGTGATTATATGTCCATCCACATTTGGTGATGACTTTAAGGAAGAGTCTCTACGATATATATGATAATTTTATGTTGGTAGCAACGATATTATTTATTTACTGATAGGAAACTCAACAGCATTTTATATTATACATTCATAATATACATTATTAGGCCATTTACAGAGTTTCTAAAACTAGAGGAGTAAATAAACTTATAACATAACACTAATAATAATAAACATACAACTTATATTAAATTAAATCAACTCAAATAATGTTAAACTCCTTCGTTAATTGAAAGCTATCTATTCCCTTAAAGTCTCCCGTATAGACGCGAAGTAGTCGTGTCTTTACAGCATTACTATCATAATTAGTGCGGTGATTATGTATATTAAAAAGGTGGGTGTATCTGGTACGACACTTTGGGGCACAGAACTGTATACATGAAACAAGATCACTACAATCGTGTTCACCACGCAGGATATCAAAAAGTAGAAGCATATCCAGCATCTTACGTCTATCACCGAGGTGAAGAAGTTGATATTGGTGTGTACAGTCCACAGAATACGAGGCATGATAAACATCATCATCTTCATCATCAGCCTATCGCAGTCCACTGCTGGACATAGGCCTTTATATAATATTGGTATAGACAAATATTTAGGAAAATTGTTTGACACTGAAGTGATTAATTTTATTATCTGCCTCCGATATTACGACATACGCTTTATTTTGGTTTCGTAATATATAGATTTTTTAATAATAACAAGTTAAATCGTAGTTGTCACGATCAAGTAATCAAGTGTAAAACATAAAAGTTATTACAGGACATCCAGTCTTGTAGGTCTGGCCTTAATTCATGTTTATCTGTATACCAGTATGGTATATAATATTAACAAAATTTTAGTACATATACAAAATATGCTTGACTAACTTGACTGACCTAAAGTTTCCTATAAATGTGCTAATAACACTCTACCCCGAACTTAGTAGAAAGTATAGAAAATAATATGTTTCCCAGAAAAATAATACATCACAATAATAATAGCCACAAATGCTATTAAGTAACCATTTAGAAATAAGAAGTTAGTTAAGCACATTTCTAACCCGCTATAAGAATGGCCCATAGGTGTATGAAAACATATGTTGTGTAAAAACCGTAGGATTTTTTCCATTAAACATTTGTATAAGCCTTCGAAGTGCAGCTAGTATAAAAACATCCATTTATTGTCATTAATTTAAAGTTGCAAAACTACGTTATGGCTAGTGTACGTAGTTATTAACATAAGTATAGTATTGAAATAATTCTTATGCTAATCCTATTTTAAGTATGACCTAAATAAAAAGTTAAGTCATTAAAATTTTTCGCTGTGTACATCTCTCAGGGAACCAACATCATTTAGATTTGGCTTAAGCTTTAAGCTAAAAATTGCCGAGATCAGTATATAATTTTTCTCTTAATACAATTAGCAAGGGAATCGTAATAGAAATTAATAGGTCGACATTTTTTTTTTCTTTTAAGTTATCAGAGTGCTAGGAATATAGGCCTTGACTCCGTGTGTTCACTAGTTTGATCTTTAAAATTCCCATCTCAGCAAGTTTTAATCCATCGTTGGATCGTTACTCGACGTTTTGGTTTTACTTCATATATTAAAAACACGCTGCATTTTCATACAGATAATAATACCTACGTTGTAAGTTCAGGGGTCTAATCCAACCGGCATTTTTGCCACTTCTTCGTAATGAAGTACGCTTTAAAAATGTATACTTTATCTCCTGCAAATGACATATATACATCCATACTGGGCTTGTCAACTAAGTAGGAGTAAACGCTAAAACGGGGATAATTTGAGGTATAAAGATATTTAACTTGAACTTTGCACAATATCGTCGCTTATTATGAATATATTTCATTAACACACTACACTATATCATCTTCTACATAAAGTTCATTGTTGCATGACTAAGAATTGCATGCGTTGCACTGTTCTCTGCTAAAATTTGTCGAAGCGCGGAATGGACAAATAGATGTTAGAGCTTAAAGTTTAGGACTAGTGTAGTGAATAAAGCATGAGGGTTCTATTCCTAATCAGTGAAAACAACAACTTATTGATGAAAACTAAAACACTTTATACGGTCACAAATGAAGAGGAATCTGTACTGTGTTAGAGTTATATAGAATTAAGGTTGTTATATTTTGTAATTAAGTTATTATTATTCTAAATAAGATAAAATGAAGTCAAATAGAATAAATTTAAATATATTGTCTACTAAACTCAACATTAAAGCCAGTAACTTATACCTTTAAACGAGCAATTCTTGTATATATATGTATAATATGAATCTCGGAAACGGCTCCAACGATTTTCATGAAATTTAGTATGAAGGGGGTTTCGGGCGCGATTAATCGATCTAGATAGGTCTCCTTTTTAGAAAATTTACCAAAAATTTACTGTCATCCTATCTACGTTTAATTTAAGGTTGTTTCGTAGTAAAATATTAAAGTATTACGAAGACTAGCAGATTATCGATTCAATTTTCGATATAATCACATAACAGTCCACGTTGGATGTTTAATAATTTACTACGAAAATACCTTTTATGACAGTTGTGAGATCGAAACTGACTTTTATTTTACTTCGTCGAAACGTCAGGCAATTAAAAGGCGTTCCAAGAATACATGAAATTAATGAACATGTAGAAATGACAGCTTTATCGCTAAAGGCAATCTCTAACAGGCAACTTTTGGATGCACAAATCAATAGACTATAGATATTAATAGACGAATTCATGGATATCAGAAATTAGACTACTTATCCATTTTTAATAATGGTGTTTGAATATTTGTATAATTTTAAAACTCTTGGATTGTATAGCAAACTCCAATGACCCGCACAGCTGGCATCTCTAAATTATTTATTACATGAATGCGTCTACACTATAATAATCTGGTATAATAAGAATGGTATGACTTATGAATTAAATCGAAAGCCTTTCATTCGTTCCATAACCGAATTCCGTTTACGAATGAGTTGAATGCATACTGCATTCACAACAAACTTACAACTAGCTTGTTATTTTTCTAAATACCTAAACCAAAATTAACAATATGCTATAACAATATAGTATGTAATGTAATTTACTAACTGTACTCTGCCACACTTTGCAGTTGGCACTTTGGAGTGAGAAATGTGGAACAAAACTGACGCGAAAAATAGATAAAAAACAATTTTTGAAGTCACTCGATTCCATATACAACCCTATTTTAGTTCAATCGATGCAGATCTTTTTGAGTTTTTAAATCATACACGTTTGTGTTTGAATATTTATATATGTATATAGATAATACACAAAAAAAAATTGATAATATTCACATAAAAGATGTTAAATCGATATTTTAATGTAGGTACTTAAGATTTTTTTTATTTGTAATAGCCTATATACTAAGTTATACTAAAATGTAATTTTGCAGGTTCATCTATTAGTGGAGATGTAACACCGGTTTCGATAGCGTCGGAGCTTGAATTCAACAGCAACGAGGCTACGGCCGGGTCAATCACTGACCATGACCTCTTAGTGAGTATCCTGTCTTAACGATGACTCAAAACCTATGAACCTAGAGTGTCACTTGCTGCAGCAAGCTGTAAAGTTAACAAATAATATTCGGATTCTTTACAAAATGTTAATCTTAACATTCATATGAAAAATAATTACGTTGATGATATTCATATACTGGAGCTACCAACTACGAAATATAATGTGGCAAAACACTATTTACTTCTTTTTATCCTTACTTTGCCACCTCGTGATTATTCTGTAAATTTGTACATTTGGGAAATGTTCAAATCCATTTCTTTTTAACAAACAAGTCAATGGACCAAAATAAGGCTTTCCTTTATAAATAAAATTCAATGTCTCTTTGTTCATATTTTATGCGCTGCCGTACCGTTCATCCAAACCTCATGAAATTTTACATACACGTTGCCAGGGATACAGCAAAGGACATACTGGATAAAGGTACCCTACTTTTTTATCCAGAAAAAAAATGATACCTAGGAATGGAAGGAATATTCTTATACGAGTGAAGCTGCTGGAAAAGATATTCCTCTATAAAGAAACAGAGGAAACCACAGTATAGAGAGCAATTGTTTCGATGTTTTATGTCAATTGTACTATTAACATAATACACCATATCATTAAAGCATTCTAGTCATTTACATTTTTTTACTTACATATATTTATTGTTGCTTTGTTTTCTAGAGTGCTGAAGGTGAAGACGATGAAGAAACTCTTTCGGTTGACACCTGCGGTTCTCCGGTAAAAATGATCAAAAACGACCTAAGTCCACTAAGCTTCACTGGAGCTGGTTCTCTGAAGTTAGACAACGTTCAGCCGTCCACTAGTAAATGTTCTACAGATTTCTTCGGACTTAGTTTACAACAAACTAAGGAGTGTTTCTACAAGGATATGCCGTCAAGTAGCAAAAATTTTAATTTAGATAGTGAAAGCACACTAAAGTGTTCTAAAGGAAATGCGCAAATAGTTCCTAACATTGACTCATTGAATTTACAAAGCAAAGACAGCAAGAGTAAAAACAAACGGAATGACATTCTGAACTATGGCAGCCGGAGGTACAGCGATAGTAGTGCCCTAAAAAGTAACTTGAACTCGCAATCATCGGTTCCCGGGAGTAGGTTCAAAACTACATTAGTAACCGATGATCTTTTCAAACCGAGTACATCCAGTGACGCCATACCTAACAATAATTCCATGGGCATCGAACCGGGCGCGCCATCTGTCACGAAAGCGAAAAACTTAAACGTTAAACCTGGATTTAACACATCAGAAACGTAGACTCCACTTCGATCACCTAGTTAGATCACCTAGGTAGATCAAAGCATTTAGTGTACTATTAGCCTAAGAATCTTGTAATAGATGCATACATAGTATGATATATTAGCTGTAAAAGTTTGTGATTATTTTGAAGGCATTTGAATTAAAAGCAAAAATGTTGTAACAAAGATACCTACAATGAACACAACCTTCGCTCAATATTTTTATAATACTTAACCGAGTTAAGAAATAATTTTAGCTAGTACAAAATAATCATCAAATGTTATTTAATAATTAGTTAAGTTAGTTAGTGAACCTTTTGAATAAGTTGTTTTTTTTATGCAAACAAGTTAACCTTTATCGATTATACTATGCCTACTGTATAAATACAAAGTTGTGGGTATGTTTGCTATTACATATTTTGATTTTAAGTACGTAATGATACAGACAGGTAGGGCCCGCTAATTGCTATAGTAATGATTACTGAGAGATTAGCTTTGCTTGTATGTTCAATATGTATAATATTTTTATTAACCTACGATTTATATATATAAACTTGATAATTGTACGGTTTAATATTTGTATATGCTGTTTTCTTTCAATCATGACGTAAATGTATTTATTTATGTTTTCGTGGCCTTAGAAGTACAGTATAAATAATATAAATATATTTAGACAATCTCAGTATTGAGAAATAAATATAATCTATGCCATTTTGCCGTATAGACATTCAGTAATTCCTGAATAAATCGTAAAATATTGACACAATGTATGTAGTTAAGAATTTATATCAAAATAAAATGAATTTATAAAATGAAATGTTCGTTTCAAGTGTTGTTCGTTTATTACGTTACACACCCGACCATTCTGCTTACATTACTTTACAGATCTTGTATATAATTAACTAGAAGTGTGAGTCTACTAAAGAGTAGTCTTAAAATTTGATCCTACTACGGCTTGGAATTCTTTTTGTTCACTTTGCCACTTGCCAGAGAAATTTTAGAGCTACGCTGTGAGAGATCAATCCCAAGAAATAATAAAGCCTGGGTAACCAGCCGTAAATACATGAAGCGAAATATTTAACTTTTACTATTTAATTGTATATCAACTAAAATATTAAGCAATTGCTGCGGCTGTCGAAACTTACGACTTACTTACTTACTTTTTTTTTGCTAATCGTATTATCCCTACTTATATTATAAATACGAAAGTAACTCTGTCTGTCTGTTACGCTTTCACGTCTGAACCGACCCCAAAAATTTGGCATCTAGAAACTGATTCTTGAGAATGGACTTCTATCGCTATATAAAACACCACGCGGACGGAGTCTCAGGGCACAAGCTAGGTATAAATACATATTCATTCAATACAAGATTTTTGTATTAATTTAATACAATTAATACAAAAATCCGTACATATAAAAAAAAAACATTACAACCGTATTTTTCCATTTCTGCCCGACGAAGTCGTATTGGTCTAATCGGAGGTGATATCTGTATAACTGACTATAGAATCTGTGTAATCAAGGCTTGGAAGTAGCGCATGGAAATGAAATTTATTTCTGCAAGTAAATCTTTTCAGATTTTTTTACAAGTCGGACTTTACAGTTAGAAGGCGTCGGCATTCGGAAGAAAAGCCGAAACAAACCACAGAGGTGCCTTTTTTTTTAGTCGGTATACAATGTTAAAGAGAACTATGTGAGTGCAGTCTAGGTTGGCCTTTTGAAGAAAGGACTATAGTATTGAGTCGGCCCGTCCATACAGAGCATACGAGCCCCAGCCATTGTATAGCCTAACCGATACAGTCAGGATCAACAACCCGGAACATGATACTAACGCCTGCAGGACACTTGAGTAGGCCCTGGAAACACTCAAAACCCACCAGAAAGTTACTCAAATATGAACTAACATTACAAGCCTACACTATACTCACATTTACATACTTTTACAAAAAAAAATACAATATATTATATATTTATACCATTCAATTTAAAATAAACAATTTGAAAACAAACAAATTTTTGTTATGTAATTTTTCTTGCTTTGGCGAAATTTTTTGACTAATTAGCGACTAACTTTGGGAGAAAACAGATCTTCACTAGATGCCTCAGTTTTAGACAAGCGTGGCCCTGCTGGAGTGACTGACTCCAGCAGGGCCATGCAATTGTTGTCCATTTTGTTCCATGTAATTTTTTTTTCTTATAAACAGTCTAGGTATTATATTTATGTGTATAATTGAAGTATGGAACAGGATTACTGTGTAGGTATAACTATAACTCGCCGCTTCAAATAGCTATTCCTACTACGAGTAGTTCCATGTACAGCACTAGTGGATTGCAAAATTTCCATGTGGAACTGGCTTCATAGAACTATAAATGGAATATATGGGAATAAAACATAGTAAGAGAGTGTAAAGTTGAAGTTGAATTTGTACATGTATACATGTACATTTATACTTTTTCAAGTTAAATTTAAATAATAAAAGAAGATAGAAGGCGTTGGCTCTTTAATAGCGCTAAATATATCACACAAATTGTAATTTAAAGCTCATAATAAGCTAAGCTTAAACTTAAAACATATGACCAGACCAATCAATCACATTAAATATGCTAACCAATAAATTTACTTCTTTTATTCAGATTTCAGGAAAGCTGCTTTTGGAGCCATGTTCACCAAGGATAAAATCATGTTGAAAATACCCTTGCTTCGTAGGCCTGGCCAGAGTACCATTACAATAGACAATAGGTAGACCAGAAAAATATTATTCATAGATGATGCAATCCATGCAAGTGTACACAATACAGTGATTGAGATTATGTAGTACTGAAAAAAAAAGAAATACAACTATTAAGTAAATACAGTTACAATAAGAAATCTTAAATATTTGTAATGTAATGGAGCATTTTTATGTTAAACTTACCATACAAGGACTGGTTTCTCTTAAAGAATAAAACATGCGGATGTTTTGCAGACCCTTATTGTAGCTGGCTACCATGTTTTTACAAATGTCTTCAAACATTTTTTCATGCTGGCCAGTCCATGAAGAGGGACCGTAAAGAGAATTACAAATAACTGGCACACTAAAGTCTATTAAATTGAGAATTAAGCCAATTACAGCTAAAGTTGCAATTGAATTTAAGTCCAATAACCAAATGATGAGAAATAAAATAGAAACAGAGCCCACAATGGCACAAGGATGCCACTGCTGTTCCCACAGGATAACAGATTTCAGGGGCAAGATGGCCATTCGCCACCCCTCTAAGAACCTCTTCAACTTCTTCACCTGATGCTCCTGAAAATTTCATATAAACTATAAGATCTATCTACCTACATAAAATATGAGGAAAGGTGGCAGTTCATATAATTCGTTACCTGGTTTTGGACAATAGTACTTTCAGCCATTTTAATAGAGTTTTATTTCTATTTTTACGGTAGCTGGAATGAAAAAAATATAATAATACAATTGCAAAACCGTTCAATAGGTTGTCGAGTTTAAGTTCTTTCAAAACAATAAAACGAAATCAATCGAAACTTCATGCACATGCACACCTACGAAATGTAAGTGTCACCCAGTGATGTAGCTCAATCAGTGTTAATTGGGTTTTCTCGTACAAGATAGAAAGAGATAGAAATTATTGAAAGTGCTCTGACATTTGTTCGGTTATAAAAAACGTCAAAGTAGGACTTTCCTGTGTTGCCAAATCGCTAACTTTATTTTTCGTCTCCCTGATATTGGTAATTTTTTAAGGTACCTACTTTAATATTGAAACATTGAAAAGACGAATTATTAAAGAATTAAAATTTCTTTGTCAAATCAATATAACTAATTTACAGTCTAATCAAATGTACCTTCTATACGAATTTATAGATTTGCATATTTATGGTATTATAACTAATAATTCTATATTGCGCCCTGGCTGGTGCAAAGTAGATACTAATGTGGTGTTGGTGTTGAGCAATCCATACTATTGTATTAAAAAGGGGAAAGATTTAATTTTTGTTTGTTGGTTTGTTTGTTTGTAATAGATAGGTTCCGAAACTACTCTACCGATTTTATAAATTCCTCACCTGTAGAAAGCTACATCATCAGCGAGTAACAGAGGCTATATTTTATTTGGAAACATTATTAAAAACTATAAAAAAAAGATCTTTCTGAAGCTCTTGGTAATCCAAGGTCTTACCCCTCGCACCCACTTCCACGGCATACAACTCAACGAAATAACCGTTAAGTCAAAGTACCTACTTGTTTTCTTTAGGGATGTTAGTTTTCCCACGGCACTGTGAAATCTACTAGTAGTAGTAAACCTACTACACGCTTAATTGACAATGCATAAAAAAAACTGGTCAGGTATGAGTCGAACTCGTGCGCCGAGGGTTCCGTACCTACCCAGATTTTACGTAGATTTTCGCGAAAATTTGTAAGTACCAAAATTTATCTGAATGAAAAAAATATTTTGGAATTATTCCTTTATTTGTGCTGTAAGACGTTTCCTTTTGCCAGTTTACGAGATTCTAAGTCAACGGGAACTACCATACAGGTTTTCCACCCAAAACCTATAGGGTACTTCCGGTTGACCTAGAATTGTCAATTTTGGTTAAAAGCAAGGTCTTACAGCACAAGTAAAGAGAAAATTCTGAAAAATACAAAAAGTTGAAAGTTAAGGTAAATTTTGGTGCTTACAAGTTTTCGCGAAAATCGAAATTTGCCTATATCTTTTTATCGTGTTGACTCAGGACCTTGATTTTTATACACCTAATAGAGACCATAGACCTCAGTATTTGGTATGAATTTCAACTTGCTAGGTTTACCCTATCCTGAGAAAAGCGGTGGTGACAAACGGACAGACGGACAAGAAAGTGATCTTATAAGGGTTCCTTTTTTACCTATTGAGGTATGGAACCCTAAAAAATATGTCTGGTCTGGACGCCGAGGCACGAGGCCGAGGTATTCTGTAATGATTTTCATACGTGTCCACTAATAATGTCCAATACTACAATAATACCCTATCATGCCAACGTGAATAATGACCCTGGTCTAATACTTACAACCTGTCAGTAAGTGCCTGGCTGTACCTTTTTCCGCACTGCACATCGTGCAAGCCTTTTCCGTAGCTTTTCACCACCTTACTAGGTTGCTTTGATCGGGAGGAGTTAAATGAAAGGCGTCGAGGTAAAGGTAAAGTAAAAATTGTCCTAATATTGCAAACTGCTACATAACAATGCATGTTCGACTGTACGGATGGCGTAGTGGTTTAAGCGGTCGCCATGCCGCTCCCGACTACGCCGTGTGTTGTGGGTTCAAACCCTCATGGGACGATACTTTGTGTGATCCACAAATTGTTGTTCTGAGTCTGGGTGTTCTTTGTGTCCGTTGATGAATGTTTGTAAAGTCCCCCGCGACACAGAATATATTCCTAATGCGGAAGTTTTCTTTAAAAAAAAAACAAAAAGAGTATCTTAACATTGTAGGTATACCGACCCCTGGGGTGCGTCGGGTAATCTTTATGAGCGTTCCCATGTTTCTTGTCCCTCCTGACCACTGTGTCCGGTGGGAACGGACCAGTGACTTCGTCGGTACCGGAACCGGCGCAGGTAATAGCCGCGTCTAAAGTAGAGGCTAAAGAAAGAATTGATGAAACACGTGTAAAGCAAATAAGTATGCAGAATACATTCCGTGTCCTGCACACTCATTAAATTTGGATGCTCAATGCTTTGCAGACTGCTGTACAGAAGCCATTAACTTTCTTTGATTTCATTAAAAAATTATGATATTTTTTCCTCTTCTACCTATCGATGGGGTCGTCTTACGAACGCACTTAAAAACTATTTTCAAAATGTTGTCGGTCACTAAGTGCTCAGCCCGAGCTTATGTTACGAAGGTGAATTTATGTGGTTTTACTAATAACAAGAAGATTTTGGAAAACATTTCTAATAACATGGATCTAAAGACAGAGAGCTGTAATCAGGCTTACAGACTAGTTTTAAAGAGAGTAAGTTGCTAACGGGAATAATAGCAATATAGTGGAACGGAATACTAGAACGTTTTCAAGCGACTGAAATGATGACTGAAATCTACATTATCAGATATTGGGGCAAAAGCCAAAGATCTAACTGGCTACGAGGCATAAGATTCTTCTAGACAAAGGAAGCAAAATACAAAAAATACGACCATTACAGCGACTCAACTATACTCGACGACTTTGTTAATCATGAAATCAAACACCTGGAAAACCATATGATATTCAGATGTTTATCGTGACCATTGAGAATCCGAGACCTAAGTACAGCAGTCGTATACGCTACCACTGCACCACCGAGACAGACAAAAGTATGAAGCATATCCTAAAATTACTGGCGTTTTGACATATTCCATCAGAAGACATTTAAAAAAAAATTGAATTCTGCGATCATCGTTAGTGCTTACGCAGATTATTTGGAGGAAAGCAGTTTGCTGCATTGGTCAATTCTGATGTGACTGGTATAATCGATAGCAAGAATTCACGAGGCTCTGGAACTGTCAGGTTTCAAGCTTTTGCTAAATAATTCTTCACCATCTTGTTTTCCTAACGTTGAAATTGCCTTGAGCATTAATTTCTCTCATGATCACCAATTACAGTGGTGAACGATCTTTCTCAACATAAAAACCTGTTAAAAATGACTTGAGGAACACGTGCTATGGAAAGGGCTACGCTCGGCGATTCTTTTAAGGATCGCATCAGCAATGAGGTGATCCGGCAAAAAACCAAGTGAAGTGGCAGTGGGCTGGCCATATTAGCCGCAGAACCGACAACCGTTGGTGTAAACAAGTTCTTGAGTGGAGACTGCGACTCGCCAAACGTAGTGTAGGACGCCTACAGGCCAGGCGGAGTGACGATTTGCGTAAGATGGCTGGCAGGAGCTGGATGCGAGAAGCCGAAAATCTATCGAAGTGGCGTGCAACGGGAGAGGACTATGTCTAGTAGTGAACTGCGATAGGCTAATGATGATGATGATTAGGAACACGATGAACCAAAAACATATTAATCACCTCACTTTAATGAATGTTGACAATGATTTACTTAGAGAAGTCGATTTGCCCATATTAAATCAAGAAAAGTTTGTTTGTAACAGTTTTGTTTTATTTAATACCATAAACTTGATAAACTTAAACACCCGTTACGCCCCTTGATCGGATTTGCTACGGGCCCCGCGCTGGCTTAGCTGTTATGGTGTAACGGGTGAAAAGTCTCATTTTCTATAAGAGGTTGACTTTATTCACTGATTACTCACGGGCAATTGACTAGATTACATTAGACTGGTAATCCAGCATCCTGAATGGTGTAAGGATACTCTTGTTGTTTGGCGCTTCTACCTGGAAGCACCTTGGTCTTTTATCACCAGGTTTTCATTTTTGTGGCTTATATAAACAAAACCTTTAGTAATAATTAAAGATTTGATAACTATTTAATAAAAAATATTTATATAAAAATAAAAATTAATAACAAAATCAGTTCTCTTAGATAAAATGCCAATCATATTGGTACTGCAATAAAATATGTATGAGACAGGAATGTGCTATGACAAATTATTTCTTGATATTTAGAGATTTTTTCTTCGTTCACTATTCTTTAACTCTACGGAAATAACGCTTGGCGGGAGTCTTAACTCTGTCATGCGTGAGAGTCTGAAACAAGAAAAAACAGCAGTTGTAATAAGTGTATCAAAACTACTGAAAGTGGAAAGATAAAAAAAAATGAAGGGGGAAAACCATCTTCACGCCTTAGGTTTTCCCATACAGAAGATTCCGTGGATTTTGTTTCTCGCTATGGCAAGAATTAGTTTATTTAAACCAACGTATTTATATAATATGAATCTGATAAATATGTATATGAAATAATAATATGATTAATGATGAGAGTGTAAATCATAGTTGTGAAGTTCATGACCGCGATGTACCTTACAGCGAAAGTTTACTATCACAACGTTCTTTGTTTCGAAAGGTCTTTACTGCTATGTAGGTTACTGCGAAAGCTTACCTTTGCGATATACGTTGATGATTGCAGTTTCCATTATTAGGTCATGTCTCCTACATTACCGATTGGTTGCCGATACTGGTAATAGTGGAAATATTATATTGTTGGACATGACTAAATTAATCTTCGTTCGATCCACAAATTATTGTTCTAAGTATGGGTGTTCTTTTTGTCCTTTCGATGGATGTTTGTGAAGTCACCCACGAGTCTTTAATTTATTTATTAATAAATTTATTAATTTTTTATAATAAGGAAAAAAAGTAATCTTGTAAACAGATTTGAATTAATTGCGCCTGTCGGTAAAGGAGAAGAATTTTGAGTTCACGGATGGCGTAGTGGTTTAAGCGGTCGTCACTCCGCTTCCTACTACGCTGAGTGTTGTGGGTTCCATCTCCACATGGGACAACACTTTGTGTCATTCACACATTGTTGTCCTAAGTCTGTGTGTTCTTTGTGTCCGTTTTATGTACATTTGTAAAGTACCCCGCGACACAGAGTATATTGCTAATGCGGAATTGTCTTTTTTAAGAACACATCTTGCATTTACGTGATTACTGTCAATGTTGTGGTGCAAACTATACTTTTAAATGTGTTATTGTGTGTTGCTTGCAATTTTTGTTCATTTAGTCATATCCAACACTGTAAATATTTCCAGTATCATCAGTATCAGCAACCCCTCTACATGACCCAATGATCGAAACTGCAATTATCGTAGCATATATCACAAAGGTAACACAGTCACAGGTCACAGTAACCTACATCGCAATGGTAAACTTTCCTTGTAACCTACATCGCCGTCATGAATGTCGCAACTATGATTTATACTCTAATGAATGTATACACAAGGCTAACATAAATTTATTTAAAAAGGAAGACCTTTTTATTATATATTTTTTATAATACTGATTTCTTTCAAGATAGAAAACTGTAGGCTTCGTTTTATCTCATAATAACAATGTTAGTAGCTGTAAATTTGTATAAACAATCTCATATAAACAATGGAAGAAACCAAGAGTATGCATATAATCAAAACAATTCTCATTCATTTATACTAGGTAGGTACTTTTGTGTTAGATGAAAACTTATTTCTTTCTCTATTACGTAAAATGCTGTCTGTATACCGGAAGTCCAGTACCAAGGAAATCAAGTCCAGTACCAGTCTAACTACAATCTACTTAAATATTATTATAAACTAAAAAATGTTTATTTTATTTATATATATCTTTAGTGTATACCTACACTTAACACATAACAAAAGATGAGTTACAAATATGTAGATGTAACAATCGGCAGTCTTATCGCTCATCGCTCACTGCGATCTCTTACAGACAACCTTAACACGGATATTAGGTATTTTATTACATCTTATGCGATATTAAGTCAATCAATCGCGGGCAGCGCTAGTCCACTTGGGACCCGTGCGTTTTCGATACGTACTTAAGGTAAGTTAGGTATGTGGACAGTTACAGAGGCGCCAGTCCACTTGGGACCCATGCGTTTTCAATACGTACTTTATCAACAGCCTTTAATAGTCCACAGCTGGACATAAGCCTCTCCTGAGAAAGGAGGTTTTGGCCTACTACTAAGGCAAAGTAAGTATGCGGAGTCCACCCACCGTCTATATGTGGACTCTACTAACTACTACTGACGTGCGTAACGATCGACATGGGATGGGTCAGGTACCAAGAAAGATATGTAACCTTTAGTCAAAGTATATGTAGTACAAAAGCAATACAAAGTAGCGACATTCAATCATTGGTTAGATTGGGCAGGATCACAATTACACTATGTTGTGCAGCTGGCTGGCCAACATTGAAGTCTTGTGCTAAAGTATCAAAATTATCTATATTTGTTAAATTTCTACAAAAACATTATTATGATTAGAAATGATTTTTTTCTCACTTAGCTAATATTATTATCCAGGTCCTAGGTTGAATAATTTCTGCCCAACATGGAAATGAATGGTAGAGGCCTATGTCCAACAGTGGACTGCGATAGGCAGATGATGATGATGATGGTCAAAAAATATGCAGAATTTTTCTTCTTTTTTTAAAAGGAAAAAAACTGATTTATTTGATGTACTTACAATAACACATTCATCATCAGTGAATAAATAATGACGGCCACATGTCTCATTGGATTCGGGAACAACTGACTTTGTTATCAGCTCATTGTCATTGACAATTGTTGTCACACTCTGTAAATGTAAATATATGCATAATTTTATATAACAGAGATATATTTTTAATGACATATTTTGAAATTACAAAAGATGTAAGCAATATATTTACATCACATAATATCTATAATTAAAAAGTTTCAAAGAGTAAGGTTTCTATGGGTTGTTATTCCTTGAAAGACTTACTTTGATCACTGCATTAGGCATATGTTCCTCATACTCTTCTCCCAATTTGAACTTATATTCAACTGTGCGGATCAAGGAGGAATTTTTGATCATCATTGTTTCACCATCTATAGTTATTTCTAACAAGGGTGAAGACATAGCCATCATTTTACGTCCCATAAATGGTACTCCTGCAAAACATATAATTAACTAGGACGACAAATATTTTTTATTATTAGACTAAAAAATGAAAATGTATACAAACTTACCAACGGCTATGAAATAATCATCAATGTTCTCATTTTTGTAGTGCTGATATTTGCCAGCTATAGACGGCATTTTCGTTACCCGTGTCGACTACTAATCTACAAGTAAAAAATTGTTGAAATGCCGCTAGCTCATTAAATAATATCTTATCATTCATGTATCCAATTTATCAATCACGTAGGCAATAATCAGATCTCTTTACAGTTACTGATAATGAAATATTATTATGTGCAGTTCTGCGACAGTGCAAGTCGTTAACGAAGATAACAGTAATATCTTTATTTTGACCGTAACTTTTGTACAAATAAGTATTACTGCAAAAATAGTGGTCGAACTATATATTATTTAATTCTTTTGTTAAGAATTCTATTCTCCTACTTATTGATATTAAAAATATAAATAAACTTTTTATATCAAAAGCTATAATAACTTACAATATTTCAAATCGTTTTATATTCTCACTTCAGACACAGAATGATCAACATTCTGAAACTGTCACTGTCAATGAAAATGGAAAGAAAAATCGAAACCGCAAATAAGTAAACATTTAGTGTTGTTCATGGTATGTGTTTTAGATTATTCGAAAAACAACACTTTTTTTTTTTTTTTTTTTTTTTTTTCCGTGCGGAAATCCCCTCGGATACCACCTGTCGGTGGCATGTCGGACTCGAACCGACTAAAACCGCACGCCTTCGCCGGGTACTAATAGCCGGGGAACCAGGTATACCCTAGAAAGGTCGAAAAACAACACTAAGAAAAAACTGAACGTTTAAAAGAAATTTAAACTATTACATCTTTTCAATATGACGCAAATACATATACGTTATCTATGTAGACTTCAAATGCACACCATTTATTACAGCTCCCAAATTTTCAAGATACACAGAATAGATTGAATGATTGTGCAACATTTGAGCATCATTAAACTTCGTAAAAAATATGGTACTTAGAAGACAATGAAAAAATTCATCTCGTTATTTCTTAATAATTTCGTACCTATTTGTACCTCTACATATTAATCTCTTAGATAAACTCATGTCATGACGATGATAAACACTTTGTATGAGATACTTTCAACAATTACTTTATTTCAACATAATCCTCTCAAATTTAAATTTAATATCTTTATTACGTAGAATACATAGGATAGCTCAAAAATAATACGAAATCGTTAATCATCAACATACTGCCTGATAATTTGCTCTGTTGAATTAAAATCATAAAAAATGATAACTGCAAGATAATCGCCAACTTTCAAGTCTTGCGAGAAGAAACAGGTTGACTCTTAAATCGTTAGTGTTTATAATCAATTAACTAAAATTGGCCTTTATAAATAGGAATACAAAGAGAAGAAAAGAAAATAAAAATAAAAATTTAAAAGGTTATTCTAACTATTTTTTAGAAATATTTTTATGAAATATTTTACGTGACCTTTGAAATCATAAATAATTCAATATTAAGCATTTTTATCACTTACCACTTACAAGTCGCACGCTTCCTGAACTTCACGTTACACACCATCATCATCACTTTGTACGAAATCATTCTTACAGGAAAGCGAAAGGAAAGAAGTTAAACAAAAAAAATAGACTACAGAAATATCAGAGACATCAGTCAGATAATGATTTTTTAGATAATCAGTTACACACGATAGTTTAAAATTGATAATTTACTAAAATAATGGCCCCAGTGAAGTTTCATTTTTAGCCCAAGTGTAATTAATCGAATTTCGTTTAATAAACTAGTTATAACTCATTTTGTTCCTACATGGAGAATTTTACCTTTTTAGCTTTTGGAGTAGTTCACTAAAAAGTAAATTGTTAATGTTAAGACAGGGAATCACTTTTCGAAGATACTACACCTTCAAGACATCAAAGTTTGAAGTCGTGCATGAAACATGATTCCGCTTTTCTAGGCAAAGAAATATACATAAAGCTCTTTTATATCTCATTATATATGTAACATAATTATTGTGTCATTTTGCTACCGGTATATTAAACATTTGTATGTTAATCGATAGTATGATTTTACTGAAAATCTTTCGGTTTACCATACATCAAAAAGCGTTTTGAAACTTAAGTAGATCAACTTTTTAAAACAATGTGAATATTACTTTCAATGGTTTTTTATAGAAATTAGTTTGTTTCCTTATTTTAAAATTAAGAAATTTTTATACCCATAAAAAAACACATTATTCAATTTGTAATTCGTTAATTTATAGCATGTTTCGAATTTTCGGGTGTGGGTTTTTTTGTGGCAGACAGGCAGATAATGGCAAGGCAAATGGGATGTGACAACAAGAGCGGACAAGTATGAGAGAGATGTAATTTTTGTTTTGATTTCTAAGTGAACTCGAAAATAATACAATTATTACTAATAGTAGTAGTGGTTTCTATTATGTGTTGAAGTATTAAATTTTAGCGAAGTATTGTGTAATATTTAGTAAATAGTAGTAAGAGGATCTTGATTTGGTAGTAGTGTAACTTGAAAGAATTTACAAGTATTTGTTGATCGATTATTTACTCAAAAATATTCGGTTACCTTTGTGATTTAACGGAATTTTCGACAATGGGTGAAAAGGAAGACTATTTGACATCATACAGAGTGTTTTTTGAAAATTTTGCCGCTACTGTTAATCCGGAAGATCAGTTGCCCGTCAATATTGCTGGGTATACTATCACGGAATCAGAGTTACCGGGCGAAGTTCTTTATTGGATAACACAATATCTAAGCGAAAAGTGAGTATAACCAACTTTTGTTAATTATAATTTTTATGTAGGTACAATATTGTTTAGTGCAATTAATTAATTCTGCTTTAGTCAATTTACTTGATACTGATAAGACAATCACCTTACAACGAAACTTCTTCAATTCTGCTTAGAATACAAATACCAATAAGAATTAAAATTTATTATGGACTGTACAAAAAATATTACAAAATATTATTAAAACTTGAGATCTTAATACAAAAAATAAAACAGTGATGTGTAGATTACTAATTGATTTAATTGAGGTATATATTGAACTGTATGGATGGCGTAGTAGTTTAAGCTGTCACCTCGCCGCTACCTACTGTGCTGAGTGTTGTGGGACAACACTTTGTTTTATTCACAAATTGCTGTTCTGAGTATGGGGGTTCTTTGTGTCCATTTAATGTATGTTTGTACAGTCCCCTTCAACACAAGATATATTCCTAGGGCGAGAGTTGTCTTTTTCCAAAAAAAACAATTATAGTTGTGTATCAACAGAACTCACAGTAAACATTTTCATGATAAAAATGAATCAAGTTCAGCAACCATTCAGATTAACCTGTGTAAGCATTGTACACAACTGATCATCGTGAAGTTCTACTTCCACAGGAAAGGGCAGATATGTTTCATAATATTCTCGAGGTACAGCAATTACTTCAACTAAAGTAAAAGAGCATTCGATGGCTAGATAGCTGTTATTTAGATTTCACTACAATTATGTATATAAAACAATTTATCATGATATAAATTAAATAGTACTATAATATACTTAATACAGTAATATACTAGTCTGATGTGCTACTTAAGTACTCTCAATAAGGCTCATGGAGATTGCTTTAAAAGTTATGGGAATCATAGACAGGACTAATATTACTCTTAACACAAAATATCTATAATTTTATATACTTAATACATACTTAATGCCCTATTATATATTACACTTCTGAATTCTTGTAGAATCGCTATTTACGTAGAGGCTTCAGCATTTCCTATTGTCATCAGCATTTGCCATTATATACAGAGCAAACGAAATACATACCTGGTTAGTAAAACAAAGTACTTGTGATTACATTAAAGTATTACTAAAGAAAATGAACCTAATAACAGAATAATTTTAACACAATAATGATTTAGGAACATATGACTGAAGAAACGAGTTATTTAGAAATCCAGCATATTTAAATGCATAATAATATACTAACTGGAATGACACATGCATGTATACTTGAAAAGGTATTTGCCATGTGTACATAAAATAATAAATGTACCAGTACCTTCTAGGCTGTAAACATACATATTACTTAGAAGCAAAACAGTTACTCTCGAATTCACAATTTGGCTTTCGCAGGAACAGGTCTACCGATGACGCGGTGCATGAGCTTACAAACCATGTAGTTTCTAATATGGACGAAAAGAAAAAAGTACTAGCCATATTTTTAGATTTAGCCAAGGCATTTGACACGGTCTCTGTCCCACTACTGCTCAATAAACTGGAACGGATGGGTGTTCGTGGCATGCAACTGCAGCTTTTCGCAAGCTACCTCACCGATCGCTCACAGTGTGTTCAAATTGATGGTATACGTAGTCATGATCTCCCTATAGAAATAGGCGTGCCCCAAGGCAGTATCCTCGGACCGACCTTGTTCCTAGTTTTTATTAATGACCTTTGCCAATTAGATATGCCTAACACTGGAAAAATAATCACTTTTGCAGACGACACCGTTCTGATTTTTCAAGGCGATTCCTGGAAGGATACGTATCAGAATGCTCAAGAGGGCATGAATCGAGTCACATATTGGCTTAACTGCAATTTGCTATCGTTGAACGTCGATAAGACTAAATACGTAACATTTCAACTAAAAAATAAAAAACTACATTTTGAAACACCTCAGCCCATCATTGCACATCTATGTCATAATCGAGATGTAATTCCAGCCCCATGTACCTGTAAAGAACTAAAACTGGTTGATACAATTAAATATCTAGGAATCATTATTGATAAAAACCTAAACTTCGAAGCTCACATAAATGTATTGACTTCCAGAACAAGGAAAATAATTTTCATTTTTAAAAACTTGAGACGAGTGTGTGATAAAAAGATCCTTAAAATAATATATCTCGCCTTATGTCAATCAATACTGATGTATTGCATCACATCCTGGGGAGGTGCAGCCAAAACCATTTTGATCAAATTGGAACGTGCACAAAGGGCAGTCTTAAAGGTAGCACTTTACCTACCTTTTTTGTATCCCACAAGAGACTTATACCAAAGGTTTGATGTCCTTACAATTCGGCAACTTTTTATTTTTCGTCTTATTCTTAAGTCTCACTCATCAACTATCTATGATCCCCTAATTGTTGCAGAAAAACGTCGAAAACATAAAATCTTTCAAGCTGACAAAATCCATAAAACCACTTTATCTCATAGGTTCTATTGTTTTTTGGGCCGATACCTATATAATAAAATTAATGCTATCCTTTGCATATACTCCTGTAATAAATATAAGTTAAAAACAGTATTAACAACATGGCTACAAAACCTAACCTATGATGATACAGAAAGCCTACTTGTGCCACTAAGTTAAACATGTCTATTTATTTATTTATTATAGTTTGAATTATACAAATACATAACATGCACTAGCATAATCATGTACACATACACAAACAAACACATACCCACTTACAGACACACACATACACGTATACTCGCAAGCAAACCCACACTCACACACACGCACACACACACACACACACATCTCTTTTTGCTGTTTTTTATTGCTTTTCTCTTGTTTGTCTACTTATACTAGTATAATGTATTACAAACTAGTACATGCTAAAGAAATATAACTATGTTCCGTCCAGAAGGTGTGAGCCTGGTGAGCTGTAACACAGGTTTTACCTACCGCAGACACCAGTCTCTCACAAAGCAATGTTGTACCCAATCTGACTGATCTGTATTTATAAGTTCTTTGTGATGAGAGAAATAAATAAATATTATTATTATTATTATTATTAAAAAAAAATACCTTTTAAAAATTTGGTAGGTAGGTCAAAAAAATGTTGAATACTCAATACACACATTCTTTTCCTTATATGATAATGTAATGTGTATAAATATTTAGAATATTTGCACCATGATAATATTCATTTACATCCAATTAATTTGTGAATAAGCATATGGGCTACTGATGGTGAGAGATCTTACTAATGTTATAAAAATCATCAGAATAATCACAATATTATGCATGAATAATACTTATAGGCTGGCAACTGTAAAGTGAAAATCTCATCAAATACATTTAATGGCATGCTTCCCTGGTTTTATTACTTAATTTGTTAACCAACAACAATATATAGTGACAACTTATACAGCAACATAATGACATAAGAGCAATCAACAATATTCCATAAAGCAACTAGAATATTTTGCTAGCAAACCATCATGCATACACAAAAACTGCAATTGATTGATTGCAATAAGATACTCAACTTCCTGAATGGCTGCAGTCAAGGATAGCTGTGACTTGGTTTTAGTTTTTTGCTCTGCATGGAGCAGGTACTACCATTCTCCAGGACCACTACTGTCTATCTCTAATCCTTACTGTTAAACAAATAAACATTTAAAATAAAGACCATACAAAAATATAAAATTTGACTGCATGGATGGCGTAGTAGCTTAAGCAGTCACCTCTCTGCTTACTACTGCACTGAGTGTTGTGATTTCGAACCGCACATGTAACAACACTTTGTGTGATCCACAAATTGTGGTTCCACAATTGTGAACCACAATTCCAACCACCAACCAGATATGATCTAGGACCATTAAAAATGACTAAATATATTGGAGGGATGCAAATAATATTTGAAGAGACAAAAATACAGGTATCATTGTTTTTAGATTTGGTTACTTTTTCATTAAATTGTCTTTTTTATTCATTTATCAATATCAATGTTATTTTATGCTGAATGTAGTGCATGAGTGATGTATCTTGTCTTTGTCTTTTTTAAATAATCTTCATATGCATATATGCACTATCACAAAGATAGGAACTGCCTATCATCAAACCCATTTTTAGAAAAGAAAAGATAGGATTGCAAGCAAAATTAAATAATAAATGTTTGATCTCAGAAATTAAAAATTGAAAGGTAATATTTACTTATTTAGAGGTAGATATAAAACATTTTACGGGCCGCATAAATTTAAGACACGACCCACACAGTGTGGCTGGAACCTTTTTTTTTTTTTTTTTTTTTCCGTGCGGAAATCCCCTCGGATACCACCTGTCGGTGGCATGTCGGACTCGAACCGACTAAAACCGCACGCCTTCGCCGGGTACTAATAGCCGGGGAACCAGGTATACCCTAGAAAGGAAGGCCCTGGTGCCCCGACATACCTCGGGTCATCTACAGACGAGTAGACGACCCCCGCCCCGTGTGGGAACCCCATGTTCCCTGTGCTCCCTGGAAGCGAGCGCGCTTCGCAACGCGCTCGCCGCCACCCCGGCCTGCTTCTGCTAGGGTGACAGATGGCCTCACCTGTCACCCCCAGGCCTGCGCTTATGGAGGACGAAGGTCGTTCTGCGACCTCCGGCGCCTGAGTCGCCTGCGCTGCCTGGCCCGTGCCCGGGCCTGGCGGGCCGGGAGAGTTCTAAACCTCTCCCGGTCCCGCTCCGCCGTCTCCTTCGCGAGCATAACTTGCTCGCAGAAGGAGACGGCAGAGTTCCACGCACTCTCGCTCCGCACGATAGCGAATCGCAATCAGGCTATCGAGCGAGAGAACTCCCACTCCGATGGCCGCCACGAGGTCTCGCCTCTGCTCAACCCACGCCGGGCACTCTGCCAGCGTGTGGAGAGCCGTGTCCACGGTCTGGCCATCGCAGTGGTGGCACTCAGGCGTTGGCTCCTTGCGGATCAGACACAGGTGATCTCCGAAACATCCCTTCCCAGTGATCACCTGCGTCAATCGGTATGAGAGGGTCCCGTGA